CGAGCATTCTTGGGCCTCACCATCACGTAAGATTTACGGGGCTGCACGAATAGCTGGGTTCATTTTGCCCATTCTGTCTGACTCGACTGTACAGCATTGTGTGTTTTGTGTTTTGTGCACTGACCCTGCATGTCTGGATTCTCGAAATGACCGAGTCAAGTCAGTCTTCCAAACACCTGGGACCGGACTTTCGGTGAGGACAATGCTGGAAACCGTCAAACATACTGAATGTGGGGTATGACAGCACGACCCGGCCATGTTGCGGTGTCTATGATTCTGGCGCTTGTTCTCCGACCGGACCACATACCTAGTAGTAGGCCAGTAGTCACTGGAAATAGAATACTGGGGGTTTTCAGCCATTAAAGGTAGCAAACCTACAAATGAAAAAGCAAGTGAGTTACACCCGGCAAACGGTTTTCCGCATCGAGAGCGCCCTTCCGCCGTATCACCTGACAACGTTCAATTTCAATGCAATGCTCTACGCGCAGAAGTCTAGCCATTTCACATACACTTAGTAGCTTTACGCTGGGTATCTGACTACCTCACTTGTTCCTGAGTTTAAAGGCCTACGATAGGCCCTTACCTTTTTTCCCGGGGTCGACTTCATTCGCCACGAAAAGTAAAAATCCGGACCCCTTGCAGAAAGGCGCAGGACTGTACTTCTTGCTGGAATTTGTAGAACCCATTGGCGGAGCCATTACCAATCAAGGGTTTCGTGTACACTGTAGATCCGTGAGGTAAAAGTCCACTTAGTGGCAATTGGAGGACAGTCCTCGGCTTCTCTTAATCATCATTCCAAGGGCTTTGAGTGATTGAATGGATCCTCCTCATATTGACATGCAGGACGGTAAAAGTCCACAACGACCTTGCGTCCTTCTCAATCCCGAGTTCCTGGAAATCCTTTGCACTAGCCAAACTCTATGTTTCTGCCCTACGCTGTAGTTGAATAAGAAGGGTCCTTGGGTCTGTTCAGATGTACGTCTTGGCGATGTGCTTGGTGTTGCTAGGCAGACAGGCGTCTCATGGAGTCGTGAAGCTCGCTCTGTTCATTCCGACCCTCGTGTCACCAGTTACCCCAGGTTTTGTGGTTCTGTTTGAGCGAAACTGGCTCTTTACCTTCACCTCCGCATCATGAACTGGCGAGAGAGTGTCTAGATGGAGAGCAAGGCATCTTTTCATAAACGCAGTACTTCATGTATTGGCCGTCAAAGTAGAGTATCTGTCGGTCGTTGGAAGACTTACGGGATTCTCTTCTTTTTAGTATATGTAATTCAACAACCGTTCCACGGACCTGACAAGCACAGCACAGCATTGTCTGGATCGAGTCCACCTTCTTTCAATGCACATGCCAGTCACTTTCAATAGCTTAGGACAAGAGAAAACCGGTTGCAACTGCAGCAACATCTCACCACCCTGACCCGGATGGCAATTAACAGACTCACCGAGGCGAAGCCACAGTCGGACCATCGGCTCCCGGCCTTGGCTGACCAAGCAACCTTGACCGACCTCAAATGATCGACTGCGCATCTTTCTCCCGCATACTTCACATTCCTTATGCAAGTCTCCCCATCAAGCACGGCAGATTGGGTGGCCAAAGCACCCTTTTTACCCCACACATCTCGAGAGTCTTGTTCGAGTGGGAGAGAGAAAAGAAAAAGCCCCCCCCCCCCCCCCGGTTCTCATTGGACATCTGGTCCAGGATGGTCTGTGTCTGGCGATTTCGACTACCCAGGACATGATCCTGCTTGCTTAGTCTCTAAATCGACGTTGATGTACAATGGGGGTGTCTTGAAATGACCTCATTTCACCATACCCTTGCCTCCGGTCAGAAGGATCCCAGTACCCGATTAGTAGACGCGCAGCGCGCTGCCTAGGACAACCTCCTACAAGGGAGACTTTACAAGGGTCTAGGCATCGCGATGAACAGCACGGTAGCTGTAATTATGCATATTGATCCTTCAGTGAGGGAAACCGCGCATTTTGTGTGAATCTTCAGAACTTGGTGCGCGACTGCAGTGGACCTTGGGAGGTCACCTTGGCGTCGTGCATCTATCGATGCCTGCAGTTGGTCGACCGCGGAAATGGAATGAAAAGAGTCTCTTTAGCCAGAGCGTGACATGAATTTGCTCGGACTGGAACGCGTATGACTCCTTCACTTACTGTCGACCCCGAACTTGGTGGCAATACAGGCGAGCACTCAATGAGATGAAGATCGACCCATGTAGCTCAACCTCCGATTCCTCCGAGGAACATCGATGGTATGACTCCCTGATAACGATGATTGCTAAGGTGATAGGTACATTTAGCAGTGCCATGGCGACAGTCTGTTTTCAACGGTGTTCCAGCTCTTTCCCATCTACATCTCAAATTTACCAGACATCTGTGTTTCTAAAGTCCTTTCAGCTCGGCCTGTCAGATGTCTTGAACTATCATTCTGGTTGCAACTTCCAATGTCTCCTAGCATTCGAGCGCATTGCCTGACAACGGAAGATGCAAATCATCAATCCTAGTGGGGTACATGATCATCTCACCACCCTAAGACTATTCAGCAGATTGCTGGCTATATTCCAGATTGCACCGTCGCCTCGGAGATTTCTACTCTGACAGTCGGGCAGTACCTACGCCAACACGACACGCACTGATCAAGCTTGACTCGAGAAGCTTGGCCCCCCCCCCCCCCGTACGTCCACCCTCGGTTGCACTGAACCCAACAAGCGTAATCTCAACGAGGTAGTTCACAGGCGACCTTGAGCATCTTGCCTTATTGTTCCAGTGAGACTGTCAGCATGGCCATCTATCTCTAACAAATCGTTCCACTTTTTTATATCCTACCAGACCTCCACTCACCTACCCATTCGCACACGGTCCCAGGGCTCGCCTGCCTTCGACATAAGGTTGAACCATGGCAGTCATTCATGAATCAGCTTCAAATCAGATAGATAATGCTGATGGCTCACCTAGGATCTGAGTCGAAAAAAAAAACATCTGCTATCGAAACTTGGAGCCGTTCCCAGGTTTCAAGCCCTCGCTACTTATATGGTCGGGAAATCCTTTTACCTAGTCTCGCCCGGAATATGTGTACCGCTCGGCATCAAGATTGGCGGGGGGCTTCAGCCTTCCCTAACAAATAGAGATGGATGCAATCAAGCCCTCGCGAAGTCATTGAAGTTAGACCCGATTCCGTTATTTGCACTTTCATGTGTTTTTGCTTGGTAGCCATCATCAGCAAGAAAGTCAAGAGAGAGACGACAAGAAAGAGGAGAAGAGAGAGGAGGAGAAGAGGAGAAGGAGGGTGATTTCCATTGACACGTCTCACGGCGAAGAGTAAGTCGCGGTCGAGCTGAATTGAAAGCAAAATCGAACAATGCCTACCCATACATTCTCAGCTTGGCTATGTTAAAACCCGTGATAGCGTCGTCAATCACTATTCTCGATCATACCAGTACCATACCAGTAAAAGGATGTCTGTCCAGATTGTACCTTCACTTGCTGTTCATAAGCGAAGCTCCCAAAATTTGCAGAAAAAGCTCGGTACATGGATTCTAGACCGCGCCGGCAGATTATCATTCATCAGATTCATCGATGCATCGTAGGAGGTACACATAGGTGACAAAGTACGAACAGCTCAGCGATCCATTCTGCATTGAACTGAGACCAGACATAATAATAGACTCGGACTATCCTGTTTCAGACCCCGAGTAATCGATCATCACGGAAACATATGCTGGTCGGACTGACGGAAGCAGCAACGTCTCCTCGACCTACGCATGACACTGATGTGGCTTCCCGTAACGTGGTCGATGTTTTCCAAAGAACTGCAGAAGAGGAAGCAGGCAAGGTTAAAAGAGCCCCCTTTCCGTGTACAATCTTGACAGTTTGCGACTTCGTCGGTCCGATTTCAAATCCGAATATAAGCTTGGCGGCGGAAGAGATGCTGTTGTATGCGAGTTGCCGTGGTCTGAGTCAAAAACAACGAACGAGCAGCTACCAGGTCCATTTGTCCGGGCAGTACCGGGTTCATGTTTTCCTGAATGCTCTTTCGATCCAAGGTTCTGTGGTGTGCGTATGAGGAATTGCTGGAAAGACATGGAAGTTCTTGTTCTCGTGGTTCGGAGCCCAGATCAGAGCTATGATGATGGCGGTCAGAATCATGAACAATTGAGGTCATTGAAGGACGAGATGCGCATTCTCAAGGAACTTCTCGGACTCGAGATGAAAGAGGTTCTACTCTGATGTTAGTGCCCCCTTTGCGGTTTCTCATGATTCCACATCGGCGGAAGATTGGTTGGAAGTGAAGACGTTCTGACAGACAGGAGGTGTCTGTTCACTAAGGAAGCCCCTCGTGAAGACGATTTGCGGAGGGAACTACACCGAGGCAAGAGAAAAAAAAACAGCCTTGTCGTCTCGCCGTGACATGTCCTCGGCAGTTCGCCTCAGATCACGATCTTTGCCCATGGCTGTTCTAGAACAGCTGCTGTGACTCGCCAAATTCGTCGATGGCGGGATTGAATGGCGGACAGATTGTGGCTTGACCCACCAACATTTGGTTCCAGTCTGACAGTGCATATTAGTCCCACTGTTCCAAACACGAGAACAATCGATGAAGATGTTGAAAGCTCGAGAATTTACAGGATCCGCAGATGAAAGGATATATGCGACCGGTAATACCCTCACCGTGCCGAGTGAGGTTGCTGTCTTGGTTGTCTCTGGGGCGAAACCGGGGAACCTGGAGATGTTGACGTCGATAACAACAAAGAAATCAAGGCTGACTGGGACTCGTGAGATGGCGGCTTTGTTAGCGTCTCATCTCGATAAGCCGGCACAATGCCAAGTTCCACGCGGAGGCAGCCAACATAAGCCGCAACCCCTCAAGGACGACCACGCACTGGTCAGACTTCTTCCTTTTTCAAAACACTTCTTCAGTCCACAGAATCTGCGTTTGATAGTCTGGAAAGGCTACCGTCATACATCACCTTCGCGACCGTGACAAACGGTCCAACATGGTTGAGCAACATGCCGACACCGATGAAACTCGACCCCTGCTCGCCGATGAGTCTTCACTGCGAACCCCTGCATGCTCGCAACAGAAGAAGTTCATGATCTTGACCATGTGTGCGATCTTCGTTTTGGCGGCGGAAATTGGCACTTTTGTCTCGCTCGCTCCTGAGACTGCGATCTACGAACGGATCATCTGCCGCAACCAGGGAATACTGTCTGATTCAGTTGATACACCTCTCGTTGGAGTTCCACCGGCGAATCCAAATGACCCTTGCAAATCGGAGTCCGTGCAGGCCGAGCTGGCGCTCATTAAGGGCTACAAGGACATGTTTGAGGTCCTTCCTAGCATTCTACTCTCCCTACCATATGGCGTACTGTCGGATCACTGGGGGCGCAAGCCCGTCCTCTTGTTGGGCATTGTCGGAATTGTACTCGGGGAGATGTGGATTCGTCTGGTTGGTAAGTCGCGGAGAACTCCTTTGCCTGCGAACTCAAATGAAAATTATATTTTGGGCGCACGAAAAACTGATCGACACTCGATCGAACCTGTCCTGTAGCATTTTTCCCAACTGTGTTCCCGCTTCGCTTGATATGGATGAGCGGGCTGTTCAGAATCATCGGCGGGGGGACCAGACACTCGTGACAATAGCGCTCGTTATGGTCGCGGACGTCTTTTCAGAAGAAGAAAGGTAAAGCAGTGAGACACGAGTACTCTCACGAGAAACGCTAACCAGCTCTTCAGAACAACCGCCTTGTTTCGTCTACAATCATGCGCCATTGTCGCCGAGATCTTGGCAACTCCTCTCAGCGCTTGGCTCATGCAGTTTGATTACTGGCTGCCGTATACTCTCGGGTTCTTCATTATCGTTCTCGGATGCACTCCAAGTTTGTTTCTGCCAGATACGCTGCAGGAGGCCAAAGCGAACAAGGCCAGATGGCTTGAAGTAGCAAATGCAGCTTCTGGGGAGACTTGTGACACCGTTCACATTGACGGCAACGTGGCTGATGCCAACATTGAAGCACCCGCCAAACGCTCAGTCTTGCAAGAGTTTGTGGATCAAACTGTCGAGTTCGTTCGCTCAACGCAGTTCATCTGGCGCAACATTAGTGTTCTCCTGATAGTTCTGAGTCTGCTGGTCGCCATGCTCAGTCGATCATCTTCGATTGTGTTGATTCAGTACGTCTCGAAGAGATTCCACTGGAGCATCGCTCGGGTACGTGTTTGTCTTGTCGAAACAGAGGATGTCTGCCAAATTACTGATGACCGAGCAGTCAAGCCTTCTCATCTCGATACGCGGAGTCTTCACCCTGCTCAACTATCTAGTTATCATGCCCGGTGTATCCTTTGCCGCGACGCAGTACCTTAACATGCATGGCGCGCGCCGCGATTATAACATTACACTCGGGAGCGGAATACTCATGGTTCTCGGCTTTGGCCTGATTGGACTCGCACCACTGCCTCCGTTTCTGATTCTTGGAGTGATTACCCTGTCTCTCAGCACAGCCTTTAGCATCACCGCACGCAGTTTGGTGACTAGTCTGGTGGCCCCGGATCATGTGGGGACTCTATATTCCGCGATCACGATTTCTCAGTCCATTGGAATTCTCGTGGCCGGCCCGCTCTTTGCGTACTTGTTCCGGACTGGGTTGCATCTGGGTGGTGGCTGGATGGGACTGCCCTTTGTGCAAGCCGGTCTGCTCTCGTTTATCGCAACGGTGGCCGTGACGTGTGTGCGGGTTCCTTCTCCAACGTGCCCTGCTGTAGAAGAAGAGGAGCACTTGCTACCGTGAGTCAGTGTAGTTGGTGAATCAGGCATATCACCACCAGTACACCAAAGAATGTTCGCACTCGAGTATCACAGCTCAACACTGGATCCCAGCTTCCATTCCCATGTCCCGCCAACGAAAGAATGTGCTTAATACAGCACGTCTTCTGTTCTATCAGGCATATCGGAGTCAATCTTCTTGTATAGAATGAAGATTCGGACATTTGAACAAACCTGATCAGGGCCACTGCGAGATATTTCACCGTAGTAGTTTGACTCGGAGATGCTGCACGCCTAGTCACACCCTCGGTCAGCGTCCTCTCGGCGTCCCTCGTCACTGATTCGCTCTTGAGCGGGTGATCGGCAGCTCCCTTAATCTTGTACAATCGAATCGGTCAAATATCCGCAGCAGACGATGCAACCTCAGCTCGCCCCCATTCTATCCACAAAGTCCCGGAAATACTAGTTTCATTCGCTCAAATTGACAGCCCAGGACTTCCGACGGGGAACCCGCTATCTCATTCAGCCATTGTTAACGGTGATTGGCGATTTCATCAATTTGCCTTCTTTTGCTCCGGTCGGAGTCCCCTCGTCTGTTCGTCAGGCGGGATGGCTTAGCGGGACCAACTCGGCCGCTAGACATCCAGGCAGGCCAATACTAACAACGAGAAGCTGTGAAGAATCCTCCGCCAGGGCAGATAGAGCGCCGCTATCGATCGCTTGGGGACGAATCAGCACAGACTTTGGCAAGCATGTGCTGGTATCAGTCGTGATGGACATCGTTCCTCTCCTGAAGCACCGCTTGCTTTTTGCTCCGGGCCTGCAGATCTAGTCAACGCCGCTGTTTCTTCAGCACTTACGCAAGTGGTGTAGCAGCGGAGAATTTAGGGAGATGCTGTCTAGCCTAGAGACTATTTATACCCCATGTGTTGGCCCTCTCGATTCAAACCGTCATCGACTATCACATCCTCTTCGTGCGCATAGTTTTGCCGATTCAGAACCCAGCAATGTCTCTCTCTCGCTCTGCTCTTCTGGGCCTGGCAACCACCTCGCTGATGACCGGAGTCTCTGCCCAGCTCAAGACATGCAGCAACAGCAACGTTTTCAGCTGCCAGAGTTCGTCCCATGTTCCTTCCTGCTGCTTCAACTATCCTGGTGGAGCTCTCTTACAGACTCAGTTCTGGGACACCAACCCTTCCACCGGTCCTTCTGATTCGTGGACCATCCACGGTCTGTGGTACGTTGAAATATCTTTCTTGTCTTGGATTCCCTCTTATGTCGATTGCGAAACGAATCCCCTAGGTCATGAACGTACTTTATCCAGACACTGATCATTCTCCAGGCCCGACAACTGCGATGGTAGCTATCAATCTAGCTGCGATCCCAGCCGTGCCTACACCAACATCTCCGACATCCTGCTGTCTCAGGGTCGTGATGACCTTCTGTCATACATGCAGAACTACTGGGTCGACATCAACGGCGACAACGAGAACTTCTGGGCCCACGAATGGGGTAGGCACGGTACTTGCATCAACACCATCGACCCCAGCTGCTACAGCAACTACTCTCCCCAGGAGGAAGTCGGCGAGTTTTTCCAGAAGGTCGTCGATCTCTTCAAGGGTCTCGATACTTACAAGGTACGTGAGGAGACAGGACCTTTTCGTGAACCACATTCATGACTGTGCCGACGGCTGACCCATGCCTTTCCCTCCCTCCCGTATAGGCACTCGCAGATGCTGGTATCACCCCTGATGACTCTCAGACATATGCTCTGAGTGATATCCAAGCTGCTCTGACCAGCTTTCATGGCGGTGCCTCGGTCCACCTTGGTTGCTCCAGTGGTAAGCTGAATCAGGTGTGGTACTTTTTCAATGTCGCTGGCAACGCTATCGACGGAAAGTACGAGGCTGTCGACACTTGTAAGTTTAGCTTCAACCGGCAGTACTCTCATTGTTCCCGACGTGGCCTGTCAGATCGAAAACTAATTTTTGGACACAGTGACCAAGTCGAACTGCCCTAGTAACGTTCGCTATGTTCCCAAGTAAATGGTCGCAGAGCTGCGCTTGTCGCGTCTACTTCGAATGGGGGTGGCTAAGGTCTGGATCCCCTCACTGGGATGTGTTGAGTGCATGTGGATGGGAAGATAAGGATGGATTGGTAAAGCCATGCAAGCTGCAAGCACATCATGAAGATTATGATTACATGGATGAATGACCAGCATTTCTCTCATAAACAACTCTCCCTGAGAGACCCAGGATCAAGACAAAGTAAGATAGTGAAGTCAAAGTCTGACTGTCCTGGCAAGACTGCGGCCAGGAAGCAAGAACAGCGCGCACCGTGGTCAAGACGCGTGGTTTTACCAAGCCTCAGCTGTTCTTCGTGTCGGTATTACGACTAATTCGAAAGAAGCACCGCCCACCAGCTCTGCTGCTTAGAGCAGGCTCGGTGTAGAACCAAGATTTGAGGGGACCGACAGGACTTTCTGCATTCGGGTTTTGATATCAGCCTACTGGGCTTTCTCGGGCAGCAAATGCGCGGCCGCGCAGCCTCGCGGCCTCAGAAAATGCCAATTGAATGGTATCAGAATCGTGGGATTGCGGTGTCAGCGAGGAAGGACCTGCGCGGGGCGTGGTCCCGAGCCCGAGCCATTAGTACGGTCAGACTGTCCTTCCCAGTCGTGTAAAGGGAGGGAACGCAGTTGGGGTTCAAGCGATTGTTGGCATGTCCTGGAGACTCAGGCATATAGCTCGCTTAAAAATCCCAGGCCTTTTCAAACTCCCCCTCAGACGAGCTTGACGAGCCTCCTCGTCTCGTTTTGTTTCCACACGACCCAAAAAGTCCATACGGCCAATATAACCCTCCTTGGCCTTGCTGTGGGTACGCAGTTCGTCTTTGATGCCCGCCTTGTCCACATACTGCGCCCAGTCGAGTCGCGACTTTTCCACTGTATTGATCTTGGGACCGGTGGCATCCGCAGTTGCGTCTGTGATTGCTTGTCTTTCCCAGCTCTTCTTGATCGTGTCGGGCGGATTAGGGTCGAATCTCGAGAACTTTCTCAAAGGTCGGCGAAGATCGCGCATGCCCTTTGCCCTATCTCCGTCAAGGACCTCGGTGAATTCCGCATTTTCTCCAGAAAGGAATGCTTTGGCTTCAGCCGAGTCTTTGCGCACAACCTTTTCCTCGGTAATCATTTCACCCGCGAACTTGTAAGTTCGTCTGATCTTGACCATTTGCTCTGCGTGTGTATGTTGAGGGGGGTCGGATCGGGTTGAGGGGCACCCTTGGATGGTGCACGAGTGTGGCGCCCTGAAGGAATCGCTGCTGGCGCTGTCTCTTCTTTTTGATCCTCCGACGGCTGGCTGACGCCCGCTTGATTATCGAGAGTATTCATTTGCGCCCAGAGGGCGTCGACGTCAACTGTTGCGCCGTCAATTCGGGCGAGGGGTTTTCGTTCTTCTTCCTGTCTGTATCACGAATCAGCTGCCATGTCTTTGAAATTTCAGCCTTGATCTTGAGAATATTACCCACATGTGCTTCTTCATCGCGCGAGTCCGTACAAACCCCCATGTCCCTGTCTCTTCATCCTCACCGACCTCATATTCCTGGTCATTGACCCTCGTCTTCCCCGGTTGACCACCCCCTTCCCGGGCTTTCTGTATCGTAATCTCATCGCCAGAGTCTAGCTCTGCGTCCACAACATCCTGGCTTTTCTCAGTCCTGCGTTTCTTTTTCGCCGGCTCGTTGGAGTCCTCGTCGTCGGAGGACAATTCGGACTCGTCTTGCGCTGCGTCGAGCTGAAAGTCTTCATCCTCAGCTGACTCGTACGGCTCGTCATCGAGATCAAGCGCGGTCGTCGTATTGATGTCAGCGCACATCTTGTGTCACTCCAACACGCTTTTCTGGCTAGTGGAAGACCATCGATAAAGAGGCGAAACAGACGCGCCATATGGATTTTGCCGAGGGCGGTATTGATAACGATTAGGTAACGTTTTAGGTGTGGCCCCGCCCGGACAACACCAGGCACGGGCTTGATGCGCCCGGCCAGCATTGGAACCACCGATGTAGATTGGGAAGTGGCACTTGATAAACGCACTGCATGCCCGTCCACTTCTTCCTTAATCGTCGCATTGAATTTGAATACCTAGCTTTGTATGAATTCAATATACCTCCACACAAGAAGTCAAGAATTTCCTGTCTGGAAGCCGGTGAGCGAATACATAGGTGCGCCATCCCATTGTATCTGACATTTCTCGCGCTTAAAACATGACTCTGTCAAAATTTCAGGTTACCTCCAGCTCCCCTGAGTACAAAATTTTGGTGCCAAAAATATCTACAGACTTTAAGACGTGAAGTCAGAGAAGATTGGCAATATACTACATAAAGAAGAAGCATCTTGCTTCGAACGATCTCGGGCTCTTCGCATAATTTCCAGGTACCCATCAAGGCCTTAGCAGTCCAGTGCGTAGTCGTACATGCTCGTGAAACTGTACCAAACTGCATACTGATTCATAGTTGCATACCAAAAGCTTAAGCATGGTATAGCTGCTTGGTGGCAATTTCGAGTTTCTCCAACTGTGTGTTTTCCTCGCGACGACGCGCTACGTCTCGCTGTGCCAATGTACCAGCGATAGCGGCGAATCCCATCAGGATTTGGAGAGCGAGCAAAGTACAAACCAAAGCAAACCCAGCCTGAGTGGCATGGCAATCACGAGAAAAGTCGACGGGCGCCGACTGTGCCCCGTTAGATGCTTTCCATTTGCAGGTCCAGCTTTGAAGGGTCTCTCCCTGGGTGAAACCACTTGGGTATGATGCAGAAGGCCGATATATGCTGAAGGTGACAGCAACAAGGGCAGTCAAGAACCCGGCAAAGGAAGAGGCCGATGAATAGGAGTTGAGAAGCTTGATGCGGGGGTGTGGCTTTGACATAATACATCAGAGACAGTCATCATCGCCAGTCGAGCTCGGAACTTACAGATGGCAATAGGGCAACGATGGTATACGCCGCACTCAAGACCCCGACCACACACCCGCATGCCAACGCGGCAATATTTGGTCGCACATCAAGATTGAGTGGCCAAAGAACAAGGCCTATGCTCGCCCACTGTGCAGTGTTCTGGTGGTGTTGGAGCGGAACAGCTTCACATGCAACAACAGCAACAGCGACAGCAGTGGTCAAAACAGAAAGGCACAACCGTGCCCAGTGAACAGTCCTGGTACGTTTCAAGAAGTTGGACTCTTCCATGGAGCCGGCCATGGACGTATTCGAGCTCATTGCAAGTCGATATGCGACGACGATATGGTAAAGGATTGAATAAAGATTCTCTGACTTTCCCACCTTGCCAGCAAGGAGACGTACTCGTAAAGAAGGTGAAGTAGAACCTGAAGGTGAAATCGATATCACCCAAAAGGAAGGACGGGGAGGGGGGGGGGCGGCTGGAGTGGAAAATTTGACAACACAGATCTTGCGGTGCGGTTGATTGGAAATGCTATGGTTTTTGTAGGAACGAGTACTCATGCCTCTTGGATCCACGGTCCGACCTGACGGCCCATATTCGTGGAGAAGCCCTTATGATCATAAGTATTCAATTCCCTTCGGCGCGTACCAAGCTCCCTGGTTGGAAAGTCCGTGTATAGACCTCAGAGGACAATTGCTTGGCGGAGAGTCTCAAGCGTTCCCAGGTCGATCTAATTTGACCATCAATAGGCTTGCACGCAGCTGAAACACGGAGCGATCCCAAGAAGCTGCAGATATGCGGAATGGCAGCTGCGGGTGAGAAAGACCATCCTGTCAACAGCCGGTCCCTGCGACAGCTCGGCCTGGCGCCAGGGAGACTGTATCTAGGTCATTTGGCATGAAACGGCAAAGTGATCGCGTCGATGCCAGTCATATGCAGTCGCGGGCTTGCAGATCTAATTTTGGAGGCTCGAGATGAGGATGTGATCACCGTATTTGCGTACATCGACATTTTATTTGACGTTCGACTGCATTTGTGATTGCATAACGATGCACGGTCCGAGTTTATGATTGGTCTTATGGAAGCGCTGGCGGACAAGAAGAGGATGCCTCGGGCGCTTATGATGTTGGGCTTTTGCCCCCTGAATAGTTACCGAAACCATGCATAACCCGTAATCAAATATGCCTCGATGCTGCTTTACATGGTTGATCATGACCCTAATCGCGGGGGTTTGGGTCATTCTGGTGATGTTGAGGAAGTGACAATCCGCAAAGTCGAGCGTCATGGGCATGACCTCCCTGATGAACAAACAAGTCCAGAGTCACGCGCTGTTCCCGACAGAAGGTCCTCCATTGCTCCATTGCCCCCGACCTCAGAGCTCAGGTCCGGTTACTGGATTAGTCATCAAATATGGCCGACGGGACAGGACGGTCACATGTCCAGGTGCGACATCCAACCCTAGCTATCTGTGCTTGGTCTTGGTAGGTTTCAGAGCGAGTGTAGATTGCAGAGCATCTTCTCGACCACCAACTGGAAGCTTGCGGACAGAATGATATCGAGTAAAATATCGTTGGAATCACTTTCCGTGTCAACGGGCCGATCCTTTTCTTGGGCTCAGGTCGGCCGGCATGTGCCTGTCGGCTCGTTTGTTCGGATCGGTTGATCAAGGGAGTCGACTTCAGGAAGCAGGGTCGGTTGGGCATCAGCCTGACTCTGCATCAAGGAAACCAGCCCTCGATTGGGCGAGCAAACTTATAGTCAAAGTATGCCAAATGCAACGAGATCTCTTTGCCTGCCGAAATTGCCGACACACTGTGGTCTCAATCAATCCGACTGGCCGCCGGTTGTATATCAAACTTTCCTGTTGCCATCCCTTGCGCATCTCGATATTGCTCGGTGACTGCCGGTACTGTGCATGACTTGCCGGCGCAGTCAGGTGGAATCCTAAAAGTACAGTCAAGACCGAGACACAGCAATGTCTCCGGCAAGCTCTTTTCCAGGCCCTCGACCGTTGAAAGTCCCTCGATTCAAGGAAGCTCCTTTGCCCAATCCATGTTTGGCTGGAATGCTATATGGATGTCTTCTGACACTGTCCGCCACAGACTGGACTAGGCCAATGATTCTGCTCGGCCCAAAGTGACGTCCCAGGTGCAATCTCTTGCCAGAAATGTCAAGTGGCGGGCTCAAAGACTTTTTGTATCCTCTAGGGGGTTGCAATATTCCTGCCGAGCTGGTCAACGTGGGCCTGACGCCAGAATTTGTCAGGTCTTCTCAAAGACTGCATCCACATTATCCCAACCTTACATCGGAAGAATCCAGCGGGTCGTCCCTTGGAATGTGAATGGCCTAATGCTCGACAATGTATAATTTCCAGTGTCCTTACTACTGGGCCTGGATTGACCCTTGGGGCCAGGTCCATGCCGGCGGACCCTAGAGCCTATTCTCTCCCTCCGCACAAAGCAAAGTTTTATATGAAATTTCCCGGCCAACATTCCAAGCCCAGAGGTATCTCATGGCTGACTTCGTCAGAAAGGATCTCACTCTCGTAGTGACAGGCAGCAATCCTGCTTTGCTCATGCCTGCGATCAAAATCGTTTAAAGGTGTTCTTGCGTCCTGGGAGCTCCCTCGTGGAGTAGGCTTACGACGACTAATCCTAGAGCATGCCGATCATGGCTCCTCTACTGGAGTCGACGCTCCTTCCAGTTCACCTGGCATACTTCTTCCTGTCCGCTTTGATTGGCAGTGCCATCCTGTACACCACATCGGCGCGGATCGTCGATCTGCCCTATGTTGATGCGTTTTTCATGAGCTTTAGTGCCATGACTGGAGCTGGTCTCAGCGTGGTTTGTCTCACCGGTGAATCCCAGTCTCAATGAAGTGCATACCCGCTAACGGTAGCCGAACTAGGTTGATCCCTCTGTTCTGGGGACGGTTTCCCAAATTGTCTTGTTTATCCTGTTCATATTGGGTCATTCAGTACCCATTCACGGTATCATAACTTTGATACGCGCCATGTGTCTGCAGAAGACACTCATTCAGGGTGCAAACACCGGAGAGGGATGTCAGACAAACTGTCAAGGATCATCGGATGGGAAGCATGGAAAATCGGCCCTGAACTGTGGCATTGTCAATCCTGAAAAAGTGCTTCACCCACTTAAAACCAACGTCACTGACAGAGAGATTCCTGCGGACGAGCCCTCGCCCGTTGGAAGCGAGGGCATGCGGTACAGTCGCGGCCCACTGATCTTCACATTCACGAGCTGTGCCAACGGAAAATCCACGCGTCCGGTTCTCGAGCGACAAAAGAACAGAGCCATCAGCTTGAGGTCATTATACACGCTCGCTAGATCCAGACTTGAAATCTTGTTATCTCGCAATGAGAACGTGAACAGCGAATCGAGATTTGCGAAGTCATCTGAAGAGTCCTGGCATGAATACAGAGCACTCATGGTGATTTCTGTGTCGACATTGCTGTACGCAGTTATCTGCCCCTTGATTGGTATCATTGTTGTGGGGTTTTGGTTCAAGCTCCGCCGACCGGATGTCCCACAAGGCGACGGAGTTGCTCCGTTTTGGGCCGGGTCTTTTCTTGTGATGTCTTCATTTGCAAATAATGGCATGTCGCTGATAGACAGCAATATGGAACCTTTCCAAAGAGAGTGGGTATAGCCCGGTCAAACATTTTGACCACCTATTTAATCTCCCATTCTGTGCTGATCACCAATCCTTTAGGGCCATCCCGCTGCTAATATGCGGCTCATTGATTCTTGCTGGAAATACATTGTTTCCGTGTGTCCTACGACTGCTGATCTGGTCAGTCAGACGAATGCTTCCAGATACCCCCAAATGGGAAACTTGGCGACAGGCGTTCGACAACGTTCTTACAGAGCCTCACACTGTAAGCCTCCAGTCGTTCTCGTTGAACATTGACCCATCACTGACTGTCCAAAAAAGCTATGCGGGTTTCTGTTCCCGGCTGGCCACACGTGGTTCCTTGTAGGAACAGTCGTTGTTTTGAACAGCATCATGTGGGGTGGATTCGAGCTGGCAGCACTTCGTGACATTGAGATTGAAGCTCTCCCTCGAGGGTATAGAGCTCTGGATGGACTCTACCAAGCCTTCTGTAGGTGTTCGCCCTCGCTCATTCTGATTTAAGAAGCGAACTGATCAATGGACTCGTCCAGCTATACGAGGTGGCGGTTTCGCGGTCGTCAATATTGATAAACTACCCCAAGCACTGCTGGTGATCTATGGTGAGTTATAATGCTCGTTCCACTGTTGCCATAGCAGTCTTACTGACAAATATTGTAGCAATTATGATGGTCAGACCTCATTACAGCCCTTGCTGCCGGACAATGCTGACATTTTCTCCAGTACCTCTCTGCCCTTCCAACATGTGCTGCTTTCAGGTATGTTTTCTTCTATCTACCCCGGCTGTTGTTTCTGCGAATTATACTGACAAGTTTCAGGAGTGCTTTCTTATCACATCCTGAAGCCGGAAGCCTTTCCTGTCTCGAGGCCGGTACTAAAACGCTCAACCCCGAAGCCAGCGTCTACGGGGGGCCGGTCAGGTCGTGGAGTGTTTTCTATTACGAACGCTTACGCAGTCATCTCAGTCGTGACATGTGGTGGCTTAGTTTTGCCGTCATTCTCATATGCGTTGCAGAGTCACAAAATTTTGCTGACTATCCACTGGCATTCTCCACCTTCAACATTGTCTTCGAAGTCGTTTCGGCCTACAGCTTCGTCGGTGTAAGCGTGGGATATCCTGGTAAAACCACGGCTTTCTGCGCGGAGTGGTCTCCATTCAGCAAGCTTCTGTTGGTGTTGATCGCTGTCATTGGTCGACATCGAGACGTGCCAAACATGGTCATGAGAAGAAATCGGCTCGCGCAGGTCGACGGACAATTGCATGCAACATCGGTTATCCCACAAACAATGATTGACTCGTTCCCCATCGACACTCACCACGACTGAAGTGTCCTGGAGGCTGCTTGTGACCGATTCGAAGAACTCCTGCAACAGCTTCAACAGAAGCGTCGTGATCAAGACACCCCGCCTCGTGTTGTTTTGGCGAGACTGCTGGCAACAACTTCCGGTCATTGCTTTAATCGAGACATCGCTGCTGCCAAGACAGCAATCATCTGCGCTGATATGTGTCTGGGAACCTGGGTTCTGGTGCTTATCACACCAACATCTTCGACCTCTGCATCAGAGGCTGAGTTTTATCTCGTGTAATCCGAGACCAAAATGCCTGGGACCATCTCTTTGCACACTTGCGGTTCCACACCCAGGCCGAATATATCACCTTGCCCAATTCTGTCAGCCCCCTACTCTCAGGGGGGTTGGACAGTTAGAAGGACCTCGAGATCTGGTTCATTGGAGAGAGCTCGCCGCGAGGCTTCGATGGCGTCATGAATCACTCTCGAATGATACTCGCATGAGTCCTCCATGGTCAAGCCTCGTGCCAGCACTGCGCCCACCCACTCCTCTTCCTCCACGGTAGGGCAAAAGCAGACGGTCAAGGTTTGCAGGCGAACCAACTTGCTGAATACATGAAGGAGGGCGTGTTTGTCCATGGACTCGCTCATGATCTCCTGCTGTTCTTCGCAAATATCTTGCAAGACATCATATATGAGCATGTATGAAGGACACTCGTCTGACAGAAAACTTTGACTCTCGTCAATCCATTCACTGTAATCATCGAGAGTCAACAACTCCGAAGCAAAGCAATCAAAATCAAGAATTTCTGCATGATGTATTAGCCTATCTACTGGTATTGTCTCTCAACCTCGTGGCGAGGCCGGAATGATGCAATGGCGTCGTACCTGTCCTCAAGATTTCCGGCGCAGCGTATGCCAATGACCGCACATGGTGCCGTATATCTGAGTTTGCGAGACTTTCGAGTGCCTTCAGGCTTGATGTTGAGAACTCGAATCTGACTGCGCGAAAAAGAATAGGCACTGCGGCGTCTCTCAACCTCTTGTTGGTGCATGATAGCGATTCAATGTCACTGATGTGAAGGTGGTCCATGATCCGTGAAAGCAGCTTGCCATCCAATCGATCGAGGTGGCTCTTCCAACCCATTGTGATCCCTCTTGGCTTTCAAAATCCCCTATCGAACAGTTTTGTTCACTCGCAAAAAGAACAGATGGTTTCCTCCCGTCGCAGGCTCACAACTCAATTGCCTGCTTTATGGGTGAGTGAGAGGAAGAAAAAGGGGGCGATTGTCGTCACAAGTCTCCTTCTTCCTCCTCCTCCTCTTCTTCTTCTTTTTTTATTGCGGGGGGCATAAGTACAGAACCAGAGATATCTACCGAACGTCCTGGGTCTGAATCAATTACATTGCCATCGCCAGGCTTTTCCGATAAGCGATTACGATCACTGTCTTTCAACATCCATCACCTCCGGATCGATGATTGATTGGGCCATGGGAATTCAGTGAATGGAGTTCAGGCAGAGCGTCAACCATCAAATTGCCCGAAAGGATTTTGATGTGGGGGGGGAGCATGTTGCTTCTGGGGCGAGTTCCGAAGATTTTAAAATTGCACGGACGCCTCTCCGTTCGGGATGTTCAAGCCTTTCAAGGGACGGCGTCTCAATAGCGTGTGTACTAGCCCCGCTTATGCTCGTTGGTAACCTACTACTTGGGCGATAATCATTGCACAGGCACAGGGTTCGTACTTAGTAATCGCGTGCTCAGCTACTAGCGGTACACAAGGTGCTGGTAGTCTGGTACTGGGAGTCTGGTCCTATGGACTCATGGAGTATGGACTTATGGAGGCATGGCCTGCTATAGTTTGGTAGAAGTGTATCCAGTGTACCCACCACCCAGTTGCACGCACTTACTTTCTCTCTCGGCCAACACCTTTCGGGTTAGTAGCTTTCAAATAAGCTTACTAAAGCCGGATATCTTCGGCCGAACGCAAAAATTGCCACCGATGACATGACAATCCCAACTTTCTGGCAACGCGTGGGACTTGTTATTGGAGGTATGTACCGCATGTTCACTATGTGCATCCCTGATATCCACCCCGTTGTTGATTATTGAGATACGGATTGAACTGCTCCGTCGAGAGAAGCCAGCCTCGGTTGACGGCCAGCGATTGTTTTGTTATGGAGATAAGGTAGTTGTTGTACTGTCCTTCGACCCATTCACAACATTCCCAATGACTACTGCTGTACTGTATACCTATGCAATTATGCTCTTCAGGGCGTACATCTATGGACATACTCTCCTCATAGCGAATTTGCATCAGTGCAACAACTTTGTAGACAAGAGCCTTCATGCTCTTCTTAACTATCTCGAGAGACGCTCGTGCTTTTACGATTCCCATTCGACTGACCCATGAAGTCATTCCGCAACTCATTTCCAGTTTGCGACCTACTGAAAAAGGTTGCCAAATACTGCACGTTTTCATCAAACCCCGGACGCAGGGCTGGAACATCTTAAACCTCATTACGATATTGCGCGACCATTCTATCGTCATATGGAGTTCTTCCAAGTGCAACCCAATCCTTCGACTCTTGCCAATAATAGCTTATTGAAAATGCAACAATATAGCTTAATAGGAGACATATGCATTTTATGCAGTCGTCAGTGTTACTAGTTAGTCGTCAGTAGTCACGGACTCACTAGTGCTTCCGCATCGAAAGATATTCTACTGTACTTCCACGTTCGATCATCGCACAGCCACCTGCTTAAAGGAGTGAGCCGGACGCCCGGCCCGAAAGAAAACCTCACTTGTCCGGGCTCCATTCGTTCCATGACAATTCCACGCTCTTCTTCTCCAGAAAGGAAAGAATTTTTTTTCTTTTTCTTTTATTTCCATACAAGTGCCTAAGCCATCGATGTCTTGTTTGACCAAGCGCAGTCTCGTTTGATCCAAAGTCACCAAAAGGAAACATTCACACAACGTCGACACCACTGTCAGTGTACGCACGTCACTCCCATCGATAATGCCACATGATTCGTAGCCCCTCCGTCAACGTCGCTGAATTCCATGCGCTTTAGCCTTCTTTTTCCACTCCATCTTTGACTTTACACTAGCGAGACTATTCAAGCCACCAGCCCTAGATTCTGGAGACGCTTTCCCCACCTACTTACTACTCTTGCTGGCTTTATGTACACTCCGGGGGCTTGATAGTTTGTGGTAAAAGAAGAGGTTGTCGTTGCCCTGTTAGGGTCTTGGGTACTCGAGAATGTACTGTAACTTGGGTAACCTATGCCCTATGGTCCTATGCTTCGTCCGCCCATTTAGGAGCTGAGAGAACGAACCAGGGACCCCTTCTGGCAAGACTCGATTGATCATATGCGGCTGTAAATGGTATTCGGTTCGTCACATACATTCCGAGCGAGTAGGTCACTTCAGACAGACCATAGTTCAGTTGCACGAGTGTGAGTAAGGTGTTCTCTCGGTCAGCCATAAACATCCCGTCTCGACAGGGGCTTCAACGGTCGCTAGGTATGCATGGTTTACCTAGCCTATTACTGAGCAGTGAGCAGTGAGCAGTGAGCAGGGAGGACATCAAGGACGGTAATGCAGAACTGTGGGTTTGCGGTTCACAAAGTGCAGCCTGCATCCCTAAAGGAGATAGTGTTCAATGTTGGAGTTTTTATCTCTCCAGTCCCCAATGCATTTCATCCCCTGAAGTGGGTCGGACCCTCTCCCCTCGGACCATTGCCACGTTCGGATGGCAAGATTTTGGTAAATGTCCAGCATCACTGGAAAAGCAAAGAAAACTTTAAAAAAGTCCCGATATGCAAATCAGAGACCTGATTCAGCTCTGATGTCCATCCTCTCCTTCTTTGTTGTCAATGCCGAATTGCCGATTTTTCCGGGTGATGTCTTCACTTTGGGGGACGTTTCGTGCCAAGTACCGAGGTATCGGGGAGGAATACTGGAACAGTGGAAACAACTACTATATGCGTTGATAAGGACAGCGCCTATAGTACTTTAGTACGTAGTTAGTACTAGTCACTTGTAAGTAGTAAGTCGTCAGTAGTACTCGGGCGATACCAGACGGTCTGCACGACATGGAAGTTTGACAACCGGATGAATAGAGCTGACAATGCCATGGACCATTTAATGGATGGGCTCTGGATTCCGGTATGACCGCGCCCCCGGTGTCGATGAGTTTATTCGGTTCAGCGAATGGTCGTCACTTTGGCAGACGTTCATTGATTCAAAGCCCCCTTGTCTGGAGTAGACGACAGGAGACCTTCTTTCCGGACATACCAACCACCAGGTCAGATTTGGAACGTGTCAAAAGCTACTGTGCTCGTTCCAAAAGGTCAAGGTACAGTGCAGTTGTACAGCCCACGCATGAATCAGGGGATCGTCCGGCAATAGCCTCGAAGACCCGGCACTTGTGAGACCCGTCGACGTGCACACTCGTTGGCCATGTCTTGGTGATATGTTGTCGCCGCCACAGGGCATAGGGGTGCTGTATTCGATGCGTTAAGCTCTCTCTGTCTTTGCACCGATCAGCCCGACCGCGGCATAGCAATTGAAAGATCTACTACTAGTTGATGACCATCCTTCATGCACTGCATAAGAGGACTTCGATTGCGGGGAAATTCCCTTCTGGCAACGTCGTTTGGACTCGGAAGAGTCTAGGCTTCATCACACAAATATAAATACCAATTGAGTATCAGAAAAGCATCACTTCACAAAGAAATCATTGATCTCCTTTTCTTCGCCTCTTTCTTTTCGACAACAATCAACGATCGCATACTCGACGTCCTCGTGTATAAACAAGTTGTTCTCACAGGGAATCGCGGGGAGATACGGCTGAAGATGAGACCGCCCGGCAGAAAAAGAAAATTGAGGGCGGGGTGCATCTCTGGGGGAGCTACGCCGCAGCGCTCTCGAGTCTCAACATCTTCCAGCTTTTGATCCAGTGTATCTCATCACACAATGCCTCTTTCTCAGCTCCAGGGAGTCAAGCTGCCGGCTTCGGCCGATTTTCACGGTAAGTTCAAGGCGATAGAGAGGCCCCAATGCAGAGGTTCCTTCTCCGACAACGACTGACCTGAGACCAGTCCATCTGCGGGAGGGCCCAATGATGGAATTGGTGACGCCCACAATTCGACAGGGTGGTGTGAATACAGTTTTTGTCATGGTGAGTATGCACAGAGAAGAAGACGACCAGGAAAAAGAGCGCCCGTGGAATTTGATCATTCAGAAACCATGATCAGCAGAGCTAATGCATTACACCGACTTCGCATTAGCCCAACTTGGTCCCTCCCATCACCACAGTCGACCATGCCTTGGATTACAAGAGGCGCCTCCAGGCCATTGAGCCCAACGTCAATTACCTCATGTCCCTCTACCTTCACGAGTCAATCACTCCAGAGACAATCGTCGAAGCAAAGCAGCGCGGAATCACCGGCGTCAAGAGCTACCCAGCCGGCGTGACGACCAATTCAAGCTCCGGCGTCGTGGACTATACTTCGTTCTACCCAGTCTTTGCCGAGATGGAGCGCCAAGGCTTGATCCTGAACCTGCACGGCGAAGCTCCGTCTCGTGGAGACGTGACGGTGCTCTCGGCAGAGGAGAGATTCTTGCCCATTTTGGCCGAGCTGCACGCCAAGTTCCCCAAACTCCGAATCATCCTCGAGCACTGCACCACTGCCGCGGCGGTCGAAGCCGTCAAGAAATGTGGCCCCACGGTCGCAGGTACCATCACTGCTCACCATCTCTCGATCATCATTGACTCGTGGGCCGGTGATCCATTCTGTTTCTGCAAACCCGTAGCCAAGACCCCAGCCGACCGAGATGCCCTCCTTCGCGCCGCTGCATCTGGCAATCCCAAGTTCTTCTTCGGCTCAGACAGCGCCCCTCACCCGTCGGCGTCCAAGCGTGGCGGTGAGAAGATTGCCGCCGGTGTTTTCACTCAGCCGTACACCACCCAGGTTGTTCTCGACTCCTTTGAGCAGGCCGTAGAGAATGGCGTGCTCAAGGACGAAGACATCACGCCCGAAATCGTCGAGGGTTTCATGAGCAAATTTGGCCGTGCCTTCTATGACATCGGCCAGGAACAAAAAGAGTTCATCAAGTTAGAGAAGAAAGGTGAGAAGATCGCAGAGATCTTGAAGTCTGAACAGACCGACGTGGTTCCTTTCCGCAAGACCCAGGAGACATGGACGGTCACTTGGTTGTAAATCGTCTGTTGTACAACCACGAAGGAGACCGGCTGAAACCCCAAAACGGAAGAAAATTCCGCTCCAAATTGAAGAAGCGCTGTGTTCAAAGCAAGGTGGCTCTTGTACAATGAGCCAACATCATTCTTTCCTTGTCTGCGTGAGCATGTTTGCCACGTTCTCCAAAGCCTGGGCCTCGGAGATATCGATGCGACGGCCCGCGACAATCGTATTGCCATCGTCACTTACGGCCAATTGGCCGGCACGTTCCAAATGTAAACGGATGCGGCTTTCGATGTACTCCCTGCGTTCGTCCCGCTTGGACTTGGCTCTGATCTCTGCAGACGAGCCAGGCAAGCTAGCTAGCTTGGGCCGTAGATTCTCGAGAGCGGCATGCAAAGCCGGCAATTGAGACAGAATAAAGGTCGTGTTGGTGGTCAGTGGGGCATGTTTGGTATTTACGCCGGCGCCCACGCCGATGCGAAGCTGACGGGCAGCGGGACTGGACGTAAGGAAGGACAAATCGATGGCATTTCCTGCTGCAGGTGCCTTGACTTCGTTCTCAGGAGTCACATTTGCCACTGTGGACAGTATTGATTTCAATTGAGCAATGACAGCTTCGTTCCGCGCAGACTCTTCTTTTAGCGATCGCGTGAGTTTCCGAGTTTCCAAAAGCTTCTTTCGTTGCGCAAGAATGGTCTCGGGTGTGGGCGAGTTCGGGCCTGGATTGAAAGAGAGCCCCTATTGAATGATGACGCTCCATTAGATCTCACAATTTTCAAGATCATTGACTAATCAGACAAGGTCACCAGCAAGCCTACCTCGTAATGCTTCAGGCGCACCCAGAAAAGTAAGTCCTCTGGCACAGTGAGAATATTTCTCAAGACATAGATCTCGAACTTGTCAAAAGCTTTGTCCACATTTGCCTCGAGCAGGGTCTCAAGCTGATGCAGTCCATTTTCAATCTCCAGTCGAGCTTCAGGATAGACGACATTGCCATCCTCATCGGTGTCAGGGATGGTCGAGCCATTGTTTGCGTGTCCGAAACCCAAACGCTCCGGCGGCGTCGCAAGAAGACCAGACTCTAAGCTTGAAATTGCTTGGTAGATCAAGTTATTGATGGAGTTGATGATATCATCGATCAGGGACTAAATCATCATCAATCGGCGTTAGCAGCTGCGACTTACTAACATTTTTTGACCACGACCATCAAGTGCAATAAGTTGCGCCGGACACTACGGCCCGGGACGCGATCGGGCTCAGACAAAATAGAGCTGAATGTAAGGGCGAGACATACCAGAGGTGTATAGCTAAAGTGCTCCGTGAGCAATGAAGTCGTTGCGTCGTTCATCTTTCAGTCATATAGCGCCTCGCCACGGACGGACCTTGACTTTTGTGGTACGGGCGTGCGCGCGTTGGGAGGACCAAAAGACGCGCCGAGGCGAGGGGGGGGGAGATAAGGATAAGCTGCTGAGTCGTGACCGCTTTGAAGCGGGGGGATGTATGATCGGCCGACGGGGAGTCCCTTGGCTTGCTGGCTGTGTCCACCCGTTAAGCGGCTGGAAGCATACCACTGAAGTACTTCCACGTTTCTATTCCAGGGCTAATTGGCTATCCAACTAATAGACTCTTGGGATGAAGTGGTAGCTACGAGGGTGCCGAGAACACAGCACAAGCAATCAATGACTCGCATTAACCCGCAATCTCACTAACGGTGCTACAATCCTCAAGTCAAGATGGCGACATCCTGCAGTAACACAGTCCCTGGCACGTCGACATGCGATACAACATGAACTCCCGTTATAGTATTCGAATACCTCACGAGCCGGTTATGTAGCTCTACAGGTCAGAAACAAATCTTTAGTTGAAGACACAATCTCTTCTGGCGCAAGATGTGTACACACACGCCACTTGATGTTCAGACCGCATGTATCAGTCTTGAAGCTTGCAGTTGCTCGGGACGATTTTGAACGGCCGGGCTTCAATAGGCCTTCGGCCGGCTTGGTTGGATTCTCAAGCACCTGGAATTTCTATTAAAGGGAGACTGGACCTCGCATGTCGAGCACTACCGTACTTCAACACGTTCCTTCCTTGTGAAGCCTTGCCAGTGAGTGCCAAATTCTGACTATCGACCAGTGGCTCGCCTTTCTCTAACACGGATACAGAAAATGCAACACTCAAAGCAACTGCGAGTGCTGGTGATCGTTTCCCAGCGAAGCTCCCTTTACAATCTCAGTACGACTGCCCCCGAAGAGATCGTGTTGCGAGCAATGCGACTTGTCGTGAAAAAAAATTGTGGCAATCGGCGGACGCCTCTCCCCAGACACGACTTCTTACAATACAGAAGTGGAGAAGCCGGACATACCTCGTCTTCGACATTGCCCATGACGAATACGACACAAAGCTCGGTCACCTCCCGGAACACAATCAGCTTCATGTGTTGGTCGCTCACTTTAGCAAGAAGAAAGCGGCTTATCCGGCAAGCTCGTGGGTCTCACAACAAGTCAATCATGACGTGGCGATGCTGCACAATGCTAATGGTTATGATGTGAGCCCACCATTTGTCGAAGACCACACTCTCGGAGCGCCGCCGACGTACCGCAACCCACGCGACATATCTCTGTTACGGGTGGAATATGTCTAGTTCTGCGCTCGACTGATGGCAATCATGGCGGCGCAGAGCTGCAGAAAATAGGTCGTCCCTCGGTCTTGACTGGGTTGAGCGATACCGAGTAATTGGCGGCCGCCCAGGGTATAAAGGGGTGCGTCTGATTTGCAATTGCAAAGTACGTAAACTCATGACTAGAACGGATTAAAAATCCATCGTGAGCTGCGGCGCCATCTTCTCGAGGTCCTCGACCTACGTCAACTCGTCAGCATCTTTCATACTGTCTCGGCAAGTTTAGAATGAGTAGCAAATGCGATATACCTCCAAGAAACCGTCATCAATTCTTCTTCCACTTGCTGTGCCCTCCGGCCCAGCTCTCTCGTATACCGCTCGCGCAATAGCTTCCCTCACAAAAACATCCACGTATTTGGCGACCACCTTGTTCGCATCCTTTGCAATCTTGGTCTTTTCGTTCTGGAAATGGTGATGTAGCAGGCGTGTGAGAAGTTTTGCCGGAATCTGGGGATCGCTCGAGCTCACGTCCTCGCTTTCTTCGTGATGGGTGATGATCTCTGCGAGAATGTAGTCGGGTTCTTGCGAGAGGGATCGCTCACGGCTACGGACTGACGCATGGTCCGAGTCTGCATCGGAGCCATCGGCCGATTGTGAAGCTGACGGATGAGATTCGTCACGCTTTCGCTTTGCGGGAGTGGGAGCTTTTCGGGGCTTCGATTTTGATGCCGTTGCTGACGTGGTCTTTTTGTTCGGAGCTGCTCCTGTGTTCGTTTGTTTGGCCTTGGGTTTGGGGTTGGATGCGGCACCGGTGGATGGACCGGCGTTGCTTGAAGCGCGACTTGGCGGCTTGAAGGGACGCTGGCGCTTCTTTTGCGCAGGAGCATCGGCCATGTTCACAGATAGAATGTTCGAAAATTTTGTGGAATGAGTATTTATTAAAACAATATTACAATCAAAGAATGAACTGTACTGATGAGTCGACCGGTAAAATCACCTTGTATATTGTCGAAGTGGGCCGCGGAGACGCGATCGTGTCAAAGGACGAGGGACGCGGTATCAGGTGATCACACGAGTATCGTGACAGCATCTCATTTCCCGTCAGACAAGTTGCCCACCGGCCAGTTTTGATTGCCCATGCAAACAGGGATTCAGTTCAGAACCCTGAAAGTCTCATTTCGCATTAATCATTCAGGACGTTACACTTTCAAAGTGCCTGCTCATCACTGCCTCATAAGTATCATAGAATCAATGTCTTCGCGCCACAGGCTGAGGCTGCCCGTTATTTAGCTAACTGAGCATCCATGTCAATTCTAAGGCAAGATTTTGGCCAAAGACGGTACCATCTATCGAGAACAGCCACAATTTTGATTTTCAATTTTAATCATTGACTGCCCTGAATTCATTGTTACTCATCAATCGTCACTCGCCCCGAGTTGGCGGAGTCACTACCGTGATCCGTAGACCTGATTCCTCCAGGAGCTGTCTTGTATGTATCCACGGCACCGCAAACAAGCCCGAATTGAACCGACACGAGTAAAGCGCTCGTGGTGATGGCTCTGTCCCGTCTAGCAGAAGATCCGTGAGCTTGCTTTTGAGATCCTGCAGCGCCGCAAATGTATTGTTTAAGATCTGCGCAGGCGGGTCCACGTAACGGCCAATTCCTTCTGAAGTGAACAGGCAGATCACCCAATGCTGCTTTTTCTTCTTCTTACCCTGATGAGAATCAGATGGCTGCGGCGGAATGATCAACGCTGTTCCCACGGGTAGCACGACGGTTGAGAGTCCCTTGGCCTTGTCGGAGAGGTCGGCGATAGCGTGGGTCTCTTTGAACTGTCGATATTGCAGACAGTGTTCCCTATAGACCCGGAACGCCGCTGGGTACTAATGTTTGAAAGACTCCGTTAGACAAGGACCAAGGTCGTTTCAAACTGGGTAGTAGACTAATGCATCGCAAGGTCACTTACCAAGATTTTGAAGCTCTGCGCCACACCCCCACCCCACACACCGAGGGTATTGCATGCATCTCGAAGAAGTCAGTCTCATTGCGACTCCATCAAGCAACGTAGACAACACAATAAGTTTGATCTGGCGGGAGATTTTCAGACTCACGAATCAGTGCGGAACCCTCAGGGGCATTGAAGAGGTCGCCAGACACTTCGTTGATCATGCGCGACTCAGATGGGGGCCGAGGAACATCCGACGCTTGCTGAGCCACTTCAGCAGAGCTGCGATCATTCTTGTGATGCTCCATCATACCTCACAGCTTCGACAAGAGTAAGAATACGGACAGTCCGGAGCTTATCTCGAGCTGAGGAAGTAGCAAAGAGTAACTGCAAATTTGTTGAGGATGAAGACGAACGGAATCGATGTCAGGACACGAGCAGCAAGAGAGGACAGTGAGCGTGATGAGAAAGGAAGATGAGCAAAATCTTCGAGCAGGGAGAAAAGAAAAACTATTTTGAGGCACTAGCCACATGACTACCGTGACTTGGGACAAAAGGCAAGGGAAATATTTCGAGAAAGGCAAACCCGAATTAAAACTCAACGAGAAAGCTCAAATTCGCCAGCGATTGCACGATTCTTGGGGCAGATGCCCGACACTCATCCAGGCATCAAAACTAGATGTACCTTCTAGTCATTCATCTACCAAGGTTGTGATGAAGCTGAGAACTAGTAAGTCACGCACCCACTCTGGTGCAACCTTTATCAATCTCTCGTTCCGTTTAGTATACAATAAAATGTAAGTGAAAGATGTGCCTTTTCTCGCCCCGTAAATTCGCGTTCCTAGCAATGCGGACCTTGACTTTGCTTCCACTTCATTTGCTCAAGCGATCAGACACTGCCCGTCCTTGACCTTGTGAAGGAGCAAGGTGTCTTTTGCTCTTTCGTTTGTCCTTGTACGTACCAAGTTATCGCACTCAGAGGTACAAGCCGTAGCAGCTAATGAATCTGATAAGGTGTTATAGTTGAGCAAATGCGCAACCGGGTTGGTATTGCGCTTTACTCAGCGTCACCCATGGAGACCAACACCAGAGCGAGTTCGATTCACACGCGAGACTTGGATAATATACGGCTATTTTCAACTTTAAAAGGTATTTTTCTCTGCTTGGAATTGTTGCATGGGACTCCCATAGAGCCTAATCAATATTTGTGTGTAATTTGTTGAGCATCCCAAGTCATTAGGTGGCTTGGCATCTCAGCATTAGAACATCTGCACCCCGAACTAGCTGCGGCATGGCCGTCGCAACTTGTTTGCGACCTTGACATAAGAAACGAATGGAGAATGATGGTACACCGTTGTGGTAAGTACACAAGTTTTGTTCTCGGAAGATGACGAAAGACAATGCGTGTGCTGAATGGTCGACAAGCTCAATCCCTACCACCGTGACATGTGTCACCCTCGCTTTCTTGTTTGACCTTGCTTTTTTTTGCTCTTCGAAGACGTTCGAGAATGCTCATCAAAGACTCCCTCGTTTTGGGACCGTCGTATTCCTTTTGCTCTGCGTCCACCACGGCGGCGTTTTCAGAAGATCTTTTGCGGTCGGCCTCATACAGCCGTATATGAGTTGGGGTGGCCCCAGACACTATGAGTGGTCCGGTCGTGTCACTGGTACGTTTGAGTCGGCGACTCATGCCTCGAGAAAGGGTTCTGAATAATCCAGAACGTTGGGCACCGACTTGCTCTTGGCGGCCGAAAACACTTTGTGCCGTTGAACAAATCGTTCCGATGTTCACCTCCGGAACTGGCATGAAGAGCACAGCACCTCGATCGGAAGCAATTCCCAAAGTATCGTGGAGTGTTTGCTGTAACAAAGTGGCATTGCGGAGATTCAACAACGAACCACACGCGGCTGATGAGGTCCAGACTTTCAGCAGGTATGAGGGAAGCGTTGAGCCACCATAGAAGACCGAGACGTTCTGTTGAACCACCAGCTGCACGGCAGACTCGGGATTTTGAAAGATCTGAGCCACCTCGGACGCCAGGGTCGAAAGCAGTGTCGAGCTCGCCTGTTGCTACACTATGATGTTAGAAAGAGAGACTCGGTCCAGCTTAGGTTTCCATAAAGAATACCTCGCTATTGGTGCTCAGTTCCACAGTTATAAAGGCATCGCCAGCCGTCTGATCTTGTGATGACCTGCAAGAGGCTTGCAAGGGGGGCATGCGACCTCACTGACGGGCCTCTCCTTCGCTGGACCGGATTCAGTGCTCTCGTCGCTGAGGCACGGTCTTGAAGCCCGTTCAACAGACTTCGAAGACGGAGGTGTAAGATTATAGTTCGTTGTCGTTGTGTCGGTATTAGTGGCCTCGAATATGAATGGTGCCACAGCTCGCTGTTCGGGCTGTGACTGCTCATGTACGTTCGCAGGTACTGGGTTCGTGGGCAACAATGACTCCAAGGAGCGGCGCAGTTCGGCCGCATGCATACTACACCATGCAGTTTGATCCAATCCAGGCGGAGGTGGGATAATTTTTGGCTTCCTCGGAAATCTCATTTTTAGAGCAATAGTAATTGAGCGGAGAGACTGAGGATACACCAAGTCAACGCAAGAGTGTCGATAAGAGTACAAGTAAAAGGGGGTGTATGATGTAGACTGACTATTTGGGTTCTCATCAGAATATCATGAGTAAAAAACAATGTTTCCTCAGCACGAGACATAAGGAAGGAGCAGAGCTCCTTGTCAGCAGAAGCTGTCGAGCCCGGATGCGAGTGCGAAGTGTCTGAAGTGGTAGGTGCGATCTGACTTCCAATAGGTGTATACTGAGATATGGCTGCGCCACATGCAAGTAGTAGCAACTCTGATTCCTGGAGAAAGTACGCCGCACTACTTGCATTCAGTATTTGTTGGACTGGGCTTACCAAATTTATAAAGTAATGAGCTCTTCGTCAAGGTGCCTCGATCTCTGGACCGACACAACAATCATTTGCGGAACGCCGAATGGCTGTTGCTGTCAATCCACAGTACTACTACTAACCTCGATCCTAAATGAAGTCTGTATGCAACATCAAAGACTGGTCGGAGAGCTCTATTCATGACTCTGAATGGCTTTCTCGTCTGGGACCCTGAATTCCAGGTGCTCGTGCTGACAGCCTACCTCAGTATAGAATCCCAAGCAAAAGGGTTCCCAGGTCAGCCATAATCCGAATTAATCACCTAATTTGTGCATGCGAGATCCTCTTTGCAGCCGCCTTCAGCTCTTCTTGTGACTGCTCCCGTGGGCAAGACGGTGGGCGGCGGAACAAACCCTCAAACGGGATGATCAAGGCATCGGAATTAACCTCGATATGATTTCGACGCTTGGTAATCAAGATGTGCCGAGTGCGATAACGGCGTCCATTTAGTTTCTCTCCTTTCCAGGCGATTCGGATTTCCGGCTGAGAGCGATTTATTTGCGGCGTCAAGCATACGTTTGTTTCGCCGTCCCCCGGTCTGAGCCAGAAGCGAACATCGGAATCGAGCTCTGCGTCACTCCCCGAGTAAGCTACCTCGAGAGTGACTGACGGTGAACGAGGCACTCCAAGAGAGCTTCGTTGTGATTGCCAGGCCATGTCTGCCTGGTTTCCCCGGTTTTTTCAATGGAAGGTTACGCCTGTGGAGCTGCTGAGGGCATGGAAGAGCCCCATCACCTTCACGACCTCGGCGGTCATGTCATGTATAACGAGAGTAGCCTCCCCATGCCGTTCTGACGGTATCCTGACCAGACAGATCTCTTCGTCGAGGTCAAAGGCCTTGAGCAATTTTCCAATGGACGAAATGTCTTCGTTTGCAATAAGGCTTATGATGGTTCTCTGAGATGCATGGAAATGGATGAATTTATTTGCATGAGTAGAGAGGCCTTAGAATGCGCCAATTCGCGTTCGAGGACATGAAGAAAGCCAGACTTTCTTTAGTAACCATATCGCTTGATCGAAACAGGAAGGGCTTGGAGTAAAATATTATTGAGAATGAACTCGGCGTTTTCATCTCGTGCGGTTGCCGTTCTGTTAAAGAAGAGAAGAATGGCCCAATGTGCAGTGGCAGTTGCGCAAGTTGCTGACTGTACAGAGTATCTTCAACCAATGCAGACAATACTCTTAGTGGTAGTGATGGCAGTAGGCACGTCGTAGATTCATTGAGATCGCCTGAACTAGCATACCAATGGCTTAGGTAGTGGAGTTAGGGCTGAGTTATCATAGTTGCCATGGGGGGCCCATGATAATGGATGATCATGGATTGAACCAAGACACCTTGGCCACTGGAGTTCAAAAAATTGACTCTGTCGGCCTGTAAAGAGATGAGTTGATGAGCAAGCTGGAACTTGTTGTCATGCATTGAAAGGTGAATCAATTGATCGAGGTTGTGAGCAAAAAGAATATGCACAATGCACTCTGAGATGCACCGGGCATTTGATAGGTGAGACATGGCCAAGTATGTGGTCAGGAATGAAAACTGTTTGCCGGAAGAAAACGTCTATAGACGGGGAAGTTCCCCTGCTGGGTTTTTAAAAGCGTTCAGAATTAAAGATGAGTTGTCGGCATAAGCACGTGGGAAATTAGAAGCACCAACAAAGGAGGCATGCAATCTGTGGACATGGATGTACATGTCTGGAGCAGACCCTCCATCCACGTCTCATTTGCCGTTGAGCTGCTCGACTCTTTATCTCTTTGCATGTGCCTAAGACACTGATAGTAATACCTGCCAAGCTATTGTAGTTTGTGGAAGAGATGTCATGGATATGTATTCTATAAGGGTATATCTAAGCAATAATCGACAGGAACTCTGTACACAATCAAGTGATTGGGATTGGTGGGGTGCCAGTTGTCATCCACTCACGAGGTTATCGGGTGTCGATGGTGTTCCTTTCATAAGATCGCCATTCGTAGCATTTGCATCGGTCGAGACAGCACCATTGGTGTTCTTTCCATTGGTGACGTCTCCACTGCTGGAATGTCCGTCGTCGGCAGTCCCGTTAGGGACTATCTCCTGAGTAGCATCTCCAGCCGCAGTGGCATTCGCCTTCTTTGGAACATGGGTCTCTGTCACGGGATTTTCGCCGGCTGTGGACTCTTTGGAACCATTCTTCTTCACTGTAGTCTTTCCCTTGGCCGTGAGAGCCCCAGTCTCAAAAGCTTCCTCGGGCAACGGACGGATGTGCGGCTGGCAGATCCAATAAGGACGACCATATTCAGCAATTGTTGCTTTCGAGCCGGTCAATGGCTCATCCGCTTTCAATTCGAATTTTCCCGGGTTCACCTGATACTCTTTCAGGCCTTCTTTGACGGCCTTTTCGACAAGAGCAAGTACATGTTCAAAAGCGGGCATATCGCCAGGCCGTGTGCGAGCGAGTGCATCACGGACATTGGTGTGCGTACCGACCATCGGTCGCAGTACCTGGAAGAGATGGCCTTGCATGACACCCAGACTGGGAGAGTTGGTCCGCTTTTGCTTGTCGCGCTTTTGCTTTTTCCGGGGTGGGCCGTCCTCCGGCTCATTCTCGTTGCCGTTGTTCTGTGTCTCGTCAAGATCGTCGACGGGGTCGGAGGGAAGATAAAGTGGCTTTCGCTCGGGCACAGGCTGCTCAAGCACGTACTCGTACACAATATCGAGGTATCTTCGGAGGATTGCATCGATCCGGTATCCGCCCTTTCCATCCCGACCACGCCAGTACTCTCGTCCTTCGTTGCCAGGCGATGGTGGGGTGCCGAAAATAGTCGGATCGGACAGGTTGCCTTCCGCGCTCATCACACCATCGGCGCCAGTTGCTTTTATGCACCGCTCGATATCGTCGTGGTTCAATATGTTGCCGTTGGCGAAGATGACGGTCTCGGGAGGTAGATTATCCCGCAGGTACCGAATGTAGCTCCAGTCTGCCAGGCCTGTCTCATGTCCCTTCTGTTCCCGCCTGCGCCCGTGCACAGCAATGATGTTCGCGCCGGCTGAAAGAATCATCTTGGCGTATTCAAGCGTCTTTTCCTTGGTCTCTTGGATACGGAACTTCGCGGTGACTGGTATTGACAGCTCCGTATGCAGGCGATTGATCAACTTGTAGATCAAGTCCCAATCCTCCTGAAGGAAGGCACCGTAATGTCCCTTACGCGCAATTCCTTGAGGGCAGCCCAGATTCAAATCAACAGCATCGCAATATGGAGCGACGTGGCGGGCTGCCTCCAAAAATTCGTCGGGGTCGTTGGCGCAGAATTGAACAAAAAGTGGTCGATCAAACTCGGGATTCCCGTCGAGGTAAAGTTCGTCCTTTCGCTCCATATCACCAGTCGCTTCGCGGGTCGGTTGGAAATGTTGAGCGCGCACTTTGGCTTGATCACCGAACAGTCGGGCATGGAACATGGGGGAGTATGATAGCAAAGGCTTCGGTTCATCCGCGGGCATGAAGGATCGAGTGAGCATACGCCAGGCCTGCATGGTAGATTTTTAGTCAGCCGCTGTTCAACTTGCCTTGACGGTCAATAATAAACGTTGCTCACAAATTCGGAACGATCCACCATCGGGGCTACAATATACTTGGGACTTCCGATGCTTTCGTAAAACTTGCGGCCCTGAAGTTTTGTTGACGCACCATGGGCGGCCGCTTCGGCGCCATTCTTCAGAGCGTTGGTGGACGCCATCCTGGACAAACTGCTGAGTCTTGGGTGGCAATGGCGGCTCAGCCACGGTAGAAGATGACTTGAGGTACCTATCGTGAAATTGGTGGATACGTCACGACAATTGATGGTATGCCGCGGCAATAATAATGCGACGGGGATTTTGCGCAAGCCGGGGCTCTTATCTCGGAGCGGAAGAACCATCGGAGACTTTAACAAAGCTTATCGGTTCCAATTTACCCCTGCCGTTTAGGCGGGGCCGTGGAATTGTTCTGATGTTGCAGGCTTAGCCCGAGTAACTACGAGTAATTGAGTACTAACACTGCAGGAGCGTACTACTAGGTAGTTACCCTTAAGTAGTTACTAGGAGTAGGAATAGGTACTCAGGTAGTGTAGTGAGTACTAGGTAGTCACTTACTCAGTGTAGGGGTTCTGTGCTGCTGCTGATCCCTGCAACGAAACCCCTTCAATTGAACCATACCTCGATCACGTACTCTGCTAGCCTGAGAGTCGCCTGATCAACCCGAAATCAACCTGCAAGTGTCCCGATCTTCTGGTCTAATCAAAGTAGCTCACTTGAAACATGAAAATTCGTTACGAGGCCAAGCGCGGTGCTGAGGATTCCAAAGTGTCTGAGAAGTGATAAGGCAAATTGGCATATAGAACGTCTTTATGAAACTTTGAGCCTCATAAGCGACTAAAATCGTCACATATGAAGAAATTGACTGATCTGAATCTCCCGCCAAACACATGGTGATGTATGTTATGAATCCCTCAGTCCACGCCATCTGGTTTCAAGCGCATATTGCGAACATTTTGTGTTTTCTGCCCAATATTTCAGGCCTCCAACCAAAGAGTGTCCGGCTTGGTTACCGTACCTATGGTCACAGGCGGAGGGACGAGCGGCGGTAGAGACTAGAGACAGCATGTTCATCAATGTATGCCCGTCCTGACCTAGGTATGGCTTTCGCTTGAACTTGCATTTCGAGCTCCCTGTCAACCCGAGAAAAGCAGGAAGAGCCGCAGCGAAATTTGAACTGCATTTCTGCAGGCCGTGTCCACGATGGATGCATCTACGGGACCTGGAGGTATTCCGCCTTTCGCCAAAGTGTCGGGTCGGCGAATGTTTACTAACGGGATTTCAGTGGCGCTGACCATAAACCTGTCTGCGGACGGGTTATATGCTGCCCAGATCAATGGGAAGGATTTGGTCGTATACAACGATTTGACTTCAGCAAACCGAGACGCACAAGTCTGCCGCCTCAAGGAGAATGGTGTCAAATATATCAAATTCAGCCAAAGATGCGTTTCAATGCCAGCAACCAATAATGGGCAAACCCGATTTCTGCTCACTGCCAATGACTCTCGCATCACAGCGTGGCAGCTGAATCCGCTACAAGTCCTTGGGGAAATTGAGAATTTGGAGCCTGGAACTCTAGCGGTTGATTTTGGCAAAAGTGGTCAAGAAATCCTGGTGTTCCATGCTTGGAATACGAAACTGACGATTCACTCTCTTGAAACGGGTCAAAGCTCGGTGATCAAATCGCCCAAATCTGCAAGTCATCTTGGATTTGGCTATCGTCCAGTGACCAGGCACCTCGCCATTCTGCTGAAGCATGACATGTCGGATCTGTTGACCATCCATGAACCACGGTCTCACGAGCTGCTGGGACGGGTCACTTTGTCTACTGTTGATGCACAAGGACTGAAATGGAGCCCTGACGGAAATTGGATCGCCGTATGGGATGCAGCGATGGCAGGTACGAGAGTGCTCATTCTTACGGCGGATGGACAAATCTACAGGACGTATCACGGATCGCCGGACGATGATGATCCCTTCGATCTGGGAGTCAGGCATATCGAGTGGGCACCGTCAGAGGGTGCCGGAGAGGCGTCAAGGTTCCTTGCCGTGGGCAAGGTCAACGGTAGCATTGACCTTTTGGGCACTCGAACAGTTCAGTCTCTCTCCCTCCCTCTCTCTCTCTCTTTCTTGACCGAGCCCGCATTTAATGGTCGAATTTCTTTACTAATGACCATCGCAGTTTTCGCTATCGACCACATTATCACACATCTTTGCCGCTGACACGCAAACATCCCTTTTTTGGCGAGAGCGTTTCACTAGCGCCATGGGTGACGGAGATTATACAGAAACCTCAAGTTCATCCGCGGCCAACATGAGTCCCGAATCTCCATCATCGGCCCGGGGCGTATCAATCATGACCTTTAGCTCTGACGGAGGGCATCTTGCGACTGTCGATTCAACGCGATCAAATGTCGTTTGGATCTGGGCGATGAATCCAACACCACAACTGACTTCAGTCCTGGTGCATGAACAACCAGTACGACAGCTCCTTTGGCATCCAGCTACGCCGCAGCTCTTGATCAACACTATCACCACATCGTTGCCATCAATTCGATGGTGGTCACCCAACACTCGACCCGTCATTGCTCGAGTCCCTACCCACAAGAGCGAGTCGGGCAAGTATGATGTGAAGTGGCTTGCAGAATCCGAGCCGGACTCGGCATTTTGGTTTGGATCTACAGAGGAATATGTCGTGGGATATCTGTCTGCTGAGGACGGGCCGTCGGTGAAATTCGAAGTCATCACTTCCGTTACCAGTCAAGGCTATGGAAAGCCTGAGGGCTGTGTAACGAGTAGTTAGATAAAAACGATTCAATTGACCTGGTTGACTTGAACTATTGTATGAGATATGGCTTTTCGTGCAAGACTTCGTGTACTGGAAACGATAGTCATCCCGTAGCTGGTCAACTATCCGCTGCCTTGTGGTAGACTGACGATCGCAAAACATCATTATCATCATCATCATCATCATCGATGGACTTTATCCGGGAGGGCGATCATCGGCTTGATTGGGTCACTGGATTATTCCAAGTGGGTCGCATTGACAGCGTCCTGGAAAATGCCAATCCGCCTTACTCACAAGTAGACGCCTAGACCACGTGACATTCACCGTCTGAGATCTCGCCATACTCCAAGAAAGTCATGTGATCCACCCTAACCGAGACCACTGGGAACGGCAGCTGGGGCTTAGGGTTAGGCGTGATTAGTCACGCCCCACGGGCACTTTCGTATCTCATCAGAAGGTCGGTCGCCTCCTCTTCTCCTCGAACCATCCACACCAACGATCAAAATGGTGAGCACGCACACCACGGCCCCTCATTCAAAGTATCGGCAAAGTTAACATGTATACGTGACAGGCGCCCTCAGCAACCGGTGGCAAGAAGCAAAAGAAGAAGTGGTCCAAGGGCAAGGGTACGCTATCGCCATCTCCATCTTTATTATCACCATGATTACTATCGATCCCCAAAATTTCTCTCTTGTCGCGACAACGATTTCCGAGCGTTTCGATCTCTCGCTGCATGGTCCATCGCATAAATCGTCATTTCAACCCGCGCGTACTTATTCCGTGCGAATCGGAAATCGTTGGAGCCACAGATGGTTTATTTGAGGGGGCTCGGAAGTCGACATGGAAAGAATCGCATGACGGTGCATCAGTGGACTAACGCATCATTTTTCCATTTTCACAGTCAAGGACAAGGCCCAGCACGCCGTTGTCTTCGAGAAGTCCACCCTTGAGAAGCTCAACAAGGATGTCCAGACCTACCGTCTGATCACCGTCGCCACCCTCGTCGATCGCCTGAAGATCAACGGCTCCCTTGCCCGCAAGGCTCTTGCCGACCTCGAGGAGCAGGGTCAGATCAAGAAGGTTGTCAGCCACTCCAAGCTGAACATCTACAGTGCGTTTTTCCCACCGTTTCTTCTAGACTTCGTCGGTAGGACACAAACTAACGTACCTTCTAGCCCGCGCCGTCGCCGCCGAGTAAACGACTCGTTTTCCTCTTTTCTCGCGGTTCTCTTTTAATTTCCTTGTGCTATGAATGATATCATGTCAGACGGAAAAAGCGGCTGGGTTTAAGGCCCCCTGGAAGTGTGGACCATTCGCACCTCCCGGACTCGTGTCAGGTAGAACGAATGCAAATAAAAAAGTTACAAAACTTCCAACTTCTCTTCTTCATCTAGTAGCAGCTATAAGATACAGTTGCGCCGATTCATCATCTGGGTTTCCTACGTATGAATCGACACATTGAGAGAATATTCGTCTCATCGCCTTCTATCGTACACAACGAATGCCAATTTTCGCATTAACGACCGTACGACTCCAGAGTCCAGACTGACAGCTGACACCCTGATCTGCTCAAGCTATACTTTGCCTTCTTCCATCTCGCTGCGCTTGGGTCTCTGCTGAACAGCCCCCTCACAGAGAGCCCGCTTCCCCTTCAGCGGGTCTTCCGTCCCATCATCCACCACCTTTCCCACCTGGAAGTACTTCTTGTGATTACGGAAGAAGCTTTCCCACCGATTAACCGTTTGCTCCACTGCCGTCCTCGCAAGACGCATCTCACGTTCACGTCGGATTTTCTTCTGCGCATTGGTGATCTTTTCGCCTTCGACATCCTCAACGGGAATGAATCTCTCTTCCGCACCGATCAAATCCGGCGTCAAATCTTCCTGGAAACAGCCAGTGACAAAGGCCCGAGTGGCATCACGGCCTGCGAAGAAATTGTAGCTCCCGCCCGAGCCGTAGATGGCCGGGTTAGCGGATACGTCGAAGATGGAGCCGTTCACGGCAAGGTAGATGGGCAGGTGAGGGTCTGATCCATTGTAAAGAGATAGTTGGGCCGGGGTCAGATTAACAGGGCCGGTCTAGATCGCATGGATAGATGGCATCAGTCAATTTTTCTTGAAAAAGGTTTAGCCCCCAACACAAGGGAAGCTATGGATAGGGGTGATGTCGACATCGCGATGTGCAAAGAATAGGACCACACGGCACACAGAGCGCTTCCACATACCAAGTAGGTTTTCACTACAGGCCAACGAGTGAACCATGGCCGGTATCCCCATAAGAAGGACTCGGAGTTGGTAATATAGTAGGATAGACCACATGAAGCGATGACGACCGTGGCAAGTACTCGCAGAATGTCCAGTATACTGATCCCGTTACTTTGAGCAGCATCCGCGCAGCCACCCTTTTGGCGCCGGGCAACAGGTGCTTCCCTTGAGTTGCGTTCTGCAGATATGCCAGGTTGTCTTTGGCGTAATTCAGACATGATTGTGACGGTGTAACTCCTTTTCTGGCGTGGAGGTAGTGGTTGAATCTCAGCCCAGGTCTCAATCCAGGCTTCCGGAAAAATGTTGATGGGTGGCCCCGACTGAAGCTCGAAGGTTAAGCGTGCGGGGCGGATGATGTTCTGTTCCAGAAATAGAACCGAGCAGCTCAAATGGAATGAACATTTTGCATCGGTCCATCGGGTTATACATGAAAAGTAATCTAGTGATAAAATGCGTGGAACATGAGGAGCATATTCATGCTTTTCCCCATCCAAGACCGATTTCGAAATATAAGAGACCTACCTACGTACGTGAATGTCGAAGCGAACCCGACAACATGAGATATATTCTCGAGGGTGGACCCTACAGCTACGTTTTCCAAATCGAACGTACATAGGGAGCTCGTGTGATTCTGTTTGCATGACTACAGACATTGACAGCTATTCATACATGATTGCTGTGTACCAGACCAAAAACCCCGGTCACGTGCGGACTAGGTAGTCTGGTCTTCTTCGCGTTCCCAACTTCGAGAGAACACGTCGTTCAGTGCTTCTTGGAAGGTCCGACAGTTCATGTCAATAAGACCTTTCTTCTCACGTGCTTCTGGGTTTCGGATGACCGAGACCAGACAGAGATATCTAGGTGGAGAAGGGTTTGTCAGCAAAGGCGTGGAATCAAAAGGTTTACAGGCAAAAAAGACGACGCGGGAGGCCATACTTGTTCATCTCCATGAGATGTAGCATTGTGTCATCATGCAGAACAACGTGGCTTTCAGCCTCTTGCATCTGCTCACCCTTGGCTTTGCGGAGCGGATGATCCCAAGAGTACAATTCAGAGATGTCAACAATCACGTCAATGTAATCAGAGCACATCTCATAAGACGCCATGTCGACGGGTCTGGTGTCAGACGCGATGTAGATTTTACTGAGCACGTCGAAGAGGTATGTCTTTTCAAATCCACAATTATTGCCCAAGGTGGTGATGAGGTTCTCAAGGGTGGAGAGATTGGGGATCAACTTTTGGATGACTTTGCTGAACGCTTCAAAGACCGAGTAATCGTAAATCGAGGTGAGGTAGAAGTGGACCGGGGCATTTTCATACCCGCAATCGTTCAGTTCATCTGTGATTCGTTGGACGATATCTTGGTATGCGTCTTGTCTGTACTCCTCGGAAAGGGCGTCGACTTTGTGAATGAAAACTTCAATATTGATGCCGGGGTAATACTGCTGGACTGTGAGGATAGTCCGGTTCAGACGCGCCACCGAGTCCAGATAATCGTCCTGTGCATCGATGACCCACACAAGCGCTCCTAGACTCCCGAAGATATCTTCAAGATCAAAGGATGGCTCGAGGTATTCCAGTTGACCGGGAAAATCCCAGACCTGAAAGTCCATGAACGAACTGCGAACGGAATTTAGATTTTCTTATTCCGGTGTCTCTTTAATCTCTGAGCCTGGAAGAAGACGTACTGAATTGAGTCTTTTTGAATGCGTGTTGTGGACTCCAGAAATAGCGTTTCGTTTGGGGGCATCTTATGGAAGACCACACTGGCGATTGAAGACTTGCCACTCCTGTAAGAGAGTATCAACATGCCAGTTCCATCTGAGCAGGTGCCGCAGGCGAGCTTCATCTGGAGTCAGAAGCAACTTACCGCCGGAGGCCCATCAGCAGTAGGCGAGGTTTCGCATCGCGTGGTTTAACACTGGGTTCCAGAATGGCTCTGGAGTGCGCTGACACAGCACCTGGAGTGGCTCCCTGTAAGATGTTTTCAAGACTCAGCTGGGCTTCACTTCGGGAAGAATCACTGCGGGTGTATGGGTAAGGCTTGGACATTCGGTTCTTCTTGATAAGCTCTATGGACAAGCTCCTGCGGATATGCCTGAAAGCCATGTTGAGAATAAACAAATATTCACACGAATGGGGCGGTGAGGGGAGAGTGAGGCAGAGGGTAGATGAAAAGGGAAGAACAGAAGGAAGGAAAGAACATCTGCTGGAAACCAGGTCCAACGGGCAGCGTTGCGGAGTGCAGTAAGACAGCCAGTGTCCCTCGTGCGTCACAGACAATCAGCTCAAAACCAGCAATTCCCAGGACTTCTGTGTAAAGCTTTATATCACGGCGGACTGCACGTCCAGTGAACAGAGATGTCCGGCAGATTTCTTGCCATGGTAGAAAAATGCCCATCAGAGGATAGAAGCGATAAGCTTGCATCTTGCGCCGGCCTGACCGCTCTAATAGCAGCAGTGATGGCAGATGCTCGCATCTGACGCACTCTCTGCCCCATTTTCGCACTCTCTGACATAACATCCTGGCTGCTGAATTCCGGCAGGTGCCAGTGGAACCAAGCGCAATTGCGCAGATCACAGCCATAAATCAAAAGATGACTCTGCAGCATCAATTGACCATATTATAACAAGTGCAATGTCCGCACAGCATGAACAAGGTCGGAGGTGATATAGGCTAATGCCCGCGTATACTGACTTGCTAATATGGAATTGGTCCTTACCTCCATGAGCACGTCTTTTATCCGAACCCCGGCTGGGATGTTCTGGAATTGGGTTCGTCGGACAGCGCGATGTCGAGTCAGGGTCAGATTGTACAAGCCTGACAAGTATGCCGAGGATGACGACGGTTCAGCGAGAAATAGGTCCAGTCGCAAACAGCAGCCTGCGCTCGTCCAAGGACACCGCTGGAATTAGGGCCGAAGTGTATAGGTGGTACAAGTCACGGCGACCTGCAGTCAAGCTTGAAGCATTCCTTTTGCCTGCTGATATACAAAGGAAGAGCAATACCAGTGACCCAGTTTCCGTGAGTTCGCTGTACAGCCTGAACAAGGACAAAGAAAGATTGAGTATGTCACTTTCCACCAGGGAATTGAAGAGGATGGTTGCACGGTTGCACCGTCGAGGAAAGGCGGAGAAAGCTACAGTCTTATCGGGTTATCGGGCTATTGGCCTTATCGGGTGCTGAATGGGAGTGCTTATCGTGGCTCTTATCGCCGATCTTATCGAACAGCCGAGTCTCAATAAAGCGATAAAGCTTGGGCGAGAACAAAATCAACCATGTCTTTAGTCAACCCGCGTGATTGATTACGCGATTATGATGGCAGTTAAATTGGTAGAACCTGGGAAGTTATAGCGGATGAACGCTGAAATACAGACTTTGGACTCTGATGCAGTTCTCCCTATAATCATTGTTTCCTATCGAAGGGATGCCCCATCAATGGCTGTGATTGTGGTGTTTGTGTGAGCCGACCTCATGGCCTAGTCCTACTACTAATGCATGACTGGCTCGATGCTTCGTGTGATCATCTTGATCATCGTCGAGATCAAGCTCTGGCCAATCCTCCCATCCATCCTCCCAAACATCAGCGAGGATCTCCATTTTCTCCTCTCGATCGAGTTTGGAATCACACATCACTCCTTCCCATTGCTGCATTTCCTCCTCACTGATCAGACATCCGTCTAGCAGGGCGGAGATGGCATCTGGATCAACACCTTCGCCAATGAATACCAGCTCTTGGCGTCGATCCCCCCAAGGACCAGCAAAGTCGTTTTCAATTGATTTGCGGACATCTTTGTCCTCGGGCCACGCTTGATCAGGTAACTCTGCAAACCAGGGCCCCCCACAGCCAACGGTCAACATGGCCCCTGCTTGGCTCCACTCGCCAAATTGGAAGGGTCGAGTGCAGAGCCAAAAGAAGCCTTTCGATCGCAAGATTGACGCGAAAGCTGGATGATTGCGCTTGTTCTTGAGGATCTCTTCTGTTTCGGGCTGATCAAAGTCCTGTATGGGATCAGTATCCATTTGGTCATTGTTGGCATCATCGCCCAGATCTATTTTGTCCTCTTGAGCGTCTGTTTCTCCCTCTTTCTCCTCCTCCTCCTCCCCTCTCTGCTTCTTCGTCCTCATCGTCCGCCTCGGTGTTTTGAATGATGATAAACTTGTCATGGACCAGCGAGAAGAGACGTCGAGGATGGAAGGGACGACGAGCTGAGTAGACAAAGTTGTTGATTCCGTATCTGTTCAGAGTCAGAATGTATTCGCGTGGTTTGATTGTTGCTCGAGAGGCCAAGTGTGTCTTACTCGAGGGTTTCTGGCTTCGGCGCAAGTCGCTCTCCGTTGCCTGTCTGTTGAAGGGTCATCTCGTGCAGGCTACGAAGCCAACCTGAACCAGACGCGGCACGGACAAAGTCGAAGCGATTCGTGGCGACGATCTCTCTGACGTCAACTTGAGAGTAACTGGACAAGAGGACCTTGGCGTTGGGATTGAGTAGATTAATGAGACGTGTGATCCTCTCCCGTGTGGCAGAGTCGACAGTCTCAATCTTGTTGATCATGAGCACGTCTGCAAACTCGATTTGATCGACCATTAGATCTGAAATGGTCCGTTCATCTTCGGGGATGATCTCGTCACGTCCGTAACGGTCGGACAGGAACTCTGCGGTGTCAAAATTGGAGAGAAGGTTGAATGCATCGATCACGGTCACTGTGGTATCGAGGCGGGCAATCTTGTGCAAGCCGCCCATCTCGGCACTGTGCATTGGTTAGCACATAGTTTGCTCCAGAGAAGAAGTCAAACATCAAGCATACATCTCTCGGAGTATCTTGGTGGATGCATCATCCACGTCTGCCATTTGATCTTCTGCCTGGAGCATGGCAGTACTGAACTCCGTCGTGAACGTCTCCGCAACCTGCATTGGCTCGCTAATGCCTGTGCTCTCGATGATGACATACTCGATGTCATTCTGTTTGGCCAAGCGCCCCAGTTCAGAGAGCAGATCGCCCCGAAGAGTGCAACAGATGCAGCCATTTTGCAGCTGAATGACCTTTTCAGTAGGCTTGGATACTTTGTGGTTCTTGATCAGAGCCGCATCAATGTTGAGCCTAGTGGACAGTCAGCGTGGTAAGTATCTCGGTTGTTGCTTGGCTTATACATATCTAGATGGCCTTGTGTCAAGGGCTGATTCGACTCACTGGCTCATGTCATTGACAATGACGGCAATTCGAAGGCCATGGTCGGTCGATTTGAGGATATGCTTCAACAAGGTCGTTTTTCCGCTTCCCTGGAATGGGCATTAGACGAGACTTGTCTCTCAGGGCAGTCTGTTCAGGATGAAAGGGAAACAAACCAGAAATCCTGATAGTAGAGTCACGGGCAGCTGCTTTGGACCCGGCTCCTGCTCGAGTCGAGTTGGCATCTGGATGGATTCAGCCAGGCGGCCTGAATGGATGACCATTATGATGTAGTGCTGTGATAATCGCTGCTTGTCTCGATGATGGAAAGCAACCTTGCTCGTGGGCTAAAACAGACGTGGGAGAGAATGGGAGAACCAGAAGCATTCATCTTTCACTGAAGAGAGCGATTGGACTTGGGTACATCTGATATACAAGTTCTTTACTCTGTCCCCAAGTTCCTCACCCGTTCTCAACTTCGTGCAGCTAGTTCCTGCGTTCAGTTACTTGTTCTGATACCTGATTGAGTATAGGATACCTTCTTCAATGTTGAGACCCATTTAGCTGACCAAATGTACACGCTGAATGGCCAGCTATGCTGAACCGCAAGGTACCTGGTATGGGATGCTGGCCTCCACGGTCCTCACTGTCCACAGGGTTCTTAGAAACACATCACAGTTTGAAAATACAATTTCTCTTGAGCCTAATAATGAGCGATTCGCTCCGAACGGACTCTTCGTATGTCGAATATCAATGTGATCATAGAGTATTTGAGAGGCCATTCCTGGCAACGCGGAGAGCGATGCTCCGCCAAGGTCATGGCAAGAGGAGGACTATATTCGATAATGAGTGTGTTCAATTTATATCTGCAATTCTTGCATGTACATGGCATTACCTCTGGAGATGCAATCCAGCTCACGTGTAGCAATTCTAATTTACAGACCACAATGGCACAAGCAAAGCGCCTCCACACTCTCCAGAGCATCTGGAGGCGGGTCCAACTTTATCGGTTCGGTGGAGTTCACTTGACGATCACGGAACTTGGCCAGGTACAAACCGATCGCTCAGTGATAAACCAGTCTAGCTGGAGCTTACACCACATTTCACCGTCAACCGAACCTCAGAAAGCTCCAAGCGAGGATCATTGTGCCTAAAAATACATTACACCCCATGAGTTTAGATAGAGTAAGCCATGAACAAGTATTTCAAAGAAGTTAAATCGGTTGCTTTGGGCTTATCTCCCTCTCCTGCGATCGGATCGGAGCACGGCCAAAGTCAGTAGTCCACCCCATTCCCCGTTCCACCAACGTCACACGAGACGAGAACTCCATCTCCCTTCCCTCCTCATCTTCAGACCACAGCTGACACTCCGTCTGCAAGTACCTGGCAAGAGCATCGCCCACCTGCCAAAAGAAACACCGCAATTTTTTCCAAAAGCCTCTCGCCCTCCCTCGTGGTAACATTCACTTAACCATGAGCCAAACAGACTGGACCACCAGCCTGAGTGCTATCGGGCTCGCAACCTTGTCCCTCATCGCATTCAAAGTCACCCGCCAAGTATCCGTCTATTGCCTCCCATCTTCACTACCACGCTACAATCAAAGCGGCAACAACTGGGCCTTTGTCACCGGTGCCACCGATGGAATCGGCTTCGGATTCTGCGAAGAGCTTTGTTCGCGTGGATTCAACGTGATCCTGCACGGGCGCAACCAGGAGAAATTGAACCGACGCGTGCAAGAACTCCAGGCTGCGTTTCCGGAGCGCAAGACGGGCGTCGTGGTCTTCGACGTGGTCGACGTCGTCAACCAGGAGGTGGATCGTATCGCGGCCCAAGTGCGCGATATCATCGGTGCACAGGGTAAACTGAGCCTGTTGGTGAACAATGTCGGCGGGGAGATGAGGCCGGCGGTCATGCTGAGGGAGTTGAGCAGCTCGGATGTGGACGCGACGATCAATATGAATGCGCGATTTACGGCACAGATCACAAGGCTGCTGTTACCGTTCCTAGAAGAAAGGCATGAGGATGGTCCGTCGGGATTCGTCATGAACGTCTCGTCGTTTTCCTGCTTTGGCTTGCCTTATCTTAGCATTTACTCGGCGACCAAGGGCTTTGTGACGACATTTACGCGTGCGCTCGAGGCAGAGTGTAGAGCCGAGGGTCGAGGCGTCGAGGTCATGGGCCTTCTTGTGGGAGAAGTCAGGTCGGGCAGTTATAAGGTGGAAGAGACTTTGTTTATCCCCAAGGCTCGGACATTGGCCCAGGCTGCATTGAATCGGATCGGGTGTGGTCGAGTGATGGTCGCGCCATACTTCTGGCACTGGGTACAATCTGTTTCGTTCGAGATCTTTCCTCGCTGGATGCTGATGAAGTTCAGCGTGGAGAAGATGAAGTCGATTAGGGCAAATGTGGAGAAATCGCAAAAAAGTAAATAAATAGGAGGTAGCTTGTGGTACGGAGACTTTGCGGCGTGGACAGTCTGGTAAGGTGTTGCGGAACCTATGACGTGATTAAATTCTTGAGCGCATTTGTGCACAGCCTCTTAAACCGAGGAGGTAGTGTAATTGGAAATCTACTTGCAAGCAAAAAGTATCGCATGGATACAAACGCGCACATAGACTACGCCAGTAATATAATGGTCCATATCTCTAAAAGCCAGCAGGAGCCCGATACTCGTCGTTGGGTCCATGGAGACCAGCACCCAAGTTGGAAGCGCACTCGCTCTGCCAGTTCTGAGGCGTGAACTTGTCAACAATCTCCTTGAAAGCGTCCAATGTACAAAAAGTGTCGTCGCCTGCCAGATGGTTCTCGGGCTTGGCGGCGCAACCAGGAAGGCGAACGGGTCGGTCATTATAACGGATGCGCACAAAGTGATTACGCATGGTCTCACGATCAGCATCGGAAAAGGAGGCAATCGGGGTGCGAGCGTTTTCGGATGGCGAGGGCAGCACGGAAGTAGGCTTGTGGCCGCTCAGAAGAGACGAGAGAGTGCCGGACTTGTGAGCCACCGATGGATGAGAGACTTCTTCTAGGATTTCGCCGGCACCATCTTCCCGTTCAGCGGGCTGAGAGAAAAGCTCAATGGCGACGGAAGAGGTGAAAGGGGGCCAAGATTCGTCCTTGAACCCTCCCACGCTGGAAAGAATGGCTGCCAGGGTAGTATCGTGGCATCCGCTCATGGCAAACTTGATCGACTTCCCAGCGCCTTCAACCCCGGATCCAGAGGCGGAGCTTTCGCTTCGCCATCCGCCATCCACAGCGGTGCTGACCATACGATCGACAACATCTCCCATCAGGGCTCCAATACCCAGCTTACGGTACTCGCTACTCTCGTTGTAGCCTGCAAACCATTCCTCGACGGCGATACGATCCAATATGGCTCGACCCTTCTTGTCGTAGAATTCCGACGGAAGCCTGGTTAGCGGTCCATGTGCATCAGTGGCATTGATCGTGTCCATGATGCCCGAAAGACGGGGATGCGCATCCACAGCCACCTTGGGAGAGCTTTCTGGCATGTACTGAGACCAGAGCTTGTTCAGGTAGGCCATTTGCTCAGAGTCATTCCCTAGACATTCGCAAAGAGTCAATCGATATGATTTCACCGCCAGGCCTAGATTCTTGGACAACTTACATCGAGACGCAGCTCGATCGGCAAAAAGTCGAGCCAGCTGTCGGAACCGGCGACAACTACCCTCATTCGGGAAGAGAGTCTCCTCAGCAACCGGACGAGCCACAACTACAGGAGGGGGGAAATTCTGTGTTCGCGCACTGGGCGGATACATGCCCCAGAAGGCCTGTTGTACGGATTCGAGGGCACGGGGAATAGGCGTGGCGCGCAGGTACATGTCCTCCGTGTCGGACTTGACTTTGGGCATAAAGCCGAGCTGGTCGACATATAGATGACGCAGACGTGTTCCGAGCGCATACGTCGTCTCGCGGCCTTTATCAGTGAGCTCGCCATTTGTACTATAGAGAAAATCGTCTCTCGATCAGCGTCTGCTCGGTGTCATGGTCTTCAGGGCAAATTGGTGTTGCACTAACCACATTGACTCGACTTCTCCTCCTGGCCCAGTCAGCACGACTGCCTCGTCGTTGCTGCCAAACCCCTCCATCTTTCTGCGCCACTGAAAACCGCTCCATGAGGACAGGTCCTCTTTACTGGAGGCTATTTGCACCATGCGTCGCGCGGCGCCGCAATAAGGCCAATCTAACAGCACGACTTGATTAGAGCTCTGTGTTCTTCAGTTTCGAGCTTTCATAGTAGCAGCGTCTCGATCATACATGGACTTAGACCGGTCTAAGTTGCGCGTCAGCAATGGTTTCGGCGAGACATCTCTCTATAGCATCAGGATCAATGAGAGAATTACAGCGGATTAAGACATACATTTTGAAACCGCGCAGACACCGGGGTACGCTCGCCTGATCTCTCAGTTAGCTTGGCTCGCAGTGATTATTCGCCCTCAAATAAATTGTCATCCTCATCGAACGGCCGTGCCCTATCGCGGGATTCGAATCATACCATGACGCAGAAACTAGGTCGATAGGTTGGTAACATAGTTAGCGTTGCGGCATACTTAGTAGCATGGATACGGTACCGACTAAGTCACCAAGGAAGCGGAAAGAGTACATAACTCACCACCTGAACCAATTGCAACTTTAAATTTTTGGGATATAATCGCTGTAGCTCGTCGGGCGTGTATGCCTCGCGAGGAACGAGCGTAGCCATGTCTGGTGCGTGGAAACCTGACCGGTGCGAGTCTGGCCGAGGAACACCTCGGGAGAGAGTCGGTCGAATGGTTGACGACGACGGGACTACCGAACAGTTTGGACCCGCGTGGGCGGTGATTGAAGTGGATCTCCTGAATCATTGGAATCTGGTATGGAGGGAGCGGTGAGCTCCGCCGTCAAAGTACCTTACCCTGGATTTAGATTAGAAAGGTGCATGTGGCACTACGTGTTTTTTAGGTAGTCCAGGACCGTGGGAATGTGAAAGGAATTGAAATTTGATCTTGCTGAATATAAAACCTTTGAAACAATTGATCCATCAATGCCAGGTGGTGTGAGGGCTACTACGCTTCGGTCAGCTTCAGGTCCACGACCTAACAACCCTAATCGTGCCGAGGTCCCTTCTCCACAACAAGTCAAGGCATCTTCTCCCTAGGTACCGTATAGTCTATAGTCTATAGTCTACACTCTACGCCCATGACTCGGAAGTATTTGAGAAGGTGAACAAGAATATATTCTTGCATTGAAAAATTGGCAATCAAAACGGTCAGGTCAACGAAAGACCGCTTATCTGCCGGAGGGGAGAATATGAGTGAATTCTGCCCATGTATATAAAATGGAACGCGCCTTAGGATGCATGCCTATTCACTCCTCAAAATCACTGGTGTCCCAGCCTTCTTCACTTTCGCTCGCGCTCCAGATCGAGTGCGCGTTTGACGCGGGCTCGTCTTTTTTCTCTTCTTCTTCTTGACCGACTGCAACGGCTGCGACAGCGGCTCCACCAGCAGCAGCAGCTCCACTGGCGCCCTTTTTACTGGCAAACTTCTTATTCTTTTGCGCCTTACGAGCCAGCTCTGCCTCGCGAATGATCTTCTTGTTAGCTTCGGTCTGCTGGAGGACGTCTCTTTCCAGAAGCTCGACTAGACGCTCGACGGCGGGGGCGTAGGCCTGCGCCAGCGCTAGGTCGCCAACCTTGACGCGCATGTAGTCCATAGCCGCGGCAATAGGAATGTCCCGGCCGGGGACCAGATCGCTACGTGGAAGGCCGGGTCGGTGCGGTAGTGGGAAGTGGATGTCGTCAAGTAAATGGGCGGCGGATTGCAGGCTAGCTTGATTTTCCTCGGGCTCGTCGAAGGGAATATCAGGGTCGTTGGCCTCCTTGGCAGGTCCAGGAACCACAACCGTTTTCTCGGCAGGGCTCGAAGCAGTGGCACTGTCGTGCTTGCAGGTTCCGGCATTCTGGTCGACCAGTGCGATCTTCTGGTAGCGCTGGCTGAAGTGGGTGAGGAAAATGGAGCGAGCCCCCATGCGACGGCCCACTTCGAGAGCCTCTGCCGCCGTGGAATGCCGCTTGGCGAGAGCAGAGCCCACCATGTCATTCTGGAAAGTAGCTTCGTGGATCAACAGTGTCGAGCCCTTGCCAATAGATGCAAACTTATCAGATGGTCGGCAATCGCCGGAGTAAGAAACCTTGAATCCATCGGAGAAGACGATCGACACCGCGAGAGCTCCCTTGCAGTGCTTCACACGGGTTGTGAGAATGTCCTCTACGCCCAGAGCAGACTTCAAAAGCGGCGTGAGAGGTGATTCTTCATCGTGGAAGTCGAGAACGGTTCGTCCTGTCAGTGACTGATCCCCATAGGGCCCCTCACCGTTGCGACGGTGTCGGTAGGTGAACCGGGTTCTGATGGAAGGTCCAGCTGGATCTGGATGCGCGCACAGCGGAATCAACTTATCAAAACCGAAATTCTCAACGGCAGCATACTCCTCTAGCCAAGCGATCATCATCTCGTCAGAGACGATAGCCAAGCGCTTCCCTTGAAGAACCTTGCTAACGTCGGGTTCAGCCTCCGTCGACTGAGCCTCGGTCGTCCCATAGTTCTCTTCATGCCAAGCTCTGATCAGGGACGCTGTACCAAGGTGATGGTCGGCGTGAAGGTGACTGATCCAGATCATGCGCAAGTTTCGCAAAATCTCCTGAGTCTTTGCATGTCCATACACACGTCTGATCTGTCCAAGGGTATTTTCTCCGCAATCCAAGAGATAGTATCCATACCCAGGAACGTGAAGAAGCGTGGCAGATACATTACGGTACTTGGAGGGAGACGACGAACCCGTGCCCAAAGCAGTGACTTCGGCATCAGCCCCAGGAAGATCCCTGCGCATCGCTGCAAGTTGCTTCTGAAAGGCCGGTTTCTTGACGCGCGTGCGAATGACTTCCATGCGTTTCTCGACAGAGCGAGGGATCTGGAACACGGTCTTCGCAGTGTTCAAGGGCGTCACGACCTCGCTTGTGTTGAACCCGAATTGCGGCTCCATATCGACAATGAGGCCAGGCCGCAGAGATTCGAACGGAGAATCCTCTGTACCTGGAGCAGACAACGAGCCGGCCCCGTCCTGCGGGACCTTGACATTATCGTGAACGGGAATAGGATAGTTTTCGCCCCTGAGACGGGCGAGGCGCACAGCGGCCCCAGCAGCACTGTTAAAGGCGAGGTAGTTGGGGCAGTGGTCCACACTTGAGACAGTATGCTTTACATGTGACAGGCGAGCAACAAACTTGCGGAGTTTGGGATGGTCCCCGACACCTGGTCCCAATATCCAAATGATCACTTTGAGCTCGGTAGTCACAGAAGGTGAGTCCCATTCGGGTCGATTGACCAGTTCTTCCACATACTCTGGCCCGGGAAGGTCAATGACGGCAAAACCTTTGCCTCGTCGAGTCTCGCCCAAAACCATCTCTGGGGTCACGGTATTACCATCGGCGGTCTGTACGCTTTCGCCCTTTGCCAGCCGAGCAAAGTCGGCACCTTTGGGGACACCGAGATTCTTGGCCTTGATAGGGTCAAACTTGCCTCGGATATCATGGCTGCGGACTATGTAAGAGACCGCTTCCTTAGAAGGCGAGGTCGGTGGGAGGGAAGTGATGGTTGCTCCGGGCCACGGCTTCCTGACGAGAACTTTGATATTGGGCAAATCTGTCTTATCGCCGGGAAGTGGTCCCTTGTAAGGCTCGAGATCTTTGGTCTCTGGGTTGCGAACGAACAAAGCCGCGGGCATTTTGACTTCCGGCAAAGGTGTTTCGATAAGCGTGTCCATTTTCCAGTCCGAGTTGAACATGTCGGAGACAATAGATTGCCTGAGCAACTGGCTTTGTACTTGCTGGTCAAGCTGCTGGTCGATCTCTTGATACTCGTCCAGACTGCGCTTCCGTGGACTTTGCGTGTTCATTGTCCTATCCTCAGATGAATGAGGCTTGAGAGGCAGGGCCCAAACTTTGATATTCGAGTCGATAAAAGTGGGCTTCTCGAAAGGATCGTCCTGCCTCAAGGCCGGTCGCTTCGCCATACTCGCATGATCATACTCCTTCAAATAAATCGGCATGCCGGTACGAAAGACAAATCGGCGGGCGGTAGCCAAGGTATGCATCAAGTTTGTGGCTCCATGTACCGTCACATTCTGTTTTCGCACTTCGGTCGTGGCGGCGGCAGCGGCCTCCTTGCTGGTCTTGTTCGTCGCTTGAGTCCCTGCGGCCTGGCGCTCTGCCTTCCTTCGACTCTCTTCCTCCAGGGCTTCATTCGAGGACTTGAGTGCATCTGCCTGCGTCAGGATCACACCGATCATGCCTCCCGTGTTCGCCCATTCTGTCCGCCCTGTCACGAAGATGTCCCCGATCGACGCTAGCTTGTGCGATCGTTCCGTGCAGGCTCTTTGTGTGCCCTCCGCGAGTTGACCGAACAGATAACGCTTGTCGGGGAAGTGAAGGCCGATGACCGTTCCCGGCGTATCGGCCGTCGGAGTGGTGATGACCTCGAACCACGCCTTCATTGGAAAGATACCCTGCGAGGGTATATCGACCTTGACAACTTCGGGATTTTCTAATCGTCCAGGCTCGCAAAGAATATAGCGCTTTTGGTCGGGATAAGCAAGCGTAGTATAAGGCAGGAGAATTTGGTTTGGGGATATCTTTGTGCTTGCGAGCGGCTTGTCGGGGCGACTTTGATGACGAAGCTTCGATCGAGCGAGCGACTGAAGTCCTGCTGGAGAGGACCTTCGGGAGTGTGAGGCCTGGCGATGAGGGGCTGACGATTGCCGCCCAGTTCTGGTCGTGCTGTAGGATGCGGATGCGGAGATGACGCTCGTGAATACCAGGTTCTGACGAAATGCGCGCAACGTGAGACAGCGGCTGATCGCGGTAACGAGATGACCGCGGGCTCTGAGGGAAGCCAATGTGGCTAAAAAAAAAAGGTGAGACAAATGAGATGGGTTCAACTTGAAATTACAGCTCAATCATGAGCTTCAAATTGGTGGTTGTTGTTGATGTGGAACATGACTACTACCGCGCCGAACTTTTTCAGGTGGATCCGACGGCAGCGATCTGCCCGGTCAGATTGCCTTGGCACCATCAGCAGCGTGTCATGTCCTTGTCCTTTTCAACTCTGCGAGAATGAATTTTTGTATATGGATATTTTGACCAGGAAAACTAGACCTAGGGCAATTTCTTGATGCACTGCCATTCACCTGCTAGACAACGCTCTTGAAGCTCGCCTAGGGGTTTACCCGGCTCCTCTTCTACAAGCTTAGCAATCATGATACTTAGATCGAAATTTGTGTCTGATTTCATGATTCAAAGAAGCAAGCGGCACAGTCTACAATTCGTGCAAAGGAGGGGAATTGACACAAGAGAAAAAAGAGACGACAGCGTGCCTCTATGTATTGATTGTGACTATTCTATACGGCTCAAGAATAGAAGAATAAGAATGTGACAGGAGCCGCATGACACAATTTGAGTGGGACACAAGAGAATGATCGAAGTTGGGGAATGATGTAATGACCGCGAAAGAGCAGACTTTGTACAAAATGAGACCAGGCAGAAAGATAGGAAACGCTAAATGGGAAATCACTGGAGGTGAGATGTCATGGATGAGACTCGCTCGAAGGCAGCATGCATGCTTTGGCAAAGCGTTCTTAACCGGTTTTTGTCGACGGCGGTGATTTGGCTTGAGGTCTCCATCACCAGCTCGACGGTCCTGTCGGGCTTCTCAGCGGGAGTCTCAATGCCATTCACGAAGTTGATAGGACTCATCGAGTCGGAAGAGTCGGCGAAAAGACCCGATTGAGAAGCCTCATTGAACACACTAGCATCCGACTTTTCTGTCAAGGAGTCAAGGTCCGGAATGTCAGGCAAATCAGGCATGGTGATCTCGTTCTTTTCACTGGAACCAAGCGATAGGGGTTTGCCGCAAAGAGTCTCGATATCGAATTCAGGACCCGCAGGCACGTCAAGAACAGCAAAGACATGCGCATTGCCGTAACTCATGTCGATGCCGGAATTCCAGCCGTTACTGGCCATCATGGACGGATCCACACGTTGGTTGGGGACCATCGTCATGTTGACCTGGGGGGTTTGTTGCAATGGGAACTGCTGGGGAGCGGCAGTGCTGGCCTCCATGGGAATCGTGGCAGGCACAGGAGGCTGCGAACCGATTTGCTGCTGAGGGGGCTGATGTTGCGATTGGGGCGCTTGGGATGGCTGGGAAGAACTGCCTAGCGCATCGGGCATCTCATTCAGGAAGCTAGCAAATTGTGGGGAACCAAGAAGCATGCGAGCTAGATCGTTGAGACGGGCATTCTCCTCATAGAGTGCCTTGTTCTGAAGACGCAGCTCTTGAGCTTCATTGGTGCGGGCCGTGATCTCGTTTTCCAATTGACCAATATATTCTATACAAGAGTCGATCGTTAAAGGTTGTTGCTTCTCAATGAAATGATGATTCATAGGTTAAAGGAGCAGCCAGAGAAGAGAACGATGAAGACATACCTTTGCGGCGCGAACGGAAGGCACGAGCAGAGACCTTGTTGCGCAACTGGCGACGCTCCTTGCTGCTCAATTTCTTGCCCTCTTCACTTGCCAAAAGCCGCTCATCCTCGTCCATGTCGGCCTCGTCTTTCTTGGCTTTCGTCATGTGAGGTAAGATGGAGGAAGGGGTTGGGGAGCCGCCGCCGGATACGCCGGCATTCTCCCGCATCTGCTGCAGAAGCCGAGAAATACGCTCCTCGACCACGGTATCTGGCTGACGGAAGTTTTGGGTCGGGGTGGCTGTCGAAGACTCCCTCGTGGGGGGTTGTTGCATTTGCTGTTGGCGGAGCAGGTCACTCTGCTTCTGTTGTTGGGCTTTGGCCATCGCAGCCTGCTGCTGATGCATGCCCGGGTACATTCGACCGACCTGCGTAGACGGACCAGCCTGAGCCAGCTCATGGCCTCCGAGTGCGTTCGGGTCGACATATTGAGTCTTTCCAGCGCCCGCCTGGAAGAAGAAAGGCGCGGCGTTCATGCCGTCCGATTCAATCTCCATCTCGGACGAGTTCCGGGACGGAGTAGTGTTGAAGTTGAACATTGAACTCTCGCGCTTCATCATTGGATATCCTTGGGCGCCGTTGAAGTTCATATGAGGGACGTGGTTATAAGACAATGACAAGGCACCGGGTGGAAGGCCTGTCTGTTGGTGGTGCTCTTCATATTGGTGACTGGGGGCGGGAAATACAAGGGGTGAGTGAGCACTGGAGGCGAAGCTGGCACTGCGGGCATCGCTGCTGGCATAATCGATGCCCGTGACGGCGGGTTGGCCTGCGACCGCAATCTTGGAACGAGCGGCGTCGGCAGACGTGTAGCCCAGTTGGTCCAAGTTGATGAAAGAATCCAAGTCTTGATCGTACGAGTTCATTGGCATCGGCGATGCCGTATTGAGCATGGGATGTTCGGCAAGAGTGGCCATGATGAATTTGCGACAGGATGGTGGCTGGATCCCTGTCAAGATCGAATGTCGAGAGGGATCTTTTTTTCTTCTGAAAGGATGAGGATGAGGATGATGAGGATGACCTTGGGTCTGAAAGCGAGAGGGACGGTGGATGGCGTGTCGTTTTCTCAAGTACCGTTCGGAGTTAAAGCGAGTGGAGAACGGGAGCGATCGAAAGAGGTTGGTTCTGGACGAGATGGATTTGCGGAACACGGTGGGAGATGGTTTCGGGGGAGAGAGATGGATGGTGATGGTTGAGATACGAGGAAGAGGAAGAGTGTATATGGATGGTCTGGGACTGGGAGTCTCGCCGGGAGGAGCACCCGCTTCCTCTTCCTCCCCTCTTTCTCCTCGCAGGCCCCCGTGAAACGAAGAACCAGTGGGTGGGGCTATGCTCGCAGCCAACCAGCAGGCGCAAAGAGGATTACGCGTCCTTTCTGGGCTGACTCAGCGGGACCCCTTGGCACCAAGGACCTTGAGGGATTGAATCGGAGCGGATCCGCAGCCGAACGGCTAATCACAACTCCGGTATCCTCAGTCTCGATGCCTGGTCGACTGCGAGGCTTTCGAGAAAATAGACACTTAAGGTCGACAGCAATAAGGTATGCTTGGAGATACATAATCTAGCAGCATGGAATGGGTTGGAATGACAGACCTCGTATGGGAATCTGAACACATCAACACACTCCTTGTTGGATCCTCCTTTCCCTCAACTATCCGCTTGTGATGTCGATCAATCGAAGTCGCTAGTGCTGGAAAGGTAATGTAATGAGAATTACACCAATCAGTCCCTGAGTTCGGCTCCATTTCAGGGTGGGCAGGGACCCACTCCATCGGGTCCAGGACTCTCCCGGCTCTGGCACGGACTCTGATTGGATATACGATCATATTTGTCGAGTTAGCGCATACTTTTATTATTAGCAGGTCCCGCCCTCAAATATTCGTCGCACAAATCCTAGCGACAGTTCACTGGTTCAGTGGTTAATGGTTAGTGTTGCCGTATGTACATGGAGAGCCGGGCTTGACTCTCTCCAATAATTGTCAGTCTATCAGATATGTAGTCATCGTAATGACTCTAATAAAGTGATCTGATATCAATATTGTATCTGGCCTGGTATTGATATTTGAGTCGTGACTCGTGAGTCTCGTGATAGTCGTGGGCAGGTCAGTCCCGACGTAGAAATTGCCGGTATCCTCAGGAAGCAAATTAACAGCCCACAATGACGGCAGTGGCCCAATCTATGCACTGGATTTAATCTTAATCATCTGAGGTACCTGCGGTCCTGTATCGGAAATGATGTCGTTAACAACTTAACTAGGTCGAATGCTTCATCGGTGTACGTACTACGTAATAGATGTCAATGATTAGGTAGCAACTTCAGCAAACTTTGCTCGACATGTGAAATCGTAAATTTTGTGTTCTTCTCATGACCCCCTCCAAGAGCTAATTTGAGGCTATTCCTGGATTTTCAAATTTGCTACCGTACTAACTAATATGTACCTACCAGTAATTTATCACGTCTATGTACAAATTGTACATATCACGTGGCAAGCACCCACGTGGCGCAGAGGCTGCCAAATGTTGTTGCAGCCCTCGGCCTACGCCCATAGTTATTACCGTTGCCCGGAACACAGCAGCCAAGTAGGGTCATATACCTATTGTACGTAGTTAAGTAGTGGAGTGCTCTATACCCTCGTCAATCCCTTTGCGACCATTGTCGATCACTTTAATCAAGTCGAGAACCAACCCGGGAAGTCATCAGGCTGTAGTAAGCGCCACTTCGAGTTCGTCACAATCTTGGCGCCGGTCATCTTGTGACGATCCTCTGAAAGCGACCACCTACACTCTGTGCCTACAGAGTCGCCAGTCCTGAGTCTACACTCATTATATAGTACGTCGTACCTTATATACTACATCAATATGTGCTTATGTATAAAGGTCTAGTTTGGCCCGGTGTGTATGACTGCATGTAGCCTAAGACTTATCCTGTGTTTCATAACTGTGTATCAAACGAATATGTCAGTTTCTTCATCCCGGCTTCAAGTTACGGATGAAGTTTTACCGGGGTATATCGACCAGAGCACGAAAAAGATACACTGACGAACGACAAGAAGAAACACCACGGCGGGTCATATCAAAACGAGCGGTCGTGTTGACACCATCATCGGGCTCTGTGGTTGCTCTCCGCGGTACCCAAAAGTCTAGAACTTTGCATGTCTGAATTGGGTCTTGCGCATGCATGTGACTGTATTCCATGGCTGTCAGATGACTCGATCGCCCTTCGGGAGAGATTTTTGACCGCGGACCGTTGCGAAACAGGGGATCAGAGGCCTCTTCTGTCATCATCCACCTTGTATGTCACGGACATGCAGGCAGGCCCTGTGGGACTTTGATCTTCAATTTTACAGTGTTGAACAAGATTCATCTTAGGGTGACTTGGATCGTTTGCCGCGGGACCTCCTTCGGGGCTTCCAGACTGGCATTGTGATGCCCTCTATTGGTCTTCTGCTGGAATTGTGCACGTCTTTCAAGAATGGCAGGTTCGTTGGCCTGACCTTTTCCCAAGATTGGAGATATATGGTACTTCTCTAGGGATGTTTATCCTGCTGATACCTGACCATGGCGAAGATATTTGGTTCATCTGTAATGTTCCATGTCCCCGGAAACGTTGCCTAGGCTCCAATAGCCCCTCCAATCTGTGTCTCAAAATTGCAGTTCACTCGAGTGCAGTACAGTAGACGGCAGCCGACCCGAATCTGCAGCTGGCCTGGTCTGCACGATGGTGGACCGGATGAAGTCAATCCCGCATGTGCCTGGACTCAATCGTGGCGGACCGCAAACCCAAACTTGGTTTCTTCGTGGGACGGGCCACAACTTTGCTACCATGGTGGACTTCAGCACCAACGTACCAGAGCACCGCCCTATTCCACATTAAAGAACGATCCACTCGTTCTCTTTCTTTCCTTTCTCCCCCCCCCCCCCCTCCAACGGATTCTGTCCGATATCGAGCCCCTTTCGAACCCAGTGGAAGAGAATCTAGCAATCAAGCTAGGTAGGGCTGAGACACGCCGGCGAGCTTGGTCACCCGCCTCTTGGTCCAATCTGAACATGATCGCGTACACAAGCGGAGGCTGTGCCCGAAGTCTTCCACTGCCTGCGCCTCAAAACTTCGTATGTCTTGATTCATATTCGGGAGTGATGATTACCTGCATCCTCCGTCATTGCCTTGGATGCGATGTTTCAGATCTGACGCCCAGCGCTAAATGCCTTTTGTTGCTGTGGATGTGAAAGTCTATCTCTACATACCAAGGTAAATTATTCAGACCCGTCAGGATGAGACCAAAGATATTCAAGCTTTCCTGATTTCTCAACAAGCTTCAATTTGACACATTTTCAAGGCCCTCGGTCATGAGCCGAGACCGATTACCACGCTTGCGACTGTCTCCATACTGCAAAGTGACGGTGCCCCTTTGTCTGGAACCGGCGGATCTTTGCCATGGGACATGTAGACCCAGACGCTCGACGAGCAGTCCCACACGAGGTCAACACTCCTGAAACTCGACTGGTCTTTCGAATGTCGCGTCAAGACGAATGGTGTAGGCTGAGCGTGGTAGCAGAGCGTGCGGACCTAGTAGGTGGATAGACGACTAATTTTGAATCTCCGATGTGATCTAGCCCCTTTATCTCATGGTGGGAATTGGAAAGTAAAAAGTGCCGTGTCTCTTCCAGGCTGGAAATTACGAGCCAGACCTCACAGAGGGCGCGATCCTTAACATCGACCGAGTCACCAGGTGCACAACCAACAACATTTGTTGACAATCTTTGATTCTCTCGCAGTCACATTGTAGCCAATAGTCACGGTATGCAGATGCGCCATCAATCATTGAATGAGTGCCACGCAATATCACCACATCGACCTCGCTCGATACAACGACTATTTCCAACAGTCATGAACATCCAGCAAAACTGCTTGATGTCGCAGAGGAACAACGCTCATCTCAAGAAGAAGTACTCGCCTTTGTCGGTATTTACCTTCACCTGTGACATGATTAACGTTCCGATTGCCTCGTCGAAATATAAAGAAGCCCATCTCTCGACTTGACCAACTTCCGAGGAGTCGATAGACTGAAGATGCGTCCATCGAGATCGCTGAACACCAAGGCCTCGAGTACGAACAAGGAAAACGATCAAGAAGATCCGGTTTAAATCTGCCCTAATACAATCTTATTACCGAGTTATTCTTCCCGAAAACCAAAGCGCGCACGCTATGATTGAGCTTTTGCTGGCCATGCAGTTAGCATAGCATCGACCGCCGGAGACATGTGGGGGTCAAAGATCTGAGATGCTGCATAGACGCCTTTCGGAGCTTCATACTAACAATTGAGCAGATTGGGGGCCGTTTCTCGTTTAGAGCTGAGTCAAAGAGTCTTGGCTTACTCAGCTTCCAAAACACGTGTTCTCTTGTCGTTCAAGAATGAGGGCCAAGAAGTATTACGTAGTACCTAGTCTTTAAAGCTGCGCCCGTACCTCCTCCAGATTGCCCATCTGTCAAGACAGTCGCCTCGATGGTCCCATTGACAAGTCTCGGTCGCCTCTCGTGATCGAGTCTCACCGCAGCAATTCTCCACAATCACACCCCTCTCAGCTCAGCTTGGGCCTGGAGTTAAAAGGAGATCGGGCCAGCTGAACACAAGTCATTTCTCACTTATCAAACCATGCTGAGGCTCATATTGATCTGCGCTCCCCATACTTCCTTCGCCGTATGCTCTCGCGCCCAGTCCAGACTTGAACAAACCAACATGCTCGCTTGGCTACGGCGGTTCTTCGGCTCCAACCAAGCTGCCCAGGACAGAAAGAAGCGGCAACGACGCAATCGGCAGCGAAGTAAACAGATCCGTGCCCGCGAAAGAGAACTTCGAAACGGTCCTCACGGTGAAAGGAACAAGTCATCGTGGTTTTGGGGGTCACCCGGTGTTTCTGAGCCTGTACACAAAAGAAGACTCTTTGATGGATGAAGATTGGAGTGCAAATACGATATTTGCCCCGTTGAGCCTCCGACCGTCTTTTATGTAGGGGGCGTATGAACTTTGACCATTTTTTTCATTTTTTCGTCGATGAATGAGCATGATCAAGCACAATTTGGATTCACCTCGAAGTGTGTACGATTTTCTCGGCTAACAGAGTCATCATACAATCCATTGAAATTGAGTCGGTGCCACCTACTACTCAGAGAAAGGCAAATTTTCCATATGACTTCTCCAGGTCTGATCTTTTCAGTGATAAACCCCTCTTTGATGGTCGAGTTGATAGTCGCGGTTGCCCTTTCTTGGTTAGCGACTGTGGACTACTGGACTGTACACTGTAAACTGTATATCTGCATACCATCTTCGAACTTGATACACCGGGAGCATCGAGAAAGATTTGCCTGAGAGATGGCCCCAGATAGCGGTTCTTCTTGATGTCTACGTGTCTTTGGTATTGCCGTCGCAGCTGCTCGACCTCTGAAGGGCGGACGCATATCTCTTTTGGATTGTTCTGATCAATGATACCATTGGTGAATGTACATCGAGTGAGTGAAATTTGAGATCACGACAGTACCTCCCCCTGGAATGTTCGTAAGGGCCATCACTGCCCAGGGTACCTTGTACCTTGCTCCCTCCTCGAGTCGTCCCCCCCCCCCCCCCACTATGGCAATTCTTCGGTTGCTTGGCTGTTGCCGAACGGTTTACCCGCACTGGAAAATCAACAGGCTTCGTCCCTCTTCTGCCGCCCAAGTTATCAAGATTGAAGACATTTGATTTTTATGCGAGAACCGACTGGAGCTGCTCACTGCGTGCGTCAAAATACTAGACGCTGTCTGGTTGCCAAATCACTAAAGTGTCGTTAAAGTCTCGAAGCATGGATGAATCGCAGGCATCTGGCATCATCTTTACAAGTCTCGGTACCGTAGTCCTCGATGAGATTCGAGTCCCAGACAAAAAGCCCTTGACGAACGTACTCGGGGGCTCTGGAACGTATGGTGAGTTTGCCGGCATAGCTAATGGTTGGAATTCGCAGAAAACGCTGATTGTACTTCCAGCAACGTTGGGCGCACGACTATTTCTTCCTCCTCCATCAAATTCCAGTCTGGGCTGGATGATCAATGTAGGGTCTGACTTTCCGAAGGCCGTGAAACATGAGCTCGAGCGATGGGACGCCACACTGGTCATTCGAGAAGATTTAGAAAGACCGTCGACAAGAGGCTTGTTGGAGTACAAAGACAGTACATTCGGACGTTAGTCTCCAAATCCATACTTTGTGTGTTTCTGGTCGCCCGGAGAGAGGTGCACAGGCTGAACCTCAATATAGCCAAGGATTTCCAATACACGACAGCCCTTTTGAGCATTCAAGAAGACAATTTGAAACAAACGCCACTCTTAGCTTCGCACGCATTCCACTACCTAGCCGCACCAGCAGACGTCAAAGTCCGAATACCGCAGCTGCTGGCTTTACGAGAAGAGGCGGGGATCACAGGGCGACCTTTGATCGTATGGGAACCCTCTCCACTTTTCTGCGGAGCAGAGCTCCTCGAGGAAGTTATGCAAGCAGCGTCTGTGGTAGACGTTCTCTCTCCAAATCACCTCGAGCTTGCGAGACTATTCTCCGTTACCCTGTCGGAAGGGTTCAACAGAGCCACAATCGAGGGCCTGGCAGCGAGATGTTTGGAACGTGGAATCGGTCCGCAAGGTGAGGGAACCATCGTGATTCGTGCTGGTGAGCACGGTTGCTTTGTGAGCAGCAGAAAGATTCGATCGGTATGGCTTGATCCGTACTATTCAGAGACGCTGGGGAAGGAGTCTGATGCGAAGACGGTTGACCCCACTGGCGCAGGCAACACCTTTTTGGGGTCGTATGCTGTTGGGTATCTGCAAACCCAGGATGCTGTGACGGCTGCCTGTTATGGCTCTGTTGGCGCATCTTTTGCGATGGAGCAAGTCGGGACACCTTGCCTTGAGGCTCAAGGTGACCATGAGTTATGGAATGGGGTCGATGTCAGGTGCAGGTTGCAGGAGTACATGGCTCGGGTAGGAGTAATGCGACCGTGAGAACGAATGGCGACCGATCGTGCGCAGCTGTTTACGAGTCTAAAGATTAGTATAGGATGTTCGTGTTTTCAGCCAGAAGTGCAGTATCATCCTCTTTATCGCTCCAAGTGGGATGTTCGAAGCTCCCGACTTTGGAAATTGGATGTACAGTAGTTTACAGACTGTGAGGGTATCAGATGGATGGAGAGTGGAGGCTAGTCTGGTTCCTCGGTTGGATTTCCCCAGGAACCTGGGGTATCACATGTCAAGTCTCCAACTCCATCCACTTCCCCATTCTCCATTTCGTCATCTTAGACTACTTCTCGTCCTTCCTCTACTCCGAATAGGTCCCTATACGACCGTGCTATTCACCATCACCATACGGGAGATCATGTACAGCCCTGGTTCTGGCTGATTGAGAATAGCAACGCTCGTCTGCCGTTGTCATGGCTGCACAGTCCAAATTGCTACCGCCCGAGCGCTCGGTCAAGCAGATTCTCTCCAGCCTCACTTCTCTGTACTTACGACACCGAACTGGAATCTCTCGCGCGGTCTACCTCGCTCTCTTTGCAGCACTCGCCAAGCGAGTGCACAATGCCATCTCGGAACAGAAGGCTGCGACCCAACATGTTGAGCTCCGCCGCCGGCCCGGCACCAGCTCGCTCGGGGATGCCGAGCAGCCCCGAAAGAAGCGAGTCGAGATCAATCGCGAGTTCTTCAAGAACTTGCTTCGACTCTTGAAGATTGTGATACCAGGATGGCGAAGCAAAGAGCTACGGCTGCTTATCAGTCACAGCGTCTTTCTCGTGCTGCGCACTCTGCTGAGTCTGTACGTTGCGGAGCTGGACGGGCGGCTGGTTAGCAGCCTTGTGCGGGGAAAAGGGAAGGACTTTTTACTCGGTTTGGTGTGGTGGATGATTGTTGCCGTGCCTGCTACGTTTACGAATTCCATGGTGAGTCGTGTGCCAATGCCATTTATCATGCCATTTATCACAGTGTTGCCCACTTTTTTCAATTGCCTATGGGCGACTGTGGCAAGGCTCCTAGCCAGTGACTGACAGACACTCTCTTCCTCCTTTTCGTCTAGCTGTCCTATCACCAGTGCAAGCTGTCTCTCAGCTATAGAAAGCGCTTGACCGACTATATCCACGACAAGTATCTGTCGAACATGACCTTCTATGCGATTTCCGCGCTCGACGATCGGATCAAAAAATCCGGACCAACTGGTCACGGTGGACGTTTCACGGTTTTCCGACAGTCTGGCAGAATTATACTCAAACCTCGCGAAACCGATTCTTGACATGTGCATCTACAACTATACTTTATCCAAGAATGTCGGAGGCGAAGGGTTGTTTATCATGAGCCTGCTGGTGCAGCTCTCGGCCAACGTGATGCGCATGTTGACCCCACCATTTGGCAAATATGTGGCGGACGAAGCTCGACTCGAGGGTGAATTCCGCTTCTTACATTCCCGTCTGATCGACTATAGCGAGGAGATTGCGCTTTATCATGGCCACGAGGCGGAAAAGGACACTCTTGATAAGGGCTACTTTACCTTGATTAAGCACGTTAATCGGATTCTACGACGGCGGCTATATCATGGATTCATGGAAGATTTTGTGATCAAGTATTTCTGGGGTGCGCTCGGTCTGGGTCTTTGCAGTATACCCGTCTTCTTCAAGATTCCCGGGCAGGTGACGCAGACGACAGGCGATCGTACTGAAAGTGAGTTGATTCTTCAGCTGGAATTTTCCCGTGGGAGAGATCAGCGATCAGGGAGATCATCATTGTGTGCTAACAGTTCGAGTAGGCTTTGTCACAAATCGTCGGATGCTCTTATCTTCATCTGATGCATTTGGTCGGCTCATGTTCTCTTACAAGGAAATATCCGAGCTTGCCGGATATACATCTCGTGTCTCGTCTCTACTGGAGGTCATGGATGACCTGGTCGCGGGCCATTTCGAAAAGAAATTGGTCTCTTCTGCCTCAACCGAAGAGAATGCGGCAGTGCTGTCTGGTCGCGGTGTGGTTCAGGAGGGCCCTTCGATTGAATTCACAGACGTGCCGATTGTTTCGCCCAACGGTGATGTCTTGGTTCGGAAACTGTCTTTCACCGTCCATCCGGGGGATCACCTGTTGATCGTTGGGCCCAATGGATGTGGCAAATCGTCTCTCTTCCGAATCCTGGGTGGACTGTGGCCGGTGTATGGTGGCACGGTGAAGAAACCTCGCTTCGAGGACATTTTCTACATTCCACAGCGACCGTACCTGTCACGCGGGTCATTGCGCCAGCAAGTGATCTATCCCGACGGGGTCCGTGAGATGCGGGCCAAGGGCATCACGGACGCTGATCTGTATGAGACCTTGTCGATCGTCGAGATTGCCTCGGTCGTGGACCGCCCCGGCGGCTGGGATGCCGAAGAGGAATGGCGCGATGTGCTGTCAGGCGGGCTGCAGCAACGCATTGCGATGGCGCGCCTGTTCTATCATCGGCCAAAGTTTGCGATTCTGGACGAATGTACCTCGTCCGTGACGCTCGAGATTGAGAAGGTCATGTACGAGACGGCCAAGAAACTGGGCACGACGCTGATGACGGTCTCGCACCGTCGCAGTTTGTGGAAGTATCATCAGAAGATCCTGCAATTCGACGGTCAAGGCGGCTATGTCTTCACGGGATTGGATTGGGAGCGACGCATGAAGCTGGAAGAGTAAGCGTCCTGTTCCCTTTTTGACGACGAATTTTTTTATATGTCTTTGGTGTCCTTTTCAGAAGCCATTCCGTTCCCTCCCCCATTTGAGATCCTGTGATTTTTTTTATGCTAACGGCTTTTCCTTTTCTAGTGAGAAGGACGAACTGGACTTGCAATTGCGGGCGGTACCGGAATTGGAACGACGAGTGGCTGAATTGAGTGCCCGCTAGACAGTCAGGGTTCAACGACGTGATTGTTATTCAGGACTACAGGGGGAGACTTTCGAGTAAGATAGGAGGTAGCCTGAAGTACGAGGTTGGTGATGGACTCTGTGAGTTCGTATGGGCCGTGCTCGAGTGCTAATCTGTGTCTCGCCCTCCTTCACCGTTTGACCTAGTCATGGAGACAATGAACATATACAGTCGACACAGGACTACTACAGAAGTCCGATTCTCTTTCTGGATCAAGCACCTAATCACCATCCCTACGTATTTTCCTCCCTGTCCTCGTCTCGCTCGATGGCAAACTCGTTAGGTTCTTGCCTCTCCTTTGCCTTTTTCTTCGTCGATTGCACGTCTTCTTCGGATCAAGTGTATGCTAGTACTACGTAGTACGTACAATATGATCAATCACTTACCAGTGACTACCTACGTTACCTACTAGTAGACTACTGAGTAATCGTTCACCAATTAGTTACTAACTCAGTACTCAACTACACTTTGCCTCCTATCGGCCCAAATTCTTCTTGTTGTCAGCGTGGACCAGCCCCACCAGATGAAACAAGGTTTTCTGACAGACACGATCCAGAATCCAGACACGCCCCTCTCTTTCTCCTCCGTCGGCCACGCCAAATGACGAACATGACTCCACCCACGGCCATCTCGTGCGTCTGGGGAGCCAATCCCACGGGGAAAAAAATGCAAGGCGGATATCCCAGTGTTCTTTTTTTTCATTATGACTTTTCCACTTCTCGTAATTAGTACATAATTAGTACAAACTACAAACTACAAACTACCACTACTCCTCCCCCCAAAAAAAACCACAAGGGGCTGCTCTTCTCACCGTCTCGGCTAGCCGGGGCCTTCATCCCTGACTAAGACCGTCCAGGTCGGCCGGGCGTCCAATCATCACCCCTGATTCAGGCACTGGGCTGGGCCCTTCTTGTTTTCGCCTTCTCCCGACGTTGCCGTCCTTTTCGATCCGAAGCTCTCGAGTCTCGGCCACTGATCCTGAATTCCTGATGGACCTGAATGCTGAGCCTAGTTGGTCCCCAGGGCTGCTTTCGGATCCTCTGTGACCGTCTCACTACTCAGTCCTCATTACTCGGGGCAGGTCAGGTATGTCCTCTCCGTCTCATGTCTCATGGTGTCTGTGTCTTTGGTCGTCTTGGCAGGCAAGTGGAAAAGACGGAGATCCAAATCCAACCCGCCCCAGACGGACGGATGGTCGGAACGTCGGAGGGGAGAGAACAAAAAGCGGCTTGAGAGGCTTGAGGAGGCTTGCGCGCTCGCAGGTTTTTTTGAGAAGCTGGGGGGGGGGAGTCTTACTCGATTACTAAGTTGGTAGTTGACTAGTCTATTGCTGCTTGTCCTGCTATATAGTGAAAGAAGGGAGCTGTAGTTCAAGTGCTACGTAGGACGTAGTACGTGAAGCCATGTACTCAGTACTGTACTACTAGGGTAGGTTGCCGGACGGCGAGTCATGCTAGTCAGAGAGGACTGGAGTGAATAAACCTGCACTATGACTACTTTTTGTACTCTTTTTTTTCCCTGTACTCTGCAGCATCATACCCTCTCTGCAGTCTGGAAATTCTTACCATGAGCCCGAAACTAGACCAAGTCCTGTTTCCAATGTATATCCTCCCCCTATGCTAGAAACTGTGACTGTGGGCTGAGAACGCCAATGTTGATCCACGGACAGTACATTTGCCGTGTAGACTTGACCTCGTTAGAGACCAATTGATTCTGTTCAAATCATCGTGACCATCATCATCGTCGTCGTCACTGGAATTAGCCGAAGACTGGGTGATGCAGCATGGGAATGCCTCTCAATAGGGTTAGGTAGTTATCAACACACGGTCGGTCTGTGCGGAGAGCACCGACCCACCATCCATCATGCATAGTCGACGTGCAGGATACTAGGAGAATGTGCTACTCCAGTTGTATGGTCTTTGACTAGGGAGTATGGACACGTTATGGAGACACTTTCGAGATGATGGACCGACAAGGTAGTCAGCAGTGCAGCACTGGGCACTGGGCGGTGTCTAATAGTCTATGGGAATATGTAAGTACTTCCAGAGTCCTTCTACATCTGCAACCCCGTTATGACATTCAGCCTCCGTTTTCATCGGGTCGAATCCTTCTCGGAACCAAATCTCGACTTGCACGGGCCGGGAGTATCGCCTGGTAGGACATGTCACGGCAAGTTGCACCAACTCATCGCATCCGCAATCCAGGGCTCTCAACTTGACTCGACCAGGCACAACACGCCCATAGACTGTGAGGAGGAGGAGTAGTAGTAGTAGTAGTAGTAGTACTACTACTACTACTACTACTACTACTACTACTACTACTACTACTACTACTACTACTACTACTACTACTACTACTACTACTACTACTACTACTACTACTACTACTACCACTACTACCACTACCACTACCACTAGATTGGTAGATACTAACAAGTTCCATGATGACAGCAAAGATCAGCCGCGGGATTTGCTCAGTTTCGCCTAGTCTGCTCCGCCTACTTCTCCTCATCTCTGGTGCCGGCGTCCTCGTCGCGAACCCGAACCGGTCTGCATCTGGTTTCGAAGGGATTGGCAAGATTGGATGGTCTGGTCCGTTTTTCCCACTTGTTTGGGCAGATCGGGATCGGCGACTACGTCATTGCGCGGGCTTAACCTGTTCTGGAAGTGTATCTTGTTCGGGACCAAAGCCACGGGTTTGTCCTTTTTTTTTTTTCTTTTTCTTTGCTCAGTCATGTCATACTCTCTGGAGAGGCAAGACACTGTTGACTCTGTTGAGTGTACCGACTCAGATAGAGAGAGGGGTACAGAGGAGGGTACACTTGAGGGAAAAAAGAACCAAAAAGAAATCAGAAATGTTACTGTAGAAGCGGTGTTGCCATTGATGTGATCATATCTCATGTTCACAATTATTCAGCTTTTTTCTCATTCAATTAGATCACGCCAATCGAGGGGCTCCCCCACTGGACTGAACTGTTTCTTGGTCTTTTCCCCTCCATCGGATTCCCACCGTTTATTCGAGGTACCCGACTTCAAACAGTACGGAGGATTAATATTAATTGGGTGCTTAGTGTCGAATCGAAATCTAGACTGATTTCCTACTTCTCCTTTTCCTCTTCTCCATCTACTTTCTTCTTCTTCTTCTTCTTCTCTCCTCATCCTTCCATTCCTGCACATTTTGTTTCTCTTCCCTTGTCTTGACTTGTCTCTCTCAGCAGTCATTGTACAGCAGTGTCCTTCATCCCAATCACATTCATCATGAGTCCCTCAATGCCAACGAACTCCCAGAAGCGGAAGATTATCATCTTCTCCGGTAAGTGTACAATCACTCTTGCCCCCACCACCACCACACCTTTATCAAAGACACCGTCTTCCAGAGAATGATCCAAGAGTACTGTTTGCCCTTGATTGTACGCAATTGAGATTTGAGCACTTGGGCTGGGAGCAGCCTTTGATTGATACATGCAAAATCAGTGTCTACCTCTCTCTGGCTCTCTCTGGCTCTCTCTGGCTGTTCTGCCTTGATCTCCCTCCTCATGGGTGATGAATGGCTGTCTCCCCTCAAATCACAAGGAATCTCTCCCATGTGATATACTTCATTGCATAAATCACTGCCGAGATTCCCACTGTGGCGAGGAAACCAGAAAATATCATTTCTCTTTTGTTTCCTCCCCCACATCTCTTGATTTTCATGCTAACTTTCACCCATCGTTCCAGACTTCGATGGTACAATCTTCATGCAAGATACCGGCCACATCCTCTTCGACAGCTTCGGCTGCGGCGCCGAGGAGCGCAACAAGTTGGACGAGCAGATCAAGACTGGCGAGCGATCCTTCCGTGAAGTCTCCGAGGAGATGTGGGGATCCTTGAACGTCCCCTTCGAGGACGGTTTCGTCGTGATGGAAAAGTCGCTCGAGATCGACCCGGGATTCCGCGAGTTCCACCAGTACTGCATTGAGAATGGCTTCCCCTTCAATGTCATCAGCGCTGGCTTGAAACCTGTCTTGCGTCGGGTGTTGGATGCTTTCCTCGGCGAGAAGGAGGTACGTTCTCGCACTTCTTCAATTTTTTTTCCCCTCCTCCGGTCTCCTCCAATATCACTTTGATCCAATTAAGAACCTTTGCATCTTTTGGTTTCTTCATTTCATCCCCTTCTGTGTTCTGTCGGCCACTGGACTAACCCCCTTCTTTTTAGGCTGCCGCCATTGACATTGTCGCCAACGATGCCATCATCGACGGCTCCCAATGGAAACCCGTCTGGCGTCATGACAACGAGCTGGGCCACGACAAGGCCCTCTCCGTCAACGAGGCCCGTGCCCGTGCCCAGTCCGAATGTCTACCCGACGAGATGCCCCTGATCGTCTTCATCGGTGACGGTGTCTCCGATCTGGCCGCTGCCCGCGAGGCCGACGTGCTCTTTGCCCGTCGCGGTCTCCGTCTCGAGGAGTACTGCCAGGAACACAAGATTCCATACACCCCCTTCGACACCTTTGCCGATATCAAGCGTGAGATCGAGTCCATCAGCCGTGAAGATCAACGCAAGACCGGTGGTGTCGGTAAGCCCGTGCGGTACAACCCGCGCGCCAACTTGTGGCGTCGCATTTCCTCCAAGGAAGCGGTACGTAATAGTCCTCTACTCTCCGGCTTTTGCTCTTGAATACTGGTTTTTATTTTTTCCCTCCCTATTTTCCTTCGTGGAGGCAATCGCTAATATATCAATCTACCTCACAGGTCCCCACTCTCATGGCTACTGCTACTCCCTCCAAGGAAGAAAAGATGTTCCTTTGGCCCGAGACTTTCTCCGAGTTGAAGCCCCAAGCGACAATCCAGGAAACCGAGGAGCCCGTTACCGCCATCTAAAGAAGAAGAAACAAAAAACCAACGACATGTAAATCTCATGCAGCCATAATCATCGCCATACACACACCCCCAATACACCATACATCAAATACCACATGCCATACACCACGCACACACACACACACGAATATACAAAGAGATCATGTCGAATCCACGACCCGACGCACAACGAGAGAGAAGGCGATGAACAGAAGACGATGAAAACAAGGCGAAACGATCTCCAGCGTCCACAGTGATGAAACCCTCTCGATGTATGGTGAGGTATCACTAAACCTGGTCCGGATATCACGCATTTCGATTGTCTTTGCTCCTTTCGTCTCTCGTCATTGGAACGGACGTTCTTTCTTTCTTTTTTTTTTCCATTTCGTCTTATTATTTTACTGATGACAAGAATCATCTTACTTCTAATGCAGGCATGGAAATCTGGTGTGGCAATTTTGTTGTCTTTATGTAATTCGCCCATTTGATTTTCTCCTTTCTCCAATCATGCATCCGCGCTTACTGACCTGCCCATGATGATGAATTCTCTACTAGAGTGGCGTGTATGTATAGATTCCAAATACAAATAAGCTTCTGGACTGCGAACAATACGCTTGCGTCGACTTTATGAGGAGTTTGAGGATAAAACTTGCAAATCATGTTAGACAATAAGAAACAGTGTACTCGAAAACCCATCACGCAACGAACTTGGGGATAAAAAGAAAGAACATGCGTGATCAAAAAGAATGCCGTACAAAGAGATTCGTAACGATCAGATTAACACGCAAAGGCGGCCCCTGACCCCCACCAGATCCACCATAGGCCTGGTCCGGCGTATAGACGGAAAAGATGATTCGTGGACGGACACCGGAAAGGGGGACGAGGCGGAGACCGGGGCATCATGATCATTTCAAGAGATCTATCAGGCGTCGTCCTTCACGTTGAGAGGCTCGACATTCCAGATGCTATCGGCGTACTCGTTCGTCACTCGGTCCATAGAGAAGAAGCCCATGCGTGCAACGCTAGTAATCGATTTGGCCAACCATTCCTCTCGGTTCTGGAATTCCTTATCGACCATCTCATGAGTCTCCACATAAGAGTTGAAATCATCCGACACAAGGTAGTAGTCTCCGTGCTCTTCAATCGAAGCGATCAACGACGCAAACGACGACGCATCGCCAAAGGTGCCTGACTTGATCGAGTCAAAGACACGCTTTAGCTGTGGGTCGAGTGTGAAGCCTCCATAAAAGTGTCGATGACGCAACTCCTCGACATCCTCCGCGAGGTTGCCGAACAGGAAAATGTTCTGCTCGCCAATCTCACGAGTGATTTCAATCTATTAGAGAGAGAGAGAGAGAGTTAGCAACAAACTTTGGCTTGGGGGGTGGAGCACTCAAATCAGGAGACTCACATTTGCTCCGTCGCAAGTACCGATAATCAGACCACCATTCAGAACAAACTTCATGTTGCTCGTACCACTAGCCTCAGTACCGGCCGTGGAGATGTGCTCACTGATGTCAGAAGCCGGACAGATAATCTCTGCCTTGCTGACATTGTAGTCCTCGATGAAGATGACCTTCAACAAATCACCAATCTCTTCGTCTTTGTTCACCACGGCGGCCACACTGTTGATCAAATAGATAATCGACTTGGCCATCCAGTATCCCGGAGCGGCTTTACCACCAAAGATCGACACTCGGGGCACCACCTTCTTCCGCTCTTCGGCAGACATGGCCTTGAGCTTCAAATAGCGATGGATCACACCAAAAATGTTCAGCTGCTGGCGCTTATACTCGTGGATTCGTTTCACCTGCACGTCGAACAGGGATTGGGGATTGACGGAGTATCCGGTCACATCCTTGATGAGTCGCGCCAGTCGCAGCTTATTATTTGCCTTGATATCGGACCACTTCTTCCGGAACTCCTGGTCGTCCACAAACGCCTCGAGCTTGTCCAACAGGGTGAGATCGGTCAAGAAGTCATAGCCACCGAGCTTCTCCGCAATGAGTGCTGACAGCGCCGGGTTGGCCTGGTGCAGCCAACGGCGTGGAGTGATGCCGTTGGTGACGTTCGTAAACCGATCTGGCCCATAGATCTCAACAAAGTCCTTGAAGATGGTGGTCTTGATGAGATCGGAATGCAGCTCGGCCACACCGTTGACCTTGTGTGAGCCAATGATGGCAATGTGAGCCATGCGGACCATCTTCGGGTGCGACTCTTCAATGATGGAGACTCGCGAGAGCATATCGCGATCTTTGGGGAAGCGCTTCTCGACGGATTGGAGGAAGAAGAGGTTGATGTCATAGATGATCTGCAGATGGCGAGGTAACAGATTCTGCATCAAGGGAACAGACCATTTTTCCAGAGCCTCGGGAAGAACCGTGTGGTTGGTATATCCAAATGTACCGGTGACGATGCGCCAGGCCTCGTCCCATTCCAAGCCCTCGACATCAATCAAGATACGCTGTAGCTCAACGATGGCCAGAGTGGGATGGGTATCGTTGAGTTGAATGGCGATCTGGTCGGGGAATTCACTCCAAGCCCGGTTGGTCTTCTTGAAACGACGCACAATATCATACAGAGACGCGGCGCACCAGAAGTACTGTTGCTTGAGACGCAATTCCTTACCACGTTCCAAGTTGTCGTTCGGATACAGCACCGCGGAGATGGTCTCGGCGGTCTGCTGATCGGCCACTGCGCTCTCATAGTCACCAGCGTTGAATTTCTGGAAATCGAATTCACCACTACTGGCCTTGCTGGACCACAGTCGGAGGTTGTTCGTCGTCTTAGTCCGGTAGCCGGGGATGGGAACATCGTAGGCAACGGCCTGGACGGTCTCGCCGGCTTCCCAGGAGTGGCACGTCTTGCCATGCTCGTCCTGGTACTTATTCACATGGCCGTAGAATTGGATATCCACCGTGATATCGTGTCGAGGGAATTCCCACGGGTTGTTGTCTAGCCAATAATCGGGGATCTCCATTTGGTACCCGTTGACAATCTCCTGCTTGAAGATTCCGTACCGATACCGCAGTCCGTATCCCCAAGCCGGATAATTGAGCGTAGCCATACTGTCCAAGAAACAGGCGGCCAGACGACCCAGGCCGCCGTTGCCCAACGCGGCATCGTGTTCCTGACTGATTGCGTCTTCAACTCGGAAGCCCAGATCGGCGAGACCATCTTGATGCATGGCAAAGAGAAGTACGATTAGCAGGTACATGCATGCCCCGGATATCAGGGTCAGGTCACCTACCTCGAGCCACGTCTTTCATTCCAACATTAAGCATCGCGTTGTCCAATGCACGACCCATCAAGAATTCGAGCGAGAGATCTAAGGGGTCAAGGTTAGTACAACAGGTTTCCATGAGGTGACGGCGGTACAGCTGGGCCCATCGCCTCATAGCACCTACAGTAGACACGCTTCTGGTCGGTAAAAGTCTGGCGCTGCTGGGTCTTGTTCCACTCGATAATCAGTCGGTCCCGGAACGCGAGTGCGGTTCCCGAGTACGCCGCCCTATACGCCCCCCGGATGAATCATGGTGAGTGGAAGGTCTCCGTTGGGTGGAAGGGGGGTTTGGTTTGGCGGTGCCTCACAGTTCATCACAGTTGTACAAGGAGCGAGCAAGCGTGGTCTCCACGTGGCGGACAAATTCTCTCTGGAAACAAGATGTCAACTTGGTGATCTCGTCATACCCTCTTCGTTTCTCTCTTCGTGGGTGGGAGCTATGGTAATGTACCTCGAATTCTTCTTTAGTGGTAAACTCAGACGCCGACTATTCAATGATCAGTCACCCAACAAGTTCGCCTATGCAATCTTTTTTTTTCCCCATGGGCTCGTGAACTCGTTCACATACATGCTTGCGCCATCTGTTTCAGCCCAATAAATTTGTGTGGTCAGCACGTAGACTGCTCAAGAGACTTGAAGAGGCAGTCATTGAGACTGGAGGGAATCTCGTCCAGACTTACGCCTCACGCAATGGTTCTGGAATGCTGGCCTCGACACTCTTGATCTCCGCGGCACCAAAGCCAGTAAAAGTTCGCTTGTGCTTGGGACGACTGAATCCGGGGCCAATGGGACCTTGCAGATCGGCAATGGGAGCTCCCACGGAGGGCTTGCGCTCTCGTCGAGGCAATTCTTTCTCGGTCGATGTCATTGTAACGTTCGGAGGGGTGAGGACTGAAATTGACCGAGGCAACAAGCAAGTGGGAAAGGTAAGACCGGAACGATGGCGATGTGGATGAATTTCCCGGTCTCTATGTGGTAGGGGGAATGATGAAGGTCAATAGTCGAGAGATTGAATTGCTCCCGGCTGGACCGAGAGAACGTGCAAGGAGGTAATGGAGCAGTCGCGGAAGGGGGAAGAGCAAAGGGGAGGAAAAGAATTGACAGCCGGAAGGTGAGAATGAGGGGAAGAGGAAGAAGAAGAAGAAGGCGTGTGATGACGGTTTTGACTTGGAAATCGGTCAGGGCTGGTCTGGTACGAGAGGGGAAGCAGAGAGGGGAACAGCTGCACCGGCACCTGCACCAGGGCCAGACCCGCGTTCGACAGAGCCCTTTTTGCATAAACTTGATAAAAACGGGCTACCGTGCAACTGCAACTGCCAGTGTGTCGTACCGTACCTTCCTTGCTGATTCCACCGAGTACTGAGTACCGATCCGACTGAAGGACTTCCCTTGCTGACTCGGGTACCTCCCACGGACCGGAAGTTGCCAGAGCTGATGACCCGATTAGGATTAGGATGGTAGGGCCAAAAGAAGGTGGGACTGCACTGCAAGAAACGGTCCTGAACTTTCTTTTGGAGAGGGCATCACACCAGCACTCTCAAAAGGACAAAAGGAGAGCCGATGCGGACTAGTGGATATTTTGATCACGGGATGCTTCAATAGTGTCTCCTGCTCTGCAGAGGCACTGAAGTGAGACTATGTTTCGCATCCATCTCATGCGATCGTGGAACGCCACAGTCGAACTTCTTGCCTGAGGCCCTCTGGAGATTGACCCGAGAGATGCTCTACTTCTGCCTCCCGTCTCTGTCTCGGTTGCTTGACAAGAGCAGGACTATTTCCCGGGATGCAACGGGGTCTCGCTCGGGCTCTCTCCGCTACGAGACAACGGCTGGGGGGTTGCACAGGTGCTTCTTAGTTCTTGCTACTCCGATGAAGGGTGGGGAGAGGATTACTACATTAGCACATGTAGTACTCCCTGTCGTGGCCGCATTGGGGAAGGGTTCATGGAGTCGCCAACGTGGATATGTGGTGGACATGTGGTGTGGTCAGTGTGGGGTGGTGTGTTCCTTGACCTGTCGACCGGATGGACGGAAACTGACGATCTGAGGTCTTCTGCGCAGAGGGGACATGAGGTCCAAGCTTCTGGAGCTCTAGTGGGGTCGGCTGCTCCCCTCGGAAAGAGCGCAGCAAAAGACGGAGTGACCGGGCGAGTCTGTTGAGGTTGGTTCGAGTGACGCGTGGAGACTGACAGGCTCCATCCCGGGGCGGGGGACAAAGGATGGTGCGATCGGCCTGGAGTCTCGACTGGGGGGCGCGTTCGCGGTTCGGTGGGCATCTTGCCGGGCGGTGAGGCGGCGAGTCGCTGTGCGGATGTGCGCTTCTTGAATCGAATGGTCTGATCCTCTGATGAACAGGAACAGGATCACCTCCTGAGTCCCGAGTCCTGAGGACTGGTCGTGGGGGCCGTTGGCCGTCGACAAAGTCTTCTCGATCTCAGTCGGTCGGGATGACCCCCCGTGAACCAAGATCTCTGTGTCCCTGTTTCAAACCCTGGGGACACACCCCTCCTCTTGTGACCAAAACCAGAATCATCATTCCTCGATGCCACCGGGTCACGGAAACCCCCAAAATAGAACCAGCCCACTGCCTCAAATCCGAGCGCGCACGTGCATCTCATTGATGCGAGTCCCGGCACCGACTGCATCACTGCACAATTACACATCGTGCACGGCCGCGCTGCGCTGCGTTGTGCAAGGCAGTGCAGTGCAGTGCAGTGCAGCGCATCAACTGGCGATCGCTATGGGCTCCAGTGGTACTCTCGACTGGAAACCTTTGGCGGTCCTGAACCTCCCTCCTCTGCCTTGCTTTCCCAGGCTGTAGTCCAGCTCAAGTTTGGTGCCTCTTTTCCAGTCGACTCCCGTCCGTATACACATTCCACAGTAGTGGGTAGACCCAGACAGGCTCATGTACTTTGCAACGACAGTTTTACTTCTTCTCGGTGACACGATCCCCCCTCGTTCGGAACTGAGCAGGCATGATGTCTCAACTCCAATGCTGCTTTGCGACATTGACAAGATGCTGTCGGTTGTGCGGTGATTCTCTTTACTCAAGTTCCAAGCCCGCTTCCCAATCTGCTTTGTGACTTTGTGAGAGGATATTCGGGACAAGAGAACCCACGTAGAGCAGTATATAGAGTGAAGAAGTAGTATTTAGTATCTACCAATGGTAAGGTAAACTGGCGTGACTGCTCTTTCCCCTCAAATCAGCTGATCCCAAAGCTCCCAACTTCCGTCTGGTACGTAGTTGACGACTACTACTACTACTACTACTACTACTACTACTACTACTACTACTACTACTACTACTACTACTACTACTACTACTACTACTACTACTACTACTACTACTACTACTACTACTACTACTACTACTACTACTACTACTACTACTACTACTACTACTACTACTACTACTACTACTACTACTACTACTACTACTACTACTACTACTACTACTACTACTACTACTACTACTACTACTACTACTACTACTACTACTACTACTACTCCTACTACTACTCCTACTACTACTCCTACTACTACTACTACTACTACTACTACTACTACTACTACTACTACTACTACTACTACTACTACTACTACTACTACTACTACTACTACTACTACTACTACTACTACTACTACTACTACTACTACTACTACTACTACTACTACTACTACTATTCGCGCTTACACCCAATACCTTTCACTACGTGTGGGGGACTCCAGAAGAAAGTCGTCTTCCTCCCAATCTTGCTCAGATCCACAATCTCTGTAATGGCGGGGGATCAAACTCCAACGCGGGACCGGACTCCATGGAGGATGCAATCGATCTGCACGTTTCAGCCACTGACGACAACGATGGTCGCGATAGTAGCACTCCGACACTAGGCACTACACGACTACTAACTCAGGGAGACGGAGTGATGCCTTATCACCGATAACCCCTCCCCTCATCCATTCCTCTGCCCCGCTCTTCTCGTCCCTGTATGTACATTGGACACTTCGTAGTTCGTCGCCATCGATTTGATTCACGAACATGTACGTTAAACCACTAGCTGAGCACATCCAGATGCCCCTCGAGAGGCCTAAGGAGGTCGAGGGCTACGTTCTCCCCCCCCCCCTAACGGATGTTCAACAATAACATGACATAACGTCAATCTGATACCCCTCTATCTCTCCATTTGAGTTTGAGGTACCGCTTCCGTCGAGGCCATGTTGAATAAGTGTATTACGAAAGACTCGAGAGTGATGTGAATTGGACAACGGACTGTCATTGCGAGAATTGATCGTTCACGCGAGACAATCCCTGTCATCCACGATATGAATCCAGAGGGAAGAATCCCTTATCTACAACATGAACCCGCGAAGGTGGGAGGCTGGCACGGTCCAGTACATGCTGCACGTGCCTCGCGACACCGTGGCAAGCAATACCGGCCTGGAACCTATCTTGATCGAGCCTCTGCTAATCGTGAAAGGGGCAAGAGAAATGTATCATCTCCCTTGCAACTGAACGAGTGATAGAACCACAGTCAGATCATCATTGGTATTGGTATTGGTATTGGTATTATTGAGCTGGTCCCGACGTGCTCGGGATCGCCTGTAGAAACGTACATGAAAGGCGGGGGAGGATCGCAGTCCACCCTCGGAGACAAATGACGTACAAGAAGAAGCACACAGACATGGCAAAAGGCAAAAGAAACAGGGGAGGATAGAGGAAGGTCGAAAAAAAAAAACCACAGGATGCCGGACGCATCGCAACGCTAGAGGTCGCCATGCTCCAAACAAGCGGTACATATTACAAGAAAAGAGAGAGCTAGGTCACACATCAAAGGCAAGGTGAGCCGCAACAGTAGACAGAGCGCGAACCAACCACCCCGGGAAAGTGAAAGGTAAGAAAGAAATGGGGAATTGGAAGCTCGGGAAGAAAGAGGTAAAGCAGACCGACACCATCAAGAAATCGAAGAAACCGCCGTCATATGCATCAGAAAACAAAGAAAAGGTCAGTAAGACAAGAGACCTACGAATGTCTGTCGAGGATTGTAATGGGAGGATTTAAAAGGAGAAGGGGGTATTCGATGTTTTGCCCCTCCCCTCCCCATTGGTCGCGGCGAGAAGTTTTCAAGCACAGTCATGAATGCGAGCAAACAACCTGACATACATGCAAGAAAGGGTAGACATTGAAAAGCCAAGAATGGCCTCGGTCCCTGTCACGGGTCAAAGTGACACATGAAGCAAGAGAATGAGAGACACAATGCGGCAAGGAAACAAGCTGTTCTCATGATAAACTGGACGACTTCCCGCTTCTTTCACCATGAGAACAGAGTCATGCCAAGAGGAGACGACAAAAGAGCTTTGGCGGGGAGGAGAGTACGAGAATATCAACTGGACTTCTGCACGTGCCAGGGGAGGAGGAAGCGAGCTCGTTGATCGCTCTATATTTCTCTCACCAACGAGAGAAAGAGGCCAATTCTGTCGACAAGGGATGAATGGTGGGAAAAAGGAACCCAATACGAATGATCGAGATGGCATGTGGTTGAGCATGAAGGTAGGTCGGTCTTGGGGATCGGTAGGTAGATATTCATGGTGATAGGGATTTGAAAGTCGATAGAAGTGATAAAGGCTCATTTGGATGCCATAGTTCACTGTAGTGGTGAGGTAAAAGTGAAGGATAGCTCATAGAATGCCCGAGTCTTTCAGCGCATTCTGCAGAATCGTCTCCTTCACTGCGGCAAAGACTAACCGAATATTGGTCGTGTCGGTAGCTTGCGTCAGGCTAGAGATAAATCTGTCAGACCACCAGATCCGGAGTGGAAGAAAGGCAACGAAGAAGCCTAGACAGGTGAGGGAGAAGGAGACACATAGCCCAGGATGGCACACTTACTGAGGATACAGATTCAGGTGAGCACGATTCACCTGGTTGAATCGCCAGAGAAGATACTTAGCCGCGCGATTCACATCATTACCCCCTGAATAGTCGGGGAAGTAATTGCTGAGCGGCGAACGTGGCAGCTTTTGGCGAAACAAATCGACCTTATTGAGGAAAAGAATGATACTCGTTCGCATGAACCACCGAGAGTTCACCACCGAGTCAAAGAGCACGAGACTCTCCATCATTCGATTCTGCACCACAGATCAGTAAGTATGATGAGAATTCAAGTTTGCGGAGGAGGGCCGCGATAGACACTGTACCTGATTGCTCTCCTCTAATAACGTCTGATCGTATTCGCTCAAGGCGACACAGAAGATGATGGATGTTACATTCTCGAAGCAATGAATCCACTTCTTTCGCTCGCTGCGCTGCCCACCAACGTCGAACATGCTGTCACCAGCTCCAGTCAGCAAACCACGTGTTTGGGTCAAGAGTCGAGGGCGATCTTCTGTGACACATACTGTATGCTCAATTGACCCATGGTAAATCGCGTCTCATAGATACCAGTTGTCTTGGTACGGGCTCGAAGGACGTCGGACACATTGGGAATGTAGTCCGGGGCTGTGATTCGCTTGGCCTCGTCAAAGAAACTGAAGTTCGGTGAGTACAACATGTTTGTGGACTTCCATGGCAATCCAGATGGAACGACAATCTTACTAGGGCGCAGAATCCATAAGATAGAATTCGTTCTGTCGTTCGAGCACGGTGGAAGTACAAGGATCATTCCAGAGATATGTGATGGCGTCTCCGATGGTCCCATCCAAGGGAGTATTGGGGTCTGTGTCGACTTGGTATTCTTCGAGTACGACCATGTAGTCCTTCACTTTTTGACTGGACGGCTCCAATTGGAAATGGCGATAGCCATCGATCAGTGCCTTTGCGCAATCAATCAGATTCTTGTACACGGTTAACCTGTACAGAGCCAGCTCTTCCACAGTGTAGCCGTTTTGATGAATGATCTTCATCTGTTTCACGATCGTAGACTTGCCACTTTCGCCCGACCCTAGACAAATTGAGGGGTTAACCTGGATTTCCGGTGCGATCTGAAACCCAGGGCATGTGCACCCTGTCGCACGTTCCACATACCTAAAAGAAGGATCTTGCATTCCCTTCGCAGCCGCCGTTGATCTTCTTCGAGCCTCCGATCAATCATCTGGCTTCTCTTCTTCTGTTCCGCATCTCCCGACGACTCCGAGCTCAGACACGAGCCCATCTTGCGGGTAGAATTATGCGTCCACCCCCCAAGTCCGGGCTTCTCTGTCGTTCAAATCACCAAACGAGCAAGGACCGGGTCCCGAGTGCAAGTGCACGGAAGCGATCGGTGTCAGCCCGTCGGGACGGCCGCAGCCTTCACTGGGTTAGGAAGACGGCCACCCGCAACCCTTCCAAGCCAGCGATCCAAACAATTCGGCGACGACTGAGATATGTCTTAGGTAGGCGCAACGATGATCGATGATGTGTGAGACTTGGGATGCGATGAGGACGAGGAAAGCGGGGAGAGGGGAGCCGCGATCGGTCGGCAAGAGAGTGTGCCAGTGAGTGAGAGGCAAAAGCGCAGGATCGGAAAACGAATGTCTCGTTTGCGGAGGCGAATTAGACGGCTCTTGGAAGGCTGTGGGAGAAGCAAGCTTCACGCGGATACTCAGAGGCTTTGGTGACAGGGAGAAGGTGCTGGGCGAGAAGGCGAGGATCCAAGGCCGAATCCAAGTTGACCGCAGAGAGAATGCAAAGAAGTGTCGAGAGGAGTCCTTTGGTGCGGCTATCGTCATGCTGGGGGTGGAGATGGTACAGTAGGAGGGAAATTACGGGGGGGAAGTCAGAAATGTCACATACGGGTGAGCTGATATCGGGCCCGTAATTACAGTGGTGATTTTCAAAATTTCCGCTACCAGCCTACCACTGTGGCAAAGGCCATTGGCCACTGTATGCCATCAATACTGTACAGTGTACAGGATACGGCTATACGCCCGGGCGCCGTACGGCAGATTCAAATTAGGATTACTGTCTCGGCGTCGTTGTCCATCGGTTATCCACTCAATTCTCGCTCAGCTGGTCATTGCCGTGGGCAGCCGCCAACGAATTCTATTATTCGAATACAACCCGGGCGGGTGTGTCGGCGTGTGTTCCTTACAATACGCCTGCGAGCTGCGCCTGCCTAGGAGAGGTCCAGAGGATTCCGGTACCGGTACCCCCATCAACTGGGGAAGAAAGATCAGCACTGAGCACTGAGCACTGGAGCAGTGAAGGCTGTGTATTGCTTTTGAGTATGCCCGAGCAGCCCGACTATTGAGTAGTCAGGATTGAGTACTGACTTCCCATAGATTCTCTACTGAGTCTCCACTTTCTGGAGTCTGTACTACTCACTGGACTTAGTTCCGAGTGCTTAATTGCTTGCTGCTTGCTGCTTGTTGCCTATGGTGAAATGAAATGCAATATATACAACTGTGTAGTGTATAGTGTATACTGTATACACCTTTTACCAGGAACGCTTGAGGTACATGTATATTCCCTCGAAGCCTCCGACTACTCAAAACACACAGCCTCTCCCGTCGAACTTCAGGTTTTTGATCGACTATTAAATAAATACCTTGAGGCTATCCGCTGCGGCCAGAGTGACCAATTAACCATATATCTACATAGCACATACTCCCTAGGGGATCGAACACTACCTAGCGGTATTCGTAGCGGTGAGAGAAGGGAAAGTAACTGGAAAACGTACTGTACTAAATCACGCACTGCTGGAAGCCTGGAAGTCCCTTGACACACAAGGCTCATCACCTGGGTGAGTGCTCAATACCCTAGTCGCAACCGCGGGCTATGCAATGATTATTGCCATCCTTGCTTCATTTTTTCCCATCGCCCACTACGTGGCCATTATACCCTCGGCGCAATCGTCCGTTGCATACCTTGAATCCTTCATTTATGTTGGTCGCTCGTCGGCCGAGGGTAAGGTTTTCATCACGGCTTGAAACTTTCCGCCCAGACACCGGGCCATGCTACAACAGGAAGCTCCTGGGGGCCATGGCAACTTCCGGCTTTGGCGACTCCTTTCACCTGTATCAAATGGATGTCACCGTCGTTTTGGGCCACGTACATATGCAATTGTTGATTTTGTACTGTGATACTCCTAGGATCACCAGCGACAACAACGATGATCTGCTCTCATCCTATCACTTCCGCCTGAACAGTCCAACAGTGACTTGCCCGTTCGAGGCTTGGAGCCGTATGTCTCTAGAACTTCGACCTGCTGGCGGACATCTTGTTCGGGAGGCTCTGAACAATACTTGTTTCACAAGTCAAGGGCATGAGTCAGGGATCATCAAGAATCAAACAGGCTGCACTTCTGTCGCTTTGCACATTAAGTCCGTGTAGTTAAAGAAGCCGTATGCTCAACAAGCCGAGTAACTTACCAACCATTTCTCACAGCACCGCAGGAAAGGCAAATATGGCCGGCATAAGTGGATAAATTTCCCAAAGCTGTCTAGTGCTGTTCGCCTTGAAAGCCCTATAGTTATGTTCCGTTTTAGAGATGGAGAAAGATCGCCCCCTTCATCGGCCAGAGTTGTAGACTTGTTAAGAACGGGCAGTGCCCCACTAAGAGAGTGTCTTTTACTTGTTTGAGGTATAGTCAACAGATGAGGTTCTGAGCCTCCTCGTTACACTCCCTCTAATCCACAGGCAGTGCTAACTGAACCCTCCGATTGTCGGCAAGTCATGACGCACTCTTTGGTCCCGGTTCGGGGCGCCCACGTGAGAAGCACTGGAAAAAGCACATGGCAACCTGGAACAGGTACAGCAGGGAAAAATCGGAGATGTCGATCGATAACAAGGCTTAATGTCCATTCTCCCCTGCGATGTCCGCGATGTCCGCGATGTCCGCAGTAGTGCATCGGGCGTCCCACATTCGTGTGAACGCGCCCTGTTCCCCCACAGTAAGCGGCTGGGGCTCAGCCTTGTTGATTCATGAATCTTCAACGTCACAAGACGCAGTAGACTCTGCCTCATTTAGTTCATATCTTGCATATTGTATACAATAAGGGGAATTCTATTTACCTGAATTTCAGCTTCCAATCTTGGCCGGAAGTCTTTGGCTGGTATCGCTGTAGCGACATAGAATCAAGTCACTGAATGCCTGTAACGAGAAAATGAGCTTGACTAGAGTACCTCATTTACTTCATTTGAAGCCTCAATCACTGACTTTACGTATCTTGAATCTTACTACCTTAGCAGTGTTAATTCACTACGACAACCGTATACCTAGTTACTGTGAGATTCTGAGCTTTATCCACAAGGATAGGTGGTGAACTACGGCCATAATAATAGCAGGTGCAACCACAGGAAGAGAGAGAGTGGGAATTGAGGTGGGATTGCTTCGTCTGAGACGGGAGACTCTAAAATAGCGGAATTACACGCCATGAAAATTATAGGTTCTTTTGTATTGCTAAATCAGATTCGAGTATGACTTCCGATTCAAGACCTGCATAACTATACCAAAAATTTACTCATCCAGTAGAGTGAAGCATCGAGGGCAAGTGCACTCGGCGGGCGTATTCGGCTGTGAATCCGTTTCCATGCTGAGGTCGGAATGTCGATCTAGCTGCTCGACATGCAGGACTTTTGACCGACTGCCAGCCAAGGTGGCACCTGGGTAGCCATCTGGCAGCCTGGATTCGTCCTTCTAAATCACACAACAACTCCATCTTCTCTCACTCTTCAAAGACCGGTCTTCTTCGCAACGCAAATCAGCCCTCTCCAACAGTGACAACTTACATAGATATTCATACTGCTCTGAAGCGAGGGACGTCGAAGGATCATTGATTTTTTCAGTCAACTCATCCGCTAATTCAGATTCTGTCGAATTTTGGGTGGTTCAAATATTGAACAGAGTCTAGGGAAGACTTTTATAAAATGCTCTGCACAAACAATCATTCGACTATGATGCTCTTTTGAAACCAATCCGCTTTGAATGAGATAACTTCGAAGCATCTCTACTTGTGTAAATTTTCGCCGTAGTCTTCAGACCTACGTCATTGTTGGCTCTAAGCAGTAATTGCAAGCGGAAAGGCTACGCTGTTCCTCACAACTCGAACCTCATGAGCCGGGGCAACGCAACCGGGTGTCAATTCCTAACCAACAGCGAAGCAAGTGAAAATGCAGTTCTAAATCTCCGGAAAGCTTGTCGACTTTCATTTTCCCAAGTACGTCTTGCATATTGCATGTCTGTCACGATGTCTCGATGATCGACAACTTCTCGATCGGGGAAAAAACTTGACCAGATGGGGAGCTTGGAAGTATTATCGTCAGACCGGGTTATATGTACACTGAAGGGTGTGCTGAATTTCTCTAAGGTAGGCGCTATCACATCTTGATGCTCTGATGGAGTGGCCTACACAGTATCAATTAAAGTTCATCGATATACGGGCTGTTCTTGGGTCGCTCAGTTCATAGCTCACGAATCGGAGACTTTCGTGGAAGGTCGGCATCATCACCTACACAGTGCTGGAAAGGTTAGTACCTTACCTAGTATAGAGGGGAATGCTCAAGGCAGTCTGATCTCACCAGACAGGTCGAGTCATAGAGGAACCAAACCACAACCACCAGCACGCACGTCCAGAGATCTCCCAACCCGACCGTACAACACCTATCCGTAGGATGTCCGAAGGTAAAGAGGAAGATCAAAAAGAGTGTGTCATTGCAATGCAAAAGAATCCGACTGTAAAGACTGTACTGAACTCCCTTGAAGCCGTTCAATCCGATGGTTGCATCATGTCCTTCGCATCCGCATAGTTGTCCGCATGGTTGTCCGCCGCATGGTTGTCAAGTTGATTGACTCCCTCTCCTCATGTCCAAACAGCCTCTCCCGACCGTAAGGCCACCATCAGGCACATGCACCTCAACAGACTATCTGCTCTATGTACATGCAACCGGATTCCCTACTACACTAGGTAATTGAAATACATGAGCTGAGGGGTGATCGGGGAGTTTAGGTAGTAAGCATGCCTTCTCACACCGGACCAAAACCCGTGGGCATAAATACCATTGTTTGCTTTATCGACTCTGATGCATGCTTGCATTCTGTCTAATGTCTACATCTATCCTAGCCATGACTCAATCAAAGACAAACGTCCTTATTGTTGGTGCGACCGGATACATGTGAGTGCCCATACAGTGCGCTAGCAATGGCTTATTTGAGGCACTCAACACACGACTGACTATTGCTCTGGTACAAAGTGGTGGCTCTGTACTCGCTGAAATTTTGGGGTCTCAGGACGCTCAGAATTTATGCGTCTCGGCTTTGATTCGTCGACCAGAGCAAGGAGCCAGACTCGAAAAGCTGGGTGTGAAGCCCATCGAATTTCAAGGCTTGGACGACTTGGAAACTTGCAGAGAGGCTGCATCTCTCATCCCAACGATGGTAGGACCCTACGGCTACATGAGACATCTCGTTTCAGACAAGCTACTAAGCTCGAACAGTTGTGATCAATGCTGCGTCCGCGTCCCACGACAGCTCTGCGAAAGCACTTATTGAAGGCCTTCACCTCCGGAGAAAGAGTGCCAGCCACCAAACAAACATGATACATGTGAGATGGCTTCAATGCCCTAACAAGGTTACCCAATAGCATAGCTCATAAGTTGCCTGCTTCTCAGACTTCCGGCACTTCCATCCTCGGTGATCATCCATATACCGGCAATCCGAATCCTCAAAAGATATGGTCTGACATCAACGACGACATTTTCCATATGGAAATGTATCATCCTGAAAGATACGGACAGCGGGTCACAGATATCGCAGTCGTTGAGACGGGACAGGCCCTTGGAGTGAAAACCTATATTGTCGTGCCGCCGACGATCTGTAAGTGTTCGCAGCCGTTTTTATCAGAACACACCCTAAGAAGTGGCAGATGGCAAGGGTAGTGGACCATTTGCGACTCTAAGCCAACAAGTGCCGAACCTTGCACGCTTCGCTCGGAAGCTGGGAGTATCGCCTGTGATTGAAGGTGGTCAAGGGGTGAGTCTCAATCATTTCAAAATTTCTTGACCTGATTCATGTTCCAACCTTGCGAACTTGAAAGACTTGGAACCACGTCCATATATCAGATCTTTCACGGCTTTATCTCCAACTATTCCGAGCTATTCAAGAACAACCCACTTGGCTACCAAGCGGCCCAAGGGCGATATTCTTCGCTGAAAGTGGCGAACACACTTGGCTCCAAGTCAGTCAAGGTATTGCGGGTGCTTTAAAAAGGCACAACCTTTTGGCGACTGCTGAAGTGAAACAAGTCAGCCTGCAAGAGGCCGCGGATTATATCACTGGAGGAGACGTCAATTTTGTGGAGATCACCCTCGCGTCGAAGTAGGTACCTCTCATCCTTTTTTCTGGAACTTACTTTTCATTGACAGAAAAATTCACAGTGCTCGTGCTCGTGCCGACTTTGCTCGCGAGCGGCTCGGCTGGTCTCCAAGCCATGGAGATGAAGAATTTTTGAATCACTTTGAAGCTGAATTAGACAGCATGTTGGAGGAGCTTGCTACTGCTTGAGAGTGAGTGAAACTACTGAGATGAACACAGAGATCCTGGAGTAGTTTCTTGTCGCTGGCAGCGGGTGGTCCGGTCCTTGGTCTAGGCCTCTTCGTCATACCTCGGCAGGAAAATTCCTTTCTCTGTTGATGGCTTAGATGAATTCAGTGTCGCAGAGAAAGTGCCATATTTGACTGGACAGACCGACCGATTACTCCAATGCCAACTGCTTTTGAATCGAACCAAGTAGGTTAGCTGAATCAGCATTGGCCATCAATTAGGCAGGTAGCCTACACTGAATCACATGTCTATTTGTCTCCATGTATCGGATTCCAACGGAATTAGATCAGATCAGTACAAGAGTAACGCAGTGTCGTACAGAGAAGTATCAAAGTAGCTAATTGGGGTAAATATCAACTTGCCTCCTATTACACCTACTACACCTACTCCTACTACTACTCCTACTACTAATACTTTTACTACTATTGCTGCTAAATTACTACCATCAGTTAGTAGTAGTCCTACTACTACTAGAAAGGTATGCGATGATCACACCAGGGTACCGCGTGGTGAGTGGGGAAGAACTCTCGGGCGGCCAGAGGTGACAACTGACCAGTTGAGCGCAGGCACCATGCACGGGTGACGGGAGGGTGCCTCCACTGCCAGGTGCTGAATGATCATCAGGAGCATCGAAGGAGGTCAACCTTATTTCCACTCCCGTCTTCCCATCCTGGCACGGAAGACATTTTACAGAGTACAGGAGAACCGATTCCCGCCTCGTGCCTGGCTCCCTCTTCCCACTTTGATCTCGCGACATCCAGGGCTATCTTTTCCCTTGGTGAGATAAGACTCACGCTCCAGCCCGGGTGTTCCAAGCCTGAGGCCACCATCGCGTACGCCGTGAGGGGGCTAGACCCGTCCATTCGGGTCGAAGGCCCTGTGAGTCGGCTGGAGTCTGGGAATGGAATCCTCCAATGAATCCCCGCCTCTGGCCCCACCGCTATCGAAACCTGCCTCTGTGCCTGCCAGTCGGTCGCAAACGTCATCGTCCTTGTTTTCTGCGCTCTTCCACCGAAACGGGCCCTTCCCCACACCTCCCACTTGGCTTCTGTTCCAGTTCAAGTCTTTTTGGTTTTGACGCCTGTCTTTGGATCTCCCTGGCACTTGATCCCCTGTCCGCCACTTTGTACCTCTTCCCTCCCTCCCTCCCTCTTCGTCAAAACTTTACTCTCTCTGCCTTTCCCCTCTTCTAATCCCCCCCCTCCCCCTCCCCGCAAAGAAAAAAAACATCCTCCTCCTCCCATTCACGATAACAACCCTCTGTCTCTCTTTCGGTACTTGCTCGCCCATCATGGCCGAATTCGTACGCTCCCAGATTTTCGGCACGACCTTCGAGATCACCAGCCGGTATGTGTGGCCCGATACCCCTCATTCTGGATGGGTTTCCTCTCTGGTGCACTAGTGATGACTGACGCATGTGCTTCTAGGTATACGGACCTTCAACCGGTGGGCATGGGCGCCTTCGGCCTGGTCTGGTAGGTCATTGATTCATGAGAGGGTTCTGCGTGGCACTGGGTCCAGAACGCTGCGCATCAATGACCTCTCCTCGCTAACTGGAACCTCTACCAATAGTTCGGCGCGGGATCAATTGACTGGCCAGCCTGTCGCAGTCAAGAAGATCATGAAGCCCTTCAGCACCCCGGTCCTTTCAAAGCGTACCTACCGCGAGTTGAAGCTGCTCAAGCATCTCCGTCACGAGAACGTGAGTGCTCTTCGTTCTCCATCCTCCTCCGGCGGAAGACTCTCCCGCGGGTCGACGATCAGTCGCAGGGTGCTAACTTCACGTACAGATCATCAGCTTGAGCGATATCTTCATCTCTCCGCTTGAGGATATGTATGTTTTTGAGCAATTCTCAACCACCCATGTGTGGGCCCAGTGCGAATGTTAATCTGTCCGCAGCTACTTTGTCACTGAGCTCCTCGGAACCGATCTCCATCGCCTCCTGACATCTCGTCCTCTGGAGAAGCAATTCATTCAGTACTTCCTGTACCAGATTCTGGTAAGCGCCCTCTCAAGGACAAAAACCTCCGAGCGGGTCTTCGACATGAAGGTACTGATTCACTCATTCTCAGCGCGGGTTAAAATATGTCCACTCCGCCGGTGTTGTGCACCGTGACTTGAAGCCCAGCAACATCTTGATCAATGAGAACTGCGACCTGAAGATCTGCGATTTCGGCCTCGCCCGGATTCAGGACCCCCAGATGACCGGCTACGTGTCGACCAGATATTACCGAGCTCCTGAGATCATGCTCACCTGGCAAAAGTACGATGTGGAGGTCGATATTTGGAGTGCAGGCTGCATCTTCGCTGAGATGCTGGAGGGAAAGCCCCTGTTCCCTGGAAAGGATCATGTCAATCAATTCTCCATTATCACCGAGCTCCTCGGCACACCCCCTGATGATGTGATTCAGACGATCTGCAGTGAGAACGTAAGTCGTTGCTTTTTTGATGGAGTGCCGATATTCCAAGCCCACCAAGCCCGGTCAGATCTATTAACACACCAATGTCTCGATATAGACTCTCCGATTCGTGAAGTCTCTTCCCAAGCGCGAGCGCCAGCCTTTGGAAAACAAGTTCCGCAACGCTGATGCTGATGGTATGTTATCATATGCTGTTCCACGTTTTTCATCATGAGCTTTTTTCGCACCTTTCCGCAGTCACTAACCACCGTGGATATAGCTGTCGATCTGCTCGAGCGCATGCTGGTCTTCGATCCCAGAAAGCGTATCCGCGCCGATGAGGCGCTCGCTCACCCATACCTCGCACCCTATCACGATCCTACTGATGAGCCTGTCGCGCAAGAAAAGTTCGACTGGTCTTTCAATGATGCGGATCTGCCAGTGGACACGTGGAAGATCATGATGTGAGTTCAATCTGCTGTGTTAAAAATTGTGCGCATTCTCGAGACACCCCGGCACTGACAGAAGACAATGCAGGTATTCCGAAATCTTGGACTTCCACAACATTGATCAAGCCAACGAGGCGGGCCAAGCGTTGGTGGCTGGTGCGTCGCACAGTGGCATGGCACCTCAAACGTATGTCTAGACGCTGTTGAGCGGCGATACCTGGGTACCATTGGCATTTTGCACGTTACATTCTCATCTTTGATTCACTCCTGTTTCCCCCTCCCGCGTCGAAATTTTAATTGCACTGTACATGAAAGCCTCGTGTTTACCATACACTTCTGAGGCACGCCCTTCCCAGCTGGCGTAAAGGTTTTCTCTTCACCCGTCGTCACTCTTCCTTGATTACTCATGACTTCTCTTCTTTTTTTTTCTTATCTCTGTGTCTTTTTCTTCCCGACCGCCTCGGGAATCATTGTTCATAGCTCTTACGGCGTCGCGAAGAATTGGTTGTGAAGAGAGAAATTCCATCGTCTTGAGCGTTATTGCGTCATCTAGTGGATCTGATCAGACGTTGTCTTATGAGGCACTGTCGATGAAAGTACATCGAAGTCGCTGTGTAGTCGAGGATCAAATTTCACTATGCTCCATCTGCACATCTTCATGACATTCGTCGCAAATCCACCGTGGAAAATTCGCGCGCACGTCTTGACTCAAGAGAAAGTGACCGACAAGAGTCCCACGTAGATCAGTCAATTGATTTACATCAGTTAATCGATTAAAGGACGGGTGACATAATGCGACACCACAATACGTGACCCCTGTGGGCCCGACTTCCCCAAGACTATGGCGGGGGCCATCTGTGCCGCTCGCAATCAACACGTGAGCGATAAGCAAGCTATCAAATCACCCCTAAACTGTGTCAACCTCCAAAGATCGTCACCTGGCCCATCACAAATTCATGGCAATCCTTGTTTAAAGCGGGCACCCGTTCGGCTGCGCTGGGCGATCGATGTGACAGAATATCTGCTTACTGCGCGGCCCCTTCACCTGATCAACCTTCTCACCTTCGAACGTGCTTCTCGACCCCGCACCCCTCCAATGGCTAAGCAAGCTAGACAAACCCCAATTGTCTTGGTGATTGATTTTCACCATGCAAGGTGAGTCCTCTCCTACTATGTACTAATTGGACAGTCAGGACTCGCAGGACGAGGGCTGTGAGTTCGAGGTTTTCAAAAGGGCAAAGTAGCTGATCTGAAGCTGCAGGGGTCCGGAGGTGGAGCTTTGTATCGCTGACGAGGGCACGAGTCCCGCCACCGAAAATGACTGGTCCCTTTTACCGTTCATGGCCCTCTCAGATGGTGCGCATCTGTACGTATTTTCTTTGCCGCCTTACGAAATGATTCAGCTCCTTTCAAGACGATTGGTCGAAGTGGTGACCCCAACGAAAGTGGGATGCTTCGTCGTGGGACAAGAGACAGAACCAAACGTGAACTTTGCTGAATAGAGGCATTTGATACCTCAGGTCAACCGAGGAATTCTCATACTTCACGCTCCGTCGTCAAGAAACGCCTACGACGCCCGCCACGTCCCTCTTCGGCATATCCTGCTCTCGCCAGCTTGACTCGAACCTCTTGATCGATCGCCCGCCTGACGTGACTCGATCCACAGTACAAAAGGCCGTGGTTGTGGTGACGGACAGTCCTCAAAGAGTAGGACACTTGCGTGAGAAGTTGTCTGTGGTCACTTCGGCATGGTTTGCTCAGCGGTACGTCCTAGTCTCCTCCCAGGCCCATACACACTCAAGACGACGTGGACAAATCGCAAATCACAAGGACACGCTCATATAATCGCAAAACCCTGTCTGACTGGGTCATAAATGAATTAGAGACTTCACCGATACCGACATTTTGAGGGTACAGCGCCTATCATGCTTGTTCGATCCAATTGTTCGAGAAATGCTGAACGGTGTTCTATTTGCAGAAATTCCGGGAAGGGTTGGTGATAAGTTTTTTGAACAATGACCCGAAAGATCAGAACTTGGGTAGGTAGCCTCTTCTCGATCCTAAATTTGCTCAATCAGCTCACGAAACAGGCCTCTCGCTTCGCGAGATGATTCACGAGTTCAAGTATCAGACATTGGTCCTATTCAAGGCACTGTTGCTTCAGCCAAAGGTATGCGGCACTGGCGAGTAAAAATCTCGGTGGGTGTCGTACTGACTGATGTAGATGCTTTTTTTCGGAACTCGCTGTGAACGTTTGTGCATGATACAATTCTCTCTTATCTCTCTCATCCCGGGTCTCATGGGTGCCCTGCAAGATTGCGCCGACCCTGCCTTCGACACCTATGCGGAAACTGTTGAGAAGGCAACATCGCTCAAAACAAGTGACCGGAACTCATGTAAGTCTTTGCACTTACCTCTGTGTCTTGAATGAATCTAACTAACAGCTCGTACAAGTACTGGCGTATATGGGTTTGCCACTGCAAATATTTGGCAAGGTGAGCTTTTGAGACTGTTGCACAACGTGAATTGGATGAATACTGACTTTCTATCCAGGGAAGCATGTTCGGTCCTTATACTCCTCTTCAGCAGCTGGACCTGCTAGCCGACGACGGGACAAAGTCGTATGTGGTGGGATCAACAAACTCGCTTCTGCTGCAACAGAAAGATCGCTACAGCGACATATTAATCAACGTGTGTATTCAACTTTTTTCTTCAATATGGACACATCTGATTCGTGATTTGCTGTGGAATAGCTTGACGAAGACACTATCAACATTACATCTCTCTCACTGCGCACTGCACTTGTTCTTTCTACGGCCGATAGGAGATGGATCGATCTGCTCACTCAAATTGTTAATGACACGTGGGATGAGGATCATCCGTCCCGGCCGAAAACCCTGGGTTTCATGGGCTCTGAAGAGTTTATACGAATGCAATTCGAGGAGTATCTCCTTGCGCTGCTATCTTGCATGAAATACCATGAGGAACTCAATTCACTGGCCTCTGCGGAGTCCTCACATCGTGCCATAAGTCAACTGCAAACCTTCAATATTGAGGGCGATCCTGCCCTTGATTTCAATGCAGACTTCCTTGCTCAGTGGCAGAAGACTTCCAACTACACTCTGTTCTCTCGACTGACATCCGACGCGATGTTATACTCTATCACTGAACCTCGACACCCAAGTGCAGGGGGACTCACAATGGAGGACATTCAACGACGGCTCTCCCAGCAAGTCGCAGACTTACATTTGGATGAGCGGGTTCGTGAAGGCCGAGAAGCACTAAATAGACATTTATCCACCGGTCAGAAGAAAGTGAGCGCCGCTTTCAACAGCTTCTGGTCAGACATTGAAGCCATGCGTGAGGCCCAAAGGAAGCGCAATGAAGAAAGAGCAACACAATCGCAATCTCAACCCCAGTCTCAGCGCGCGTCGATGGACAAGGAAATCCCTGCTTCCCCGGCCCTGGGCTCACCGGAACCGGGGAATGAAAACGCGGGATCGTGGTTTGGCGCACGCCAGAGACCATCAATCGATGTTAGTCAAGCCCAGGCCTCGGTCGCCGCGGCCGGTCAAAAGGCCGGCGCATATTTCAGCTCATGGGGGTCATGGGCCAGCGACAAGCGTCGTGAATGGCAAGAGAAAAGAACGACGTCGCCTAATCCCAATGCCCACATGGCTGCCTCCCCTTCGACCCCAACATTACCGTCCGTGAATGAAAGTATCTTCGACGCAGACCGGGGTCGTCGTCGGTCGATGCAGCGAAATAGTGAAGACTCGGAAGGCTTGTCTCGGAGTCTCAGTCGTCGGAAGCGCTGGAGTAATATCATTCTTCGGCGAGAGGGCGGTGAACTTCAACGTGAAGAGGTAGAGGTTGCGGAAGCTGCGTATCCCAAGTCTCCTCTGTCTCGTGGCTCTTCGGTACATGACTCCAACCCCCCAAAGCAGGAGGGAGTGGCAGATCCACCAGTGTCAGAACGTAAAGCCTCCCCTGAAGTTGAGACTGTCGACGGCGGATCCGCCTCAGCAACTACCTTAGTAATTCCTCGAGACACTCCTCCCGACAATAAAGAGAAAAAACTCGAGGGTCTGGGCCTGGGAGATGTCAAGGATGTTGACACAGCCACCGTGAGCGCACCGATCAAAGAGAACGTTCAGATCACTGCACCCAAGGGATCTGTTCCAGAGTTCACAAGCCCTCAATAGCATAGGTGGTCTCTTGTACATTACACTGATCTGATTGTCCGACATGGTTCACTATAAATGTCTCACTTCACCGATTCACGTTCTTTCTCCTGCGTCGTTCACAATTTTTGGGCCTGTTATATAGCATGTACTACTCTCTGGATATCCCCTGACTAGATGCCCGCTACTTGCATGGAATGATTCTACCGACTGACTCGCCTGTGGCTCATACAATTTTGTTCTACTTTACGCGACAGTCGTATTTTCATTGTAAAAATGGCCAGACCGAAGGTGCTACCCCAAATACGCCTGTTGTCGAACGATCCTCCGCCTCTACTCATATAAAATTCTTTTGGCAGCTTCGGCCCAACCACTGAATTCATAGGATAAGGTATAGAATAATTAAGAAGCGCGACAAGTTTGAAAAAAAATAGAATTTGGGTTATCATTGCTATTGTCTTAACGCTATGATGGACGTTCAAATCATAAAATCAATGGTCAAGGCTTCCTGACCCTGCACATCTTCAACCTCACGATCCGGAGGACGTGTTTTTGAGCGCGACAGTGAGAGGTTTGCGGTATGTATTTCGCTGATTGCGACCGTCAGATGAATGCGAGCAGAGTGAGCAAGAAGTGGGCGGGACGAGAAAGGGAAGAAAGAAGGATGCGGATGGGATGGGTTGCGACATTTTTGAAACGCTCGGAAAGATGTAAACAAAAGGAGCAGGTGTCTTGCTGGTTAGGCAATGTAAGATATCTCATCTCCATCAAGACGCTCAATGTAGTCTTTCTCCATCAACGCTTCAATGTTCTTCTTGATATCTGACACTTGAGGCGGGAAGCGAGACTTGACTTGTTGGATGACTTCGTTCACAAGCTGGACGTGTCTCATCTTCTTGCGCGACTTCATGATTCGTACAATAGCGGACTGGATAGGCAGCGTTTTAGTTTCCACTCAAGCATCATCAAAGAATGTGCACTCAAAATCATCTCAAGAAAACGCTTACCTGGAGCAGCAACTTCCGGTCCTCTTCTATGGTCTTATGCGTATCGTCGGTTTCCACTTTCTGCTCGGACTTGATTTGAATATTGAGGTTGACCTTCAATTTCTTGTTCTTGAAGTTGTAGTTAAGAGAGAATGTGGCGGAGGGATCGGGCTTGGCGCCTTCGGGGCTAATGGTGAGTACTCGAGCCTTCAAGAAAATACTCAAGTTGGGATCGAGAAGCTCAGGGACCAGCTTGGTGGCTGCCTGAATATCAGTGTAGGAAAGGGTGTCTGCTTCGTTGAACAGGAGCAAGATACCCATCTGGTAGGTGGAGACTTGGAATGTGTATGGCACTTTCGCATTTTTGACGTAGTTCGCCTTGACTTCACCCTTACAAAGCTGCCACAGCCAAGTCAACTTACGGCCATTGTGCTTGTCGAAGTAGAACTTTGAGAATCGCTCAGCTGTGCGGTTGATCTCAATTGGCGCAGTGAAATCGGATGTGGGAGCCTGAAGAGGCCAAAAGCCTGTGCCCAGAATTTGGTAATGGGCATCAACTAGTCGCTTGCGGTCATCATCGTCCAGGACTTTGTCTTGCCAATCCTTGTAGCTTGCGTTAAGGTCCTTGGAAATTTGAATATCCTGGAACATACGCTGAAGCTTGTTGGTGTACTCGAAGCCGCACGCCTCCTTTAGCTTGCTGATCATGCTCGTCTCAGCATCATCTGAAACGGAGCTGACGTGCACAAGACGCTTTGCCAACATCTTTGAGTAGAACTTCTGGTACACATCTTTGTCTTCAATGTACTTGAAGACGGTCATGATCTGCACCAACATGTCTTCGAGCTCAGACTCTTCAGCGGCCTTTGATCCCTTTTTCAGAAGAGAGTCGGTGTAACGCGCCAACAGCTCGGGGGACTTTGTGGAACTTTCTTGACAGACTCGGTTGCGGTTGACAAATTCACGACAGGCATTATCCAAGGAGCGGACAAAGTCACTGTCGCCATTGAAGGCTTCATTGACCAAGTTTTGATATCGAGTGTGCACTTGTAGGAGAGCATCCACATACACCTTTGGCTCGAAGTTCTGGCTGTCACTGGCAACTTTTGCTACCGCAGCAAGGCCGGCTCTCTTCACATGACTCTCGAAAGTCGAGCGTAGAGGTTCCAAGGCGTCACTGATACGTGAGAGAAGGCGATACATCCGTGCAAGGTCCTCTTGGCGCTCATTGTCAAGCAAGACCTGGAATTCGTCACGAAGAAGGGTAGAGTGCGCGGCCACCAAAACGTCCAGGCAAGTCTCTGTGAGATCCTTCGCAACGTCCGGGTGGAGATAGAGTCCCACTCGAGCTTTCTCCTCGTCCAGGCGAGACTCGGCTTTTTTCATGTATTCAACCACGCTATTCTCCGCAACGAATTGTCGGGACTCATTCTCGTAGTACGTTCGAGTTGCAGCGATGAAGGGACGTTGGAAGTATTGTCGGCAGACCTCCAAGGTAGACCGCTTGCTGTCATTTTCGTCCAAGCCCAGGGAAACAAATGAGTCGACAATGCTCTTGATCTGGGACTGCTCAATGGTCTCGCCATTGCGCTGCTTCTCAATCAAGTTGAGCACGGCATCCATAACCTTCTCGTGGACGTTCTCAAAGAAGTCATCCTTCCATCTGACCAGATGCAACGTGTACACGTCGTAGACGTTCTTCTTTCCCTCATCAATCTCACGCTTCACCCAGTGACGGTTCAGGTAGCTGAAGAGATGGTTGACGTATTTCGCGGCGGTCGTGAAGCGAGTCCACTCGCGGATGTAGAACCCCAAAAGTGACTCTTCGGCGTGCCCCTTGGAGTGCTGGAGAACAACTTGAAGATGGCGAGAGAGATATTCTCCCAAAAGCTTATAGAGTTCCTCGCCCAACAAGTGCGCTAAGGAAGGTCCAACGTCAGCTCAGTCTTCGCGGAAGATCACAGTGACTTTCAGAAAAGAGGTTTGTAGCTTACCTCCACGATGCGCCTGTGGTCCATGATAGCTGGAGACGGCCTTCTGTGACGTGCAGAAGTTGTGTACGGCACTATTTGTTCAATCCCTTGTTAGCGGAAGCCAGGTGACATTGTCGGGCAGAGAGGTGAGGTACGAACGTGTAGAGGGCCATGTACTAGTCATGAGCAAAAAATGAAAAGTCAGTCCGGTTGAGCAGTAGATCTTGCAGGTGCTTTTGTGGGAAGCAGATTCAACTTACAGTCTTCATGTCAACACCCTCTTCCAGCTTTAGCATGACACTGTCAATCCCACCTTCCAGGAATGCCCATCTAAACTTATGTCAGTACTGCAAGTTCCAGGACATCTAGCGCTTCAAGATATATCAATTTGACTCACGTTTCAGTGAGATCATCCTTGTGCGGGGTCTGAAGCATGGCGGGAGCCATGGCGTCAAGGGGCGGAAGTGCCCTCAGGATTGTATTCGTGGTCTGAGATGCTTCGAACAATGTCAGCCATGTCCCTCGTGATGTATTCATCATCTTTTTCCTGGATTCGGAGCTCAGTAAGCGACGTACACAAGAGATGCGCTACTGGAGCGGATGATTATGTAGCGCCACAAGTCGCGCCGTCGGTAGCGTGCTGAAGAGTAGAAACGTGCTTCAACAAGAATGCCTGTGGCACGAAGAAAAAATGAACAGGGAGCTTTGAAAGATTTAGGTTTGCGATCAGGGCTGTGAAGGTGAGTAAAAAGTAAGCCAGAGGCAGATGGGATAGAAGTTGAAGAGGACTGATAAATGGATGAGGCCCATAGAAGGGCGTCAGGCGTGGGGAAGATAACACCTCTTTGAGGCAGGCGGTGAAAGCGGAAATCGGTCGCGAACTTTTCGAAGAATGGAAAGTCGCCGCACTATCGGTATCAGCAGTAGTGTGAAAGATCGTCCTTATCAGCCATCGTGATTTTAAACTTATCAATATCTGTTCCGGTAACGCTTGGGCGATCTATGCTTGCCAGCGCCTGCTCCACTAGGTACAAAGGACACGTCCAATGCACCCATACATTCAGCAAGTATCAAATGCGAGACAAGACTCACTTCAGGTACAATAGCAAGAATGTACATTGTGGACTGGTTGGTTTAACCTCGTATGTATATCAAGTTTGTCATCTGAGTAGCCTGAACATCAACACGCTTAAATCACCATTCGTGAGCTGATAAATGTGTTTACACTGGTTGCCATACACGCTCAATGCAAGCCTCTCTATCGAGGGGAGATTCATTGAGTGCTATTTAATGTTCATAAACACTTCTCCGGTCAATCCGCCGCTCATACATGAGAACAGATGACGTCACTTTGGGACTAGCGGCTCAAAGACCACAACTGCGGGCAAAGCGCTCGAAACAAACTCAAAGGGCCCTAACAAGACAGAACCACCGTGTCTTACCGTCCATTCACCACGATCAAAGTGACTTGTCGCCAGATTGACGCATGGAATGGCATTCCAAATACATCTATCCAATCGAAGTCCTTGATGATATACCATGGCGCATTCGATGCCACACGCACCGAACTTCAACGACGCCTGGAAGCAACTGGGGAGGTCGTACCCCAATGGGCCTATACCATGTACAGCAGGACACATTCTCACTCGACCACACATGAGGTTTTGGGCGTTGTTGCAGAACAAGCGCAGCTGTGCTTTGGTGGAGAAGGAGGCCCAGGACGTTTCGAGCCTACAGTGCGACAGGGTGACTTGATTGTCGTGTCTGCTGGGGTGGGTCACCGTCTTTTACGTGATCTCGGCGAGCAGAAATTCCAGACGGTCGGCTCCTACCCTGCCGGGAAACACTGGGACATGTGCTATCGCGAGGCAGGGGAGCAGGAAAATATCGACTCGATCCATGATCTGGCTTGGTTTCAGCGTGATCCCTTGTATGGTGATTTGGGACCGGCTCTACAGGTGTAGAGTAGACTAGAGATCACCATGTTCCAGCCCTTCCTGTCTCATGTTACTGGATCTTGTTTTTCATCACCGGAAGCTGGACCTGGGTAACTATTCTTTTGTACCAGTGGTTCAGTGTTTAACTCTTTCGACGAGCCTGTTTGGGAGGTCTATCAGTTAGTTCTACTGGAATGATGAGTGACCAATGGAGGTTGGGACATTACCTAAGAACACTCAGGCAAAATGTCAAAAGCCAAGCCAACAATGCAATCAAGAGTACAGATGCAAGGGCCTTTTGGCGTATGCATATCTGATCGTTGCGAGGATCGACGACCCGGTTAACCTCAGCCTCTGTACAGGCACCAGTCACCTCCGATAAGGAGTTGAATGCCAAGCTCAGATTGGCCGAGTCGAACACGATAAAGAATAAATCCAAAAGAATCAAGCGGGCTTTCGCGGAGGGGGAGCGTAGCCCAAGCGGTTTTGATGTGTATTCATCAACGGTGATGTACACCAAATATATGAGCGCTACAGCATCAACGATGACTGCCATTAGCGCGGATGGGCCTTGATTTGTATGGCCCTTGTCGGCCATATGTTGAAGCGACCCGCCTAGGGCCAGTGCCGACAAAGAGAAGCACCACACCGTGAGTCGCAGAATCAGTGGTACCATAGGGCTTCTCAGCAGCGTTGTATGGAAGCGCGTCAGCCACATCTGCCGCCGGCGAGACTTGGTGTGAAGCGGATGTTCCGGACTATCACCATCCAAGAGTCTTCCGCGCCACGGACTTGACAAGTCACCATGATTCTCATTCAACCAGTCTGGTGTGACCTCTTTTGATTCTTCGGCGGTTCCCTTTGGATACTGTATAAAGCGCGCAAAGGTCGTCCATCGTGATTCTCGTGCCGGCGAGGCTTCCTCGGACTGGGAACCGAGCGCTGGCGCGAAGTCCCGGCTTGCAACACCATAAGGAGAGTGATTGTGTTGGGCAACCTGCACGTCGCGAGGCTGTGAAGGCAGCAGCCGATCTGCGGCAGTAGTTGTATCGTCGTCTACGACTTCTTCGACCGACCGGATCCACGCTTCAGACTCACAGACGAGTTAGCCAGGTGGTCCGCGCTTCAGTTCTTTTTCTTGAAGCGATGTCAATCCCTACCTGGAAGTGTGCGCAATGTGAAGTGCTGCGATCGGCCAGCCTCATAGACCGCCAAGTCGTCCGCGGGTGACCTTGACAGAGCTTGCGAGTCAGGGTTATGGAGACTGGTGGAGTGGGTCTCTGGGTCGAGCTGCGTTGTCTGTGTAGGAGATAGGGCTGTGTCTATCGAAAGCTTCTCGGACAAGGAATGGGTGAAGTCCAGTTCTGGGACGCGAGCAAGCTTCGCGCCGGAGACAGTGGGCGGCTCCATTGCAGCAGCTGGTGATGAAGCGTGAATTGTCGTTTGGTTTTTAGATGACACTCTCCATCACTCATGTAGGCCGAGACTGATGGCAGGATTGTATGTTTAAGAGTGTGAGGTGCGGTGGAGAGGTGACACCCACGAGAAAATGTGTGTGAGAGAGAGAGAAAGAAAAAAAACAGAGGAAAGCAGGCGAGACCGCAATGCGAGCTCCGATCACTGGAAGGCTGGGAGGCGGGCAAGGATCCAAATTCTGGGTGTAGAACAGCGCCGAACTCAGCCCAGGCGGGCGAGCCCAACACGCGTGATGACCCGTCGCGGAATGACGTCTCCGAGCGCTCCCTGCTGACCGAACTCTTGGCTTAGCCTCCGCTCCGAACATTATCAGATATTATATTCGCCGTCTTCCTGTTTTCTGTATTGATGTGAAAAAGCTTGTTCTCGCATAGTAATCCGTCATAGCCCTGCCATTCATTTGCCAGCCAAGGTCTCTGTCATTTGGATGGAGAGCATTCCATAAGCCTTTCCTTTGTGTCAGCTCGAACCACTCGGGCCCTCGCCAGCAACCTTTCCTCTCATAATCACCAAAAAAAGGCCCACCACACGGCTCCTGCTCAAGATGCGCCTCTTCCTGATCCCCATCTCAACGAAAAGAGCATTGATATACGCTCGACCCTTGCGGCGAGATGCTGCAAAGGAACTTTCACTACTTGACCGGGCAACGAGCAAGGCTGCGGGGACATGGGCCAAGTGGGAGGAGGCAGAGTCAGGATGGAAGAAGCATCTGGCCAGCTGGGGTAATCGAGTTCAACAGCGAATCCCCTTTGAGGAATGGGGTTTAAAGAGTATTCCATCCCTCAAGCAACAGCGGCGCATCGATGAACACCACGGCACAAGACAGATCGATGTGCTGTATCCTGCCAATGCCATTCGCCGAGAGAACATCCCACAGATGCTGCGCAAAATTGCTACTGAGCGTCAGGAATTTCATAGGAAGCAAATGTGGTGGAGCTTGGGGCTTTCGCCGCTGACCGCGCCATTTGCAATCATTCCCATGTGAGTGACTGTTTCAGGCCCCGGTCAATCGATGCGCACCTCGTTACTAATGTCATTGCGCTGAGTCGCAGAGTTCCCAATATCCCCTTCTTCTATCTAGTGTATAGAGGCTGGTCGCATTGGCGCGGTGGGTCCAGGGCTCTGTTCCAAGTCATAGTTTGATGCGACTCGCTAACCCCAGAAATTCTCTTCGCTAGCGCTGAATGGATCACGGCACCTGGAATATCTCGTGGATAACGATCTAATCACGCCCATGTCGATGTTAGATCTCGAGCAGCTTTATGCCACGCGAGCATCCCGTGTCTTGAACGACTCGCCAATTGATACTCCGCCAGCCGAGCTTGTCGAGGATATCGAGCAGAGCGATGACCGAGTGTTGCTAAAGATGTCGGATGCGAAGAAATTGGCCACCATGCTCGATGCTCCGGAGCTTGCTCTTGAGGCGGAGCGGGCAATCGTTCAGGTTACCGAGCAGCTGGAGGCTCGGAGAAAGAAAGATCAAGAGGCGCAGTCAGAGAAGAAAAAGTCATGAGTCGGGAGGGGAAATACTTCTTCGTTGTGAAATTGTCCACAGTTGAGGGAATGTTTGATCCACGTTCCAGCTCCCACGCTGCCAGGACATGACAGAAGAGCCTCAATGTACGATAGACGATATACACCGATTCCTACCGATGCCATAGACCTTACACCTATGAATCAACCTTATGTGAATGTGATCTTGTCTTTATACTTCTATCGAAAAGCTCCTGTCCGCCTGCTGAAGATATGCATCAAGTAGTAACCTCACTTCAACGGATTGGAAAAATCAATTCCTGATCCTGACTCACAGATATACAGCATGACTGCCGCGCCATATGTCGCATATCCCCGTCAATTCGAATTGAGTATCGACAGACATTCGATTGGGACTGGCGTATAGAATTAGGTAAGTTAGTACCTAGTCTTTGGTAAAGTGCCTGTTGGCTGTGATGGAAACCTACCCTATCCACGAATGGGGCTGGCAATATACCTGGGGGTGGGCTCACATGGAAATATGTATTTTTGATTGTGAGGTAGACCTAGCCGGCGGAATGGAATGGAATGGATGATCAGTACGTTGATAATTTACGTGCAGGCCATCGGCTTCCTGGAAAAGTCGATACATAAGGCCCGCAATGGATGGACTGGAGCCTGAAAATAGAAGTCAATCTCGTAGAATCTCCTCATCATCAGCGCAGCTCTCTACATCTATCGCCCTGACTGAGAAACGAAGGACAAGCGAATACGTAACCCAACCGAGCATGGTGCGGAAACGCGACCGTTGTTGGGTTGACACGTGAAAAAATGGAAATAAGTGGAGCCGCAGCTCAGAGCGGCGAGCCCAAAAAGAATCGGAATGATAAGAGTGAGATTCGAACTCACGCCCCGTAAACGAGATCAGGATTTTATGTCAAGGTGAACCTTAACCTGACGCCTTAGACCAACTCGGCCATCTTACCAACTTGATGCACAGGTAAATACATTTTGGTTTTATGAAGGATCACACATGAGACAAACGTCTGATGTGCAGCTCAAACTGTCAGGTAGCACCGCCCCTCGCCTCCTCAAAGTTCTCAAGAGCTTATCTTGTTGTCCTACGGAATCTGAGCATTCGCTAGAGTGAAAGGGCTTCACCCTGTATGATAAAGCATCCCGAATGTCAACAAATAGATTCGTAGAGCCATCCAAAGCGGACTATACCGTTTGAGTGTTTAGCACTATTCCCCGTCCCTATCGGTCGCGGTATCCAACGATGACCTCAGAATCCCCTGAGCTTGAGTAGGCCGGACCGCATTCAACCCATCCTCTTCCCCGCCGCCGGTCTTCCGTCCTCGTTGTCTATACTCCACCCCCAGCTGCAAACACAACATGTCGAACAAAAAGATCGAGCAATGGGAAATTGAGCGCTATTGGGAGATTTTCTCCGGGTTATCCAATGGACAAACTCATCTGAATAGCTCCCAGGCTGCCTCGGTGCTGCGCAACAGTGGTCTCCGAGACGAGCAGCTAGAGAAGGTCTGGGATATTGCGGACGTGGACGGAGATGGAGAGCTGGACTTTGAAGAGTTCTGTGTTGCAATGCGCCTGGTCTTTGACCTAGTCAATGGCGTAAGTGATCACTGCGATATGTCGACCGCCGATTGTCCAATCCACCAACAAGCGAACATAGCTGACCGTCCATGACTCCTCAGGAGCTCCAAGATGTCCCGCCCGTGCTGCCGGACTGGCTCGTCCCGGAATCCAAATCACACCTTGTCCAAGCTACACGGGCATTGCACCGTCCAGAACAATTTGAACGGATAGAAGACGAGGATGAGTCTCTCGGACTGAAGGATGGGTTCGACTGGTATATGAAGCCCGCCGACAAGTCCAAATATGAGGAGATCTACAACTCCAGTCGCACCCAACGCGGCGACATTACCTGTGAGCTAGCCTTGCGTTCCCCCTGTCCTTGAGTTCTCACGCGGAACCCCATGGAGGACAGAATTACTCATCCCAAGATTTAGTCGAGTCACTACAACCTCTTTACGAGTCTCTGGACGTCCCAGACACCGACATTCGCTCCGCGTGGAATCTCGTCAACCCCTCCGCAGCGCAAGCCATCAACAAGGATGCCGCCCTGGCGTTCCTTCATATCCTGAATTATCGCCACGAAGGCTTCCGTATCCCACGCAGCGTCCCCGCCTCGCTGCGTTCCTCGTTTCAAAGCAACCAGATCGACTACCAGATCGACAACAATACTCGTCCTGCGCAGCGCTGGGGGACTGAGGGCAACCAGGAGACGCGGACTGGCCGCAAGGCTAAATTCGGAGATACATATCTCAGCCGATTGGGTGTTGGTGGCAAGGGATCTTATCAGCCCAAGGGCACGGACTTCAGTGAGACGCTCCAAGATGAGGAGTGGGAGAAGGTTCGCCTGCGCCGAGAGCTGGCCGAGATGGAGGCCAAGCTGAAATCTGCTCGAGAAGCATCCGAGAACCGCCGGGATCGGCCCCGGAACGATGGTCGGCCCAATTGGGTCCTGATCAAGAAAGAGGCGCTGCAGCTCTTGGAGTACAAGGAGCGTGAACTCCGCGAGCTCCGGGAGGGTGTCGGCCGTGCCAAAGACGGTCAGGAATTGGAAAGGGCGCGTGAGGATGTCAAGACCGTTGGCGAGCAAGTCGAAAGCTTGAAGACACACCTGGCTCAGCGTCAGGCCATTTTGGCAGACCTTCGTCATGAAATTGAGGAAGAGCGATCTCGGCGCTAAGCATTGAATACCCATAAAGTATTTTATTATTCTATATCAATTTTTTTGTCGTCCCTTTTCCCGTCCGTTCTTGAAAAGGCTCACGAGCGTGTCTGAGTCACGTTGTAAAGAAGGCACCGTGACGTCCTATATAAATGTCGAGAATAAGATTATACATCGTACACGTCTAAGGTGTAAGCAACCGCGACCATGCACCAGCTTTTGGGCCAAGCAGAGAACGATCACACCAGCCGCGCCTCCAACGGGATCGTGTCTCAAATAAGACAGGCTGAAAGCAATTAAGAGAAATAGATAGAGCCCAGTTTGAACGCCAGCACCAAATGTCGCAGGACATCGAAAGCCACATCAAAATATCATGCCTGGGAGGCCGCGCACCGCGGGCGGTTTCCAGATAGCATGAGTCGTTCCGATGACTACGCCATAAGGGACTCGCCAGCATCACGTTTGGTTTCGACAGAGACGAAAGCCGGTCCCTTTTGCTCGAGACCCTTCTCCGCCCGGGCGAAGGCCTCCTCGCTCCTATCAGTCAAGATTTGGAGGTCCTCCTCGGAGAGAATTGATGCCGGATCGGCGCCGGTCTCGAAGCGCTCGAACTCGTCGTCACCGAGCGCCCTCCGAAGTTCTTCGGCATCATGGGCATTTCCAGTGTCAAGCAGTGACCGGAACTTGCCCTTTTGGATGACCAAGCGTTCAAGACGTCGCTTGGAGTCCGCCTTCTCGAGCAGTGTCTGCTCAACGGTTCCCTTTGTAGCGAGTCTGTACACAATCACGGGTCTGGTCTGACCAATTCTGTGGGCTCGATCCTGGGCCTGAAGATCCTGTTGCGGATTCCAGTCAGAATCAAATAGAATGACAGTGTCGGCAGCAACAAGATTGATTCCTTGACCACCGGCACGAGTACTGAGTAGGAAAATCTTGTGTTTCTTGTCGGTGTTAAACGCTTTGATTTGGGCTTGACGGTCGGCTTGCGCGATGGCACCATCGATCCGGCAGCAAGGCCACCTGCGCAGCTGTGTCGCCCAATCTTCGAGAATGTCAAGCTGCGTCTTGAACTGGGAGAAGATGAGGATCTTGTGACCCTTCTTGAAGAGGTAAGGCACTAGACGGTCCAGGAGCAGCATTTTTCCTGACGCCGTGACAAGTGTCTCGTCGACAGTTGATGATTCGTCCATCCAAGGCCAGTAGAAGTTGTGCGGAGAATTGCATGCAAGACGAGCTTGCATGATCGGGTTCATCATTTTCTTTTGACTGATCTCTCTTTCTGTTTCTCTTGTTAGCTAGTCCTCGAACGAAAATGTTAACTATTGCCTAGGTACGACGTACTAGCAAGTTTCAAGTTGTTGGCTCTTTCGATTTCCTCCAACTCGGTATCATCAGGCTGTACGTCGTCTTCCTCATCCTCCTCGATTCCTTGTTCAAGCTTGCGCAGTTTGGTGTTAAACTCTCGGTCACTGATATCTTTATAGCTTTGGTTCGCTCGACGCCGTCGACCCGAAGCGGGATTTCTTTCCGAGACGTCGTCTTTGGTCGTACGCTGAGACTTATTTGGTGTTTGGGCCTCATCGCTGTCATGGCCGCGCTTCAAGCTACGAGAACGTGTAGGCATCGAGCTTTTTGCCGTTAAACGTTCCAAAGCCTTGCCTTCGAGATACTGACGGCCAGTACCGCTCAGAATTTCCCTATAGAGCTCTTTCTGCTCAGGCGTAAGTGGTGCGTAGAGGATATACTCGCGCTTCTTTGGCAGCGAAGTTTCCACATCGGTTTTGACCCGGCGAAGTAGGAATGGCTTTAAGATGGAGTGCATTGTGGTCACCAAGTTGCGCTTCCGACGCTCAATTACCTCTGCCTTTCCTGAATCATCCAGAACGGACGAGAAGTCGAACCAACTTTCAAAGCTGCTCAAGTCGTTGAACACTTCTGGAAGAAGGAAATGTAGTAGAGACCACAATTCGGAAATATTATTCTGCAGTGGTGTACCCGTAATGAGCAATCGGTTCGCCGAGTTGTAGGTCATCAACTCTTTGATGAGCTTGCAATTCATGTTCTTCAGACGGTGGCCCTCGTCCTAGAGGAGTAATTAGCGCGCGACAACCTGGTACAGGGTATCTTTCAAAACATACCACGACAATGTATCGCCACTGATACTGTCCCAGGAATTTCGAGTCATTGATGCATATGTCGTAAGAGGTGCAAACGACAGGGAAATCCATTTTGCCTTGGTCTCGAGTTTTCATGTGCTTGCTGCGAAGAGCCGCACGCTCCTCCTTTGTTCCATGATACAAAACCGTTTCGATGGTGGGAGTCCATCTTTTGAACTCATCGATCCAGTTGCTTAATGTGCTGAGCGGCGCAGCAATAAGATACGGACCCGAGACATTGTTCTCCTTCAAGAACGCAATCATTGAGATAGCTTGCACGGTCTTGCCTAAGCCCATCTCATCCGCCAGTATGCCACACAATCCGTTCATCCACAACGTTTTCATCCACTCTAGACCCTCCAGTTGATAAGTGCGCATCTTGCCACCGGTAACGAGAGAAGGCTGCTGCGTCGCAACGAGCTCCTGTTCACCAAGAGCTGTAGGCTTAGCCTCATAGTCTTCTGCAGCCTGCTCGAGGGCCTCTTGGACAGTTGGATTGCCCTCTTCGATTTTGACATCCGCCTTTTGGAAATAGCTGGAAATTTTGCTCCCATCTGGTCCGCTTTTCCGAGAACGGCCTCTTCTCTTTCCTGCACTTGTGTCATTGGCAGCGGTGTCTTCGGGCGCGCCAGTATCTTCCTTGGGCTTATTTCTTGTTTCCCGACGAGCAGCGACTGTGGATTTTGGTTTGGGCTTTTGCTCGGATTGTTGGTGAGCAGCACGTTGTCTTGCCTCTTCTTGTTGCTTCTTCATTTTCTCTGACATGATCGCTACAAAGACCTTGATTGAGCCATGATTGCGTCAGTAACGAGAATCGCATTTAGAAGATGGAGAAAAGTAGTGGCCGATTACCGAGCTTGTTTTCAACAGGTGCATTAGAGCCTTTGCCTTGACGTCCATTCCCTCTGTGTCTTCTGCTTCACCAGCCGCCCCGGAGGAGCCGTGCCTAGATGCACTGGCGTCATTCTCAACATCGCCGTTGTCATTCTTGGCTCTCTCTTCGATGAACTCTTTGGAGCCTGGCGCAGATGTGTCGGTCACTGGCGAAGATGCTGCCGTCGATTCTGGCTGAGTTGTCCCAGCCCGGGAGTCGCTGGGCGTCAAAGAAACCTCCGTTGTAGACATTGCGTGAGCGACAAATATCTTCGCAAATTATTCCAGCAAGAGACCCGAGACCGTGCAGATCAAAGATTCTGTGTTTGTGGAATTGTGCGTCTTCTTAGATCTCGATCCGGGCGCGGCTCGACGTCATTTCCAGGGGGTTGAGATATATCACAAAATCCAGATTTTAAGAGGGCTGGCAAGTGGCGACGTTTTCTGGGACTCTTAACTGCTTGCTGCTTTCAGAGCCTTTCTCCCATGGAGTGATTCACGGCGACCTCCTTGAATTTTGGCGAGTTCATACTTCGAGTTCCTTTGAATGCGCGTGCCCGACGCGGGTTTTCGCGTCAAGTGCACGGGCCATTCCCAAAAGGGCAAAATGGATTTTTTAAGCAGATGGTAGTAGTGTCTGACTGTATTATGTACCCCAGTTGATCCGCGAATAGGATCAAGTTTCATCAGAATTAGAATTTACGCACATCAAGGTGAAAGGTGCAGGAAAACTACTTTGTACCGTTGTACAATAACTCTATGAATGAAACTAATGGAAGGAGGCTGTGGATTTTGGGATTCTTCCATTCAATCATTACTGCAATTCATGCAGCAAGACGAAGTGATTCTCGAAAGATATGCAAGTGGTGTCGGAACCACGTGCCTATTTCCTTGGCTGGTCGAAATCGCCGGAAAACTGCCGTCAATACCTGTTAGCTCCGTGATCATGAGTAATAATGTCTTCGATTGAATAAACACCCTTCATGCTGCTATCAAGCCTGACCCTTTCCTCGATTGCTCCGCCACGGCGGGGTTTTGGGTAGCTCATACCGATCCTGTGTCAGCTAGACTTCGTGATCAGGCTCCGCGACATCTCCGCTCTCAACGTTGGGCTGGGCATCGAGGATTTCCTGCAGCTGGTCATCAAATTGATGGATGTCGGCCAGCAATTGATCTAGATTTTCGTCTCCTTCTTCCTCGCCGTCATTGCCTGACGTGTCTCGTTCATCGTTCTCTTCAGACCCAACAAGGAGTGCAGTACACGCTTTCGCGGAGGCATCAGCGAGCTCTTGGTAGCGCTTCTCCAGCTGTGACTGCCAGATTCCCTCCGTGATATCGCGCGCCGTGAAGAAGCGAGAGTGGGGAGGTCCCTGCCCGGAAACGACTACAAAAGCATTCTGGACTCGTAGCTCAGAAGCGTCATTTTGAGACGGAGTTGAAGACCCCTGACCAGACACACACTGCCCGAGGCAAGACTTAGATGTTCCGTTCTCACCAAGGGCCTTTCCCATTCTCGCACTACAAGGCATCTGGCTCTGAGAATCATTCGATTCAGAGATGTGCGCCTGCCACCGGGCCATGGAGCGCCCCTTTTGCTGTGCCTGAGAAGATGTCTGACTTTGGGTACGGACATTAATCACAGGTTCTGACTCGTCAATTGGAGGCATATTTGATGACGCTGACGATGTTGATGAAGCAGTCTCGTCATCACGGTCTACTTCCTCACTTGCAAGGGGATAACTCCATCTGACGCGCTTCTTTGGACGTGTCCCACCCCCAGGAGTGTCGATGACTTCGACTCCATTGCTCCAACGTCCCGCCAGGTCGCGGGGAAGGCCTCTCGCCTCCAAGAAGCGCCAAGCAGCACGCAGGTTGCCCATTGAACAAATGAACAGCTCCTTCTCCTGCATGTCGAGGACATCATCATCCCATGTGTTCAAAGCGCTAAGCTTGTAAACTTGCTTAGTTATGGGAAGTGAATGTGTGATCATGAAGTGAAGCTGTCTTTTGAGTTCTTGTTCAACGTGCTGAGTCTCAACTTGCATGACTTCATAGAATTGATCCAAGTGGGCTGCGGCTCTTTTCGCTTGTTTCCGACTAAGGCCAAGCTTTCGCACGGTGTTTTCCCAGGATTCTTTGCTCAGGATATTATCCAGTATTTCCATTCTGATGGGTCGAACAAGGTCTCCCCATTTAGGACGGGAATTTCTATGCTCAGCAAAACTTGAGATTTCAACTTCCGGGGAATCAACGTCCTTCACTTGGGGGAATTCATGGCTTTTGTGATCAGCTGTGTTGGATCCAGCATCTGGATTGTCGTTCTGTACTTGGCTCGAGGAGGTTTCATTCGCTCCCAATCCTGCGCTTAAGTCTCCAACTGCTCTATTCCGAGCATCGAAAGCACTATTGTCCATAGAGCTGGTTCTTGCTGGCTCTTCGAAAAGTGCATCGTTGACTTGGCCTGGCATCATCGATAGTGGTCCAGGGTGGTATGACTCTCGCGGAAGAGGCCGCAGACCACGAAGACGTCTCTCTGAATCCTCCATGATCCGACACAAGTGGCCCTCTCTGGAGCCAGTCGGAATGGGCTCATTCCGGGCACTCATACTGGGAAACGCCGCCGGTGGAAGGGCCGGATCAAAAGCTGGGATAGTAGGGCGTGTGGGTCCCTTATGCTTCTTCGGAAGAGGGTAGTACTCTCGACCTTCTCTCTGGGCACGATTCATTCGAATTTGCTCGAGGAACTCTTGCTGTGTGAGTTCTTGCCCGGGGTATGGATCCGGGGACTGCCTCGCCTTGGGAGTTTTCTTTTTCCTGGTACCCATCCTGGGTTCGATTTTAGGGCGTAGAGGCCAAGGGACCCGTATCGGTGACACTTGGGACTAGCGAGGTAAGCAGAGAATCGTCGAGACTCTGGACGTGATTCTCAGGGTAGAACGAGACGTATGGTCCACTAAGTTTGCGGTGACGGTCAGTACGGAAGGCTTGAATCTTGCAGCATAGAGGCATCTCTTAGATGAACAGCACCTATGAATAAGGCTTCGCTCTGCTCCGAGGTCCTAGATGCGCTGAATGATGTATCAACAGAGCATATGCAAAAGACGTTGGAACACTCGCGGATGCACGTTACTGGGAAACGCAAAGTCAACTCTTGGTGTATGGGAGAAAGGGAAGCGAAGACGCACACGGGTGAAATGCAGGAAGAGTGTTTGTTGAATATCATGGTGGTGATGATGGTAAGTAAACAGATCCACCTTCTGTCAAAGCTCAGACCAAAGGTTCAGACTGAATAACAAACAAATGGTTGATCCGATAGTGAGAAAACAGCAAAAGTTTGCGACGGCAATGATCGACTAATCACAAAGTCGCGGCCATAGTGGTCTGGATAGCGCTCATATGCATTTGATTACAGCTATCATTGAGTTTTAAGAATCTAAGTATCATAAAATCCGGTTGTTTTGAAACTCCTATTCAACACAAATTGGTATCACGTTGCAAAGGGCACGGTATGGCACCTTAGTTCCCAAATCTTGACACAACATTAAACGACACAGACAATATCCCCACAAACAAGTGCGGACAGCTAATCAACAACGGGGTTCCGAAATCATACTCATCATCCCACAAAGCGAGATCATGAGCCCTTAGTCAAACTGACTCTGAGATGGTGGTGGTGGCCGTCTATCAATGGGACCATCGGGCTCACTCATCATCCGGGTTTGATGTTGCTGGAGATCGGGTTCAGAGCCTTGATGCTCCGAAAACGTGCGCTTGTGGGAGAGAAGTGTGGACGGATCACCTGTCGTGCCAAGATCTCCGGCTGATCTTTGAACAACCTGCCGATCTGCCCGACTTTCTCTCTCAACATCCCGTTTTGCGGCCAAGATGGACTCAAACGCACGAAGAAGACTTTTATGTTCTTCTGACAGGTACAAAGAGGGTCGGGTTTGTTGAACTGTATCGGTAGCGACGGCGGCAGTCAGGTTGAGCATGACCATCAAGTAAGCAATGATGACTATGGCCGAGCGATCGTTTCCCGTCTCACAGAACACGAGAACCTTCTTTGGTACGTCGGCCCAGCGGGAGCTTGATGGATCTGAGAAGTCAGGTCCATTGTCATCAAGTCCTGCGAGATGGTCATTGATACGTCGGATGGCTCGAGGAAGAAGGGAGATCATCTCCTGATTGTCGAGAAAGTCAACGGTGTCAGCGGAGATACCAAGTTGTCTGGCGGCCTTGTCCCCAGAAAGTAGGCCTGCCCTGGCAGCTTGGTGACTTCGGATTCCGAGTAGGAGGGTGAACCCTTCGTTTTGCAGTAGCTGATGATCTCTGAGACAACCCAAAGGGCCCAGTGACAGGAAGGGGAGGATGTCGTGAGGGACACGGCGCATTTCATATCTCCAGGATGGAAGTACAGGCGGTTCGCTCAAGGCTGCAAAGTGGAATAGCTCGAAGAAACCATGGCTGACGAATTCACCCTCAGTAAAGATATGTCCTTCTCGGGTAAAGGCTGTGTTCACCATGACTGCGGCAGCCGCTGCAGCATCATTCAGCTGAGCGGGGCCAGGGCGGCCGTCCTGTGGAAAGAGCACTTGAGGTGGCTCGATGTAATTATCGATATCCATATTCTGCGCCTGAGGATCATCGGCTGCCCTGACTGCTAGTTGCACGGCATTCCACGTGGTTGGAGGTGGAAACATAAGCGTGGCCAGTAACTGCGCACCAGTGGATGAAGATAGAAGCGCATAAATTATTGACGGTCCTTTGGAAAGACTGTATGGTTTGTACAAGTCGTACAGCCTTACCAGCTGGGACTGGAAAAATGGAGCTTGATATGATGTCGAGAATAGGAAAGAGATTCGCGAATAGGGCCATGTTGAACGGGCGTCACGCGGGCGGTGACGAATGTTGTCAACAAAGGCGAGTTTTATCGGAGATAAACTCGCAGAGCGGTCGAGTTGTTCGAAAGCTGCCCTGGAGATAAACTCGCAGGGCAGGGAGTGAGGTTAACAGAGTCAGTAGTATGTCTTTGGTAGCAAAATCAAAGTCGATACCCAGTGTGGTTCTCCAAAAGTGAGTCTTGCCCAATCCGTCACCAACCGTATTTTGATTTCGAAAAAAAAAAACAATAACACAGAAATCTGGAAAACCAACCACGGCCTTATATCTCGATTCAAAGCGGCGTCTGTCAGAATATACTTCATGAGTCCATGGTCATAGTCCATCGTCCATAGTCCATACTCTTCTGTACTATCAGTATCACTATCCAGTGATCCACTGAGTGTAAATCTCCTCGATATAACGACGATGGCTGCCCCACATGCTGATACCATGTACGTGTAAAGTTCGAACACATTTCAGATGCAATACAACACCGTACCTTATACCTACATATACTCTATAACTAGTCACATATCATTATTGTGATCTCCCAATTGGGCGGTGCCTGACACTAAGTGATGTAAGTCATCACAAAAAGGAGCGGGATCTCCCAATTGCCCTGCGGGTGGGGACGGGAGCCGAAGCGGATTGTTTTCAAACAAAGTGGAGCTGCTCCCGACGCACTGGAGATCCTTGCATTCAACAGAAGCACGAAGGGCATATTATGGGACAATAAGTGAAGATTTTCTCGTGGAGGTTGTGAGTGCTGTCAACCTGCGGACCTAGGGAGATCATACCATAGACTATCTAAGTAGTACTCACGCAATAAGTACTGACAGCGAAGATAATAGAGAGGGACAGGTTACAACAGGAGGCATGATTCGAGTCATACAGTAGAGCCACCCTAAGAAGTCTAGCACGGGTGAGTGACGAACAATAACATGCGCGGATTGGAGGCAAAATGGGTGAGCTCCAGCTCATAACTATCAAAGCAGTCGGAGAACGCTAGCGGTAATTGCTGAGACACATCTGGTGAGTATGAGTAAGTAGCCACCTGGAGGTACCTAGTAGGTACCTAGGTACTGAGTAGCTCCCGTCTAGAAGACAATCAATAAGCGCCCAGTGACTTCAGTATCTCTCCTTCCAGTCAGTCATCTGGACTTTCAAAGTTGCGCTTCGCTTCAGCAACTTTCACCGCGGGCTCTGTAGGCCTAGATTAACAGATTTTGTCTTTACATCAAACCAAGCCCATCTGTATCGACTCTGTGCTTGGTAGAACAGTTTTGACTCATTGTGTAAGATATCAGTCTTTGGTAGGAATCGAGGCAGCATGCTGAGTAGAGACTCGTGATCGCCGGGTAGGTCGTCTCACTTGTCGTAAGGAAGGTGATATGCATGCTGATGGGAAGAGGGAAGACTTTAGGTTTGAAACAAAAAGCATGGCCCTTTGCCTACCAATTACGAAAACCCCTCGCTCCCAGCCTGTCTTCTGCCAGAGTGGCTATGAGGCTTTGCGGAGATAAGCCTGTAATCAGGGTCTTCTTTCAGGAGACCTCAAACCAGCCCGGCCACAGAAGCATCCTCTCTCCGGCGAGAGCCTCACAAGGGCGAGGGAGTAGTTGTTGAGGGCAAGTCATCTGTGCCTGGCGGCATATGAGTCACAGGTATCTTTCTACGGAGTCAAGACGATCGTAATCTTGCTTGCAACCCAGACCATGACATCGCATATTCACAGATAGACGTGACTCAAGATGTCCGACGGACTTGGAAGCTTTCATGACTCATTCGCACACTGCGGCTGTCGCCCTGTACTCGTAGTCGCTCCAGGCAGGACCTTCACCCGAATCGGGTGCCCGCGGAAGTAAGCCATGAGAAATGAGGCTCGAGTGTAGCGTGAAAAATCATCAGCAGATGTCAACAGCCGAGTCTTCCAGGAGTCCAGGGTTGCCTAGTGCGGATGTGGCTGATGGCTCAATCTGGCCCCGCATGCATGCGCTGATTAGTGCTACTGCACGAGGAATGGCCTGAGGTTGGCTTATAGGCGGGGTTCAAGATGGGAAAAGTTCAGAGACGCAGCTTCTAGTATTGCACTAGCGGACTAGCCAGAGTAGGTGTGTAATTGTGTATGGCTAGTTCTAGTACATTTGAAAAGACTCATGATTTCCAGCAAGGGAACTCATCAGTATCCTACAAAGCAGGGTAATATGCGAAGACATGCTCAGCCAGTGGTATTAATTCGAGACACAGTATAGTTGAGGACCAGCACTAGGATAGGTCATAATAACAATCGGGTATATGAAGCTGTCTGACAAGAAGGTTCCAGTAAACCCCGTAAAAGAGAACCGCTTATCCCTTCAGAATACGATGTCAGATGATCAAGGGCCAAGCATTGTTTCGGCTAGCATTTAGACCATGCAGACCATGCAGACCAACCGTACAGACCGTTTAGACGAGCCACCAAGGTATCCCCAATACAGTTCACACTCGATCTCGGAAGGACGAGACAGGAATTTGCAACAAGAAAATTGTAACCAGCCAGTTCAAATCCTAGGCGGCGCTAGGAAAAAACGCCAAAGAATGCAGAAGAATATCGTAATCCAATACACATGAAACAAGTGACGGGACAAAGGGAAAGTGTTTAGACTTGGTGAATCGCAGTTTGAGGGGGGAGGGGTGGCATGGCCTGAGTGAGTTGGGGATCATGCTCCGGTACATGTGCCTGTGGAATAGCCTGCTGAAGGTCGGCCACAATGCGCTCCAGCTGCTCTAGACGGCGATCCTTCTCTTGGACTTCTCGGCGTAGTCGCTTGACTTCGTTGTGAAGATCGTCACCGGTATCCTCGTGGCTTGGCAAATCGCCAAGTGGCGAGTCGTGTCTGCGTTTGATACCAGTAGCAGGCAGGGAATTGGCACGAACGCCTTCGAGCTCATTCGCACGCTCCCAAGGCATGTCCACGAGAATCGAGCCGGTGGAACCGTCGTCGGTGTGCATGTGGCGCCGGCGCAAATGCTCGCGAAGGTTTTCTTGACGCGTAAAACCGTTGCCTGTGCTGCGGTTGCAGTCCGCGTAGGGACACATCAGAGGCTTTTTGGAATCATTGTTCTTCTTGTGCACTTCGCGTTGGTGGCGCAAGAGGCCGCCTGAATAGGTGAACCCTTGGATCTTGTCGCATCCTGGTTCAAAACATTTGTAGGGGCGATCGTGCTTGTCCATGTGCTTACTAGAAAGTTCGAAGTCAGAGATTCTGTACGACGAAGAACGAACAACAGCGACCAGGGCTCCAGAGGGACTTACTTCCATTCACATGGGCGGCGGAAGGTAGGTGGTGCCGCCTGGCAATCTGCATGATCGCAGTAAATCTGACCCTCCGCATTCTTCGGAGGATCGCGAGCGCGTCGGACAGAAAGGCGCGGCTGAGAGAGACGTTGCTCAGCGAGACGAGGCTGGGTGGTAGTGGTGGTGTCGACAGCGCCGTTCAGGGTAGCGTAGCCGAGAACGGAGGCTTGTTCGTTCATTCGCGCGATTGAGGAGAGAGACTCCGTAGCGGAGGCCAGCGCGGAGGCGACAGCGACCCCATGCGGGGCTTCACTTCGTGGACTGGGATAGTCAGATCCGTCACCCATTGTATTGTCTCAACCCCACACCTGGTGAGGGGTGGTTGTGTTTATGTAGAGATCTAGTAGAGACGCGTTCACGGATCACTGATGCCCCGTAACAGACTTCGTATCGAAGGTGAGACAGAGCCAAAGGGTCGACAAAAGATCAACAGCAGTCACTTCCCGTCGAGGAAGATATAGACTTGAGAAAGTCGAAGAGTCGGCTGCTTATCGACGATACGGCTGGTGATGGCGATGGAGTATGATGGTGCTGTAGATGTAGATGGAAAAGAGCCCAAAATTTCAGGTCTCAAGGCATCTTTGTCCCCTATTTATAAGGCTGTCCAGAAGTTGGAAGAAAAAGTCAGCAGCCGCCACCTGTGGCGCGGTTGCCCGGGACTCGGTTCTAACTTAATCCGTGGTCAGTCCGGAGCTGCCGAAGGAGACGCCGACCGCTTGATGGGGCTTCAATGAGCGGGATGGTGGAGGAGAAGTAGATGTCGGCCCCACTTGGTGGTTGCTGCTGCCCTGCTGTGCGCTGGCTTATAATCTGCCTGCTTCTTTCTTCGGTTTCCGAATACCTGCCACCGCTGCTTGACAATAGATAGCGTGGCCATTTGAACATGCAAGTGACTGATCTCCGGCTGGGGATCTTTCGTTCCCAGATGACTCACGCTACATTGCACCAGGTCAGGTTCTGTCCCCGAAATTAGCCACCACATCTTTTTGAGCAGTCACTAGCACAAGCCCCGTATACTTGCGCATGGGTTGCCCAATCTGGGACACGAACTGCCGACTAAAATAGCAAAGTTAGGCAGCCATCGTGGGAGATGGTCAGTCTGCGCTGAATTGGCTTGGAGGTGTGTAATTCGTGATCGTGTTCAGCGGAATATCCAGTCTCCCCTGAGCTGCATTTCTGCCCAGGGCATCGCCACAATGGATGCCTTACGAGCATTTACACTTCTACAGTCCCATTGCCAGGCCCGCTGTCTATCCCACCCTGGCACCCACTAGTAAATTTAACAACGTGCCCAGCAAAAACATGCCGCACGCAAAGGGTGGAGCCGCGAGATTAGAGGGACGCCATATAAGAACTCACTACTGAGGTGAACTGGAAAGTATCGAAAGCTCTCCGTTCGCCTGCTAGTTCATATGTTCTTTCAATTCAATGCACTTCACGGAGTGAGGCTTGTGAAGGTGAAGCTGGACGGGGAACGATCTATATGTGGTAACCGGCGGTTCCAGACCCTCTTCCGGAATATACTTGAGCATGACGACTCCCTGGGTTAACTCTATATTTATTGATTGCCAGGGCTGTGGGCCCAGCTGTGACTTGGTACGAGCCTCGTGGTCGGGTGGGCTGAATAGGTAAAGAGCCCGTGCGAGAATATGAATTGAATCGACACAGCTCTGGCTATGGTAGCTTCCCTCGAGAGCCTAAGTGGCATCCCTTTGTGGTAGAGCACACCCAATCTATACCATGACTACGGATACCACTTGGAACTAGTTCATAAGCACGGGGCTAAATTTTTCAGATACGAAGGCCTAGACGAGCGAGGTAATAAAATGAGTGCAGTTTTCGCATGTTAACACTAGGCTAGACATTTCCTGCGTGTACATATGAAGACCGGTCAGCATGTTGACGCAAAAGGACCAGAAGATCCGTCGAGGGTGTTCCACGCGGCTATTGAATTCAAAAGCTGGGCGGAAGGCTTGCTTCGGTCATTGCACAGTCAGGGTGTAGACGTAGATCCAGGAGAGTAGATCTCTCACACGCCGTGGGCTGGTCCAGTTCAACACGCTGCGGAGCTCGCATAAGCCAATGAAGCCTACAAGGAGCGATAGCAGTCGACCTATCGACAACGAGGGTTGATAATTCCCACGAATCGTCTGGCCAGAGTGCAGAATATGACGAAGCAGCAGTTCAGCTTGTTCTCACTGGATTGTTGTCCTAATTAGCACTGAACATTGGACCGGAGGGACTCTAGTGAAGGGGTCTTCGACATTCGAGGTGAGATTCTGCTTCTCAACAAGGCACTCGGTGGAGGGGTGACTTGTTGATAGTAGAACCTATTCAAGCAGGTGGAAGACCTCTCTCAGTCGTAGTTCCCGCCAACTTGGCTGGCAAAGGCGGTTGACACGCTTCTTGCATCATCGTCATCCGTGACGTTGTGACCAGGGGCGCCGCGCGTCACACGAATGCTGGCAGAACTACCCCCAAAGATGCTACCGTTGTCAGGGACAACACCTCTGTAAGGCTCACGACCTCCCGACTCAACGTAGCGCTTGAGGCGGTCGGACTGGCTGAGGCTCGCCTGCTTGCTCATGTCATTGATACTCAACCCAGCAAGGCTGACACCGCCTTGATCGACGCCACCACGCCCATCGATAACGCTTCCGGTAATGTCGGACTCGGTCGCAGCGACTGATTCTCCTGCAACGCTAGGCGCACCTTTGACGCGGCCGCCGTTAGCACGGCGAACACCGGAAAGAGACGGCCATTGGTCGGCGAAGTTCTGGAACATCGGCGGATATCCGGAGGGTAGGCCCACCCCGCCAATAGCAGAGGAATGAACCGAGGAAACATCATCGGGGATGTAGCCAACAACAGAACCAGTGTCCTGGTATTCATTCCTTTGACCATTGCGACCATTGACAGAGCCGGTAACGGCTGCTGCGGCTCCTTGGTTGAAGCCGGACGACATGTGGAAGCGCTGAGGACCACGGTAAGCCTGCTTGGGTCGGCTGAACTGAATCAATGACTCCTGGAGATTCGACAAAGGCCCCTCGACTAGACAATGACTCTCTTTAAAGTGTTGCAGAAGACAGTTCCAAAGGGGGTGCTTTGACAGGACCTTGGGATTTCCGAGGATCACCAAGCCAAATCGAGCACGTGTGAGAGCGACGTTGAGACGACGAGGGTCACTTAGGAAACCAATGCCTTGGTGGTCGTTGGATCGAACGCAGGACAGGATGATGTAATCCTTTTCACGTCCCTGAAATGCATCGACGGATGCTACTTCAATTTCTTTGTAATGCTCCTTTTTGAAAGTGCCGGTTGCTTGCATCGAGCTCACAATGTAGCTTCGCTGTCCCTCATAGGGCGTGATGATGCCAATACCGCCCGGTTGTACACCTGCTTTGAAGAATCGAGTGACAATCTTCTCGACATTCGTTGCCTCCGTGCGGTTAAGATACGAAGTTCCCGAAGCCGAAATTTCTTCATTGCCGAGGTTCGACCAGAACATCATTGGATTGTCCATCATAGGCCAAGGGAAGTCAACATCACGGCGGAGTCGATCGTGAATAGTGATACCGTTCTGTAGCGAGCCCTCATAGAACATGTTGGACGGGAAATCAGACAAGCATGGGTGCATACGGTACTGAACATTCAAGCGGATGGGGGAGCATCCTAGGATGACCAAACGCTCAAAGAGAGATTGGTTAAGACCAGCCTTGGCAGCTTTCTTGTTCATGATGACCGGGCCCAGCTGCTGGTGATCACCGACCAAGACAACCTGCTTGCAGCCAAGAACCAAGGGAATCATGCATTCTGGCTCAGCTGATTGAGTAGATTCATCAATCAAAACAGTACGGAACTTGAACTTAGCCAATCGAGGATCGCCGGCACCAACGCAAGTACAGCAGATTACATCGGCGTTCGTCAAGACCTCTCGTTCAGCGGCCCGGGTAAGTTGCTTTAGACGCTTCTCGTCCTGGCTTGAAAGCTCACCAAGCTCTGCCTTGAGCTGATTGAGTTTCACCAGTTCAATATTGCTATCGTTCATGCGAACTTGCTCGTGCAAGGAAAGAAAGGCGACCGGCGATTCAACATCTTCACGAGATTTGGCAGTCACACGCACAGTCTTCAGGCCGGTGCGGTGGATACGTTCACAGAGCTGGTCGACAGCAACGTTGGAAGGGGCACAGACCAGAACTTGACCGCCATTGATCTTCGCAAGATGGTAGATAATCGTAGCCGAAGTGACAGTCTTACCAGTTCCCGGGGGGCCCTGAATCAGACTTAGAGGCCGTTGCAAAACGCTCTTCACGGCGTTAATCTGGCTACCGTTCAGATCAGGCAATCCAGGGACACTGAATTTCTTTGGGATCTGAGTCTTCATAGGTGCAGCGGCAACTTCGTGACCAAGGAGACGATGGAAGATGTAACCTGAGACACTCATCTCGTCGACAGCGAAGGTTTTCATGGCGAGCTGCATGCGGTCAAACGAAGTTGATTTCCAAACGTAATCGGCGGTGAAATTATGAGTGCACTCTGTCGGCACGGACTTGTGATCGCCCTTCGACCGCAACTCAATGGTGACTTCGTCAGACTGATTGTTAGGAATCTTCATGACGTAGCCAACCCCCTCCCACTTAGATCGCAATTCCCCAGTGTATTTGAGGCGCATCTCATCGCCCACGGCAAGTTTGACATCACCCAGCTCAAGCTTGGGGAGAACGAAACTCGCGAGGTGCTTGTTGTTTAGACCCAAATCCCAGCGAACAATCAAACCATCTTGAGATTGTGACTCCTTCAACTTTCGGTCATAGTCGGCCTCGATCTTCACAAGGGGTCCAAAAATGTTTTGGTACTGGTAAGCGTCATCGTAACGAAGCAGGACAGGTGCTGGTTCATCGTCGACTGCGGTAGCCTTTTCCAGATCCTCTAGTGTAGCCTGTGAATTTTCCTTCCACATCTCCTCCAGCTTCGCGATCAACTGGGGACTTAGGTGGCGAGCACGAAGTTGCTCCTGATCGGTGGGAGTAGACACAAGCCATGGGAGGAACGAACGATCCTCAATAAGCGGCTGCCATCTAGAAGTGTCCCAGTTCATATCCTTGGAAGACGGCATGGCGGCGCACGGTTGTCTACAGAGGAGAACCACAACAGTGTCAGACTTGGCCGGAATAAACCCAAGAAGAAAGACGTTCTTCGTCCCGCAATTGTAGCATTCGAGAATGGTATCGCCAAGCGAGGAAGCTGGATGCAGCTGTACTTCCTTATGCCGAGCACGCACAAGATGGTTGACAATATGCGACGAAGAGGTGTTACCCCGAGCGCTGCAGAACCACTTGTTACATGAAAGGCACTTCACGACGCTGCTCGGATTATGGATTCCGCAGTATCTGAAAATTCGTTTTGTTAGTATGAAAATTATTTGATGGGATGTAGCTGGATAGCTCACGCGCAAGCATGGGCAGGAAGCTCTTTCTCTTCTTCGCCATGTCCATGCCCCTTGTGGTGACGAGAGACTGCCCCGCCGACGGTACTCTCCATGTCATCATCCTCCAGAATATCGGAGCCCTCGTCATCATCGTCATGACGACGTGGTCGAGCGTGGCCCAAACTGCTCATATGATTGTCGTCTTGGTCTGCGATCACCGAGGCATCATCTGCCGGATACGACTCCATGTTGTCTGGTGACGCAGGTATGGAGTTGAGGCAAAAAATGATATTGTAGATACTTTCAGAAGCCGAGACACGTTTGAAACTCCATGCGAATCGTAGGTAGAGTTGCGGGATGAGGTCGTCGTCAAAGGAGCGAAGGAGACGCGATAACAGTGCTTTTGTGACACTTTAATAACCCAGCCAATTTATGCCTGAGGGGCAAACTAATAGAGATTCTAGAGCGATGACACCGAGTCAGTGTTGAACAAACTTGTGGCAAGATCAGTTATAACTTACGCCAGCGCCACCTCTGTCTCTTCAAATTCCACAAGAAAGAATGAGAACTGGAAATTGGATCATTTCGGTCTCCGCATTATTGCGATCCGCCATTCTCTATCGGTGGGATGCCACCTCGGCGGTGAGTACGGCGGAAGGTGCGAACCATTTGCGCAGCCCGGAGTAAAAAAAAGTTGCCCGCTCTCAAAGATATTCGAAAGGTTCAAGAATAAAAATCCTGTTCGAATTTTATGATGTTGGTAAGCTACAAGGATATTGGGGATGACTGTCCATAATGAGAACCTTGCTGACGGTTTATATAGCGTCGTCAAGCCCGCGAACGTCGTGACTACCTCTACCGGAGAGCACTGCAGCTCCGCGATGCCTCAATCGCCGAGAAACGAGCGCAATTAAAGGCCTCGTTGGCTTCTGGCAAGCCTCTTGACCCCTCGATCGCGAACGACAAATCTCTCCGCCAAGATTTCAAATACGACGAGTCGAAGGATGAAGTGGATGTCGACGACGAATATGCCCTGACCTCTGGGTTGATTGACCCTCGCCCATTGGTCACTACATCTCGCTCGCCATCTGCTCGGCTCGGCGCTTTTGCTAAAGAGATTCGATTGCTCCTTCCGACCTCTATACGTCTCAACCGTGGCAACCTGGTCATGCCCGATCTCGTGTCCAGCGCTACCTCCGCTTCCCTGACCGATATGGTCCTACTTCATGAGCACCGAGGTACACCAACCGCTCTCACAGTCTCCCACCTACCTCATGGTCCAACCGCCAGTTTCTCACTCCACAACGTTGTCCTTCGAGCGGATATTCCCAACGCCGATCGTGGAACAGTCTCTGAGAGTTATCCACACCTGATATTTGAAGGCTTCACGACAAAACTTGGTCAGCGCGTCGTTCAAATCCTCAAGCACTTGTTCCCCCCTCGCGAACCAGGCAAGGTTGGCACTCGAGTTGTGAGCTTTGTCAACAAGGAGGACAGCATTGAGGTTCGTCATCACGTCTTCGTCAAGAGCAGCTACCGAGATGTCGAGCTTGCTGAAGTGGGGCCCCGGATGACCATGCGGCTATTCGAGATTCGCGGCGGTACTCTCGAGAAGGGCTCTACAGGTGACGTGGAGTGGGCACTCACACAATACACGAGAACCAGCAAGAAGAAAGACTACCTTTAAAGTCATTCTCAACGTTCGTACAAAATTCCACTACAGGCGCACATAAGGATGGCAATGTGGGGTCTGACTCTTAAGGGCAAGTATTCGATTCAGTGCATTGGCGCAAAGGAGTTATCGGTCCAGAAAAATTCGCAATTCGGTCATGTCGCGTATCATATCCGAAGTTGATTGAGTCACTTCACCTTTGCGAGGCCCCCTATTTCATGAACAAATTTCAATCGGCCGCCGTTACCAACGCGCCCAAAAAAGCCACGTAATTCCCCTCCTTCGCGCAACACGTGGGAACGCAAATCAAAAACCTGCCAAATCGGGCACACTTTCACTCCCCTTGATCTTGTGTCACCTCTGGGTGCCCTGTTTGGCATACGGCTCCTTCAATGAGGACGGGGTCATGCGCGGTCATGGGCATTGTTCTCTTCTAGTGGGGCATCGAGGGTCGAAAGTGCTTCTTCGTCCGCTGCTGAATCGTCTGTGTGTTCGGTGTAGGAAACTTCATGACTTGTAGCCGAAGCATGCCCTGTAGCGCTTGTCGATGTGGGAGGTTGCCTCAGAAAGCGGGTGAACATGTTCTCTTGATTGTCGTAAATGTACCAGCCTTCGTGAATGGGAAGTACATTACCCTGATCGTCTTGTCTCGGCGTCGGGAGATCCTCGCTGTGTCTTTCTTCCCAAGACTTTCCTGTGTTGGATTTGAAATAATCTTTGAAATTCTTGATGGCAGACGTTATGTCACTCTTGGGAGCCGTCAATTCATCAACTTGAGACTTTCCGACGCGACTGTATCTTGCCCAGGTCGAGTAGGTCTTCGGGCTGGCAGAGGATTCGAAAATCTGCAACCTCAGAGTCAGAAAGGTTTTCTCAATGAACTTGGAATAACTACTTACTGCAAGCCGAATTTTCTCACGGGTACGAGGAGTTTTGCCATCGCGGAGAAGTGTAGCATCCCAAGCTGCACCTGTACTTGGATCAAGCAGGATAGTTTGAATGGCTAAAGTGGACTGTAGTCAACACAAAGACCTATGTCCAAATATTAGAGGCAACTACGCATACATACCTTGAGTGCGAGCTCGTTTCGAGCCACCTGATGTGGTCTTTTGATCGAAAGGGTTCACTGGTTGAGTGAGTTTATATTAGCATGTTCATCAAAGTACCTTTTGACAGCGCAGATTCCTTGAATCTAGAGATCATTGACCCCCCGAGATCGCTGAAATCTTACCTTTATTCCGAGCACCACCTGCACCCTTTGCTTCTGCGTCCTTGTTGTTAGGCCTGGTCAGGTTTTCCAAGAGAAACGGTGCCTCGGACACAGGACGAATGGGATTCGCATAGAGCGAACAAATGAGCCAGTCCCGAGATACAATTCTGATTTTTCCGAGGGCTTTGGCTGCTCGCACTTCAGGTCGTCAGTACACTTTCGTGCTTTATATATATACTGTGGTCGAGTGAATGCTTCGAGGCCAGCTTCCATGATCACTCAGCTCACCTTCCGATATGTTTTCTAAATAGGCCTTTTCAGTCGTGATGAGATGCGTAACCTCAGTAGTCACTTTCTCAAGAAATCTTCCCCCATTCTTCTTGACCCACTGAGGGATCTGAGAGCCCTGATAGATGTCCCCTGTTGTCGCGACAGTGATCCGCCGGAAGGCAGTCCCTGGCTTGGAGACTTTTGCGCTTTCGGTGACTTTTGCAGGCATTTTCGAGTATTGAGCTTCCGAGGGGATTCGCAAAAGACAAGAATGAGTTCTGGATTGATTGGAAGATGTTTGCCATCAAGGTATTACCAACTGGATCTTTCTAGGCAGCGAGGGCTTGAAAGATCTGGCTCAATCTCTCGATCAGTTCAGATTTTCAGAACTTTTCAGTCAGCTCTCACCAGATGCACAGCAAGCCTGTCAGTTTTACTGAGTAACCCGTGATGAGAGTTGTTTATTATCACGAAGAGTGCATGCTAGAGAAAAGCCATCAATCACAAGATGCCTTCAGACTTGGCGAAATTTGACCATCTCTCACTCGAACGGAGAAGTGGGGAATGGAGTCTGAATGGCTTCAAGTAAGAGAGCTCGATCTTTGAGGCTCTTAGTGAGAGAGATCTAATCTGCAAAACCCTCACTTGTTGTACCTGAAGAGGCAATTTCCGTGTTGTGATACCTGGGCGCTTTGCACGTGCTTGGCATTAACTGCTTGAGTCTTTTGTGTTCCCGACAGCTCCCTCTGTTGTTATCAAATCAAGTTGCTAGTAAGTATCTGCCATGCGGCCTGCGCCGTGGCTCATGAGGATGATGGTTGAATAAATGAATTATTTTCACCTGGAAGGTACCGAATACCAGCGAATATGATGCTTGCGCCCATTCCCCATCAGTTCACCAAGCACTCCTTTTCAGTCTTCTGAATACACTTATGATAGATAGTATCACATAACGTGATTCATGGCTTTTCGGCTGAGGAATATACTTCGAGTAACTTTAGTGATCTTGACATAATGATTCGGTGCCTCTACTTCCGTTGTGATGACGGATCGATATCACTCTCTCTCTCTTGCAGTAACGAGTCACTTAGATAGCCGGCCGAGCTCCAGATCGAGTGCTTAAGCTCCGAGTAGCAGCCAATCTAGCGCACTCCAAAGGAGTCCGAGTGAAGATTAGAGGCAGATAGAAATGATCGTTTGAGGTTACTCATCTGTGACGCAATGCCAATTTGACTCTGCATGAGATGCTGCCTATGATACATGTCAATGGTGTATCTGCTAACTTTTTCAATTGCAAGCATCTGTGTTGCATCTGAAGAGGTCAAAGGAAGATTTTTCTCCAGCTTTGTTGGACTCGGACAAGTGACAGGCAGAGTCCCCTCCAGATGGAAAGATGGAACCTGGCCAAGGGCTTCAACGATCCCGAGCATACGGACACATACATGAACTAAGTCCCGTGTGTTTGGATAAGCTCCCCAGCGTCTCTGATCTAGATGACCTCTTTTTTTCTACATAGATAGGGCTACATGGTGCTTCACATCTTCTGTGCATGCAAAAGCCATCGCCGAGGTTGACCGAATAGAACGGGGCCGCTCAGAGTGCCAGGGTGAGTTTAGATAAGGCGGAACAGCAAAGGCAGAAGACTCGTGAAAGAGAAAACCTTATCTCACAAGAGATTTACTTTGATCATTAAAAGTTCGAGTCATCTAGGTATGCTGAATGACAACAACAGAGAGACAACTGCCTCCTGGAAACCAATTTGTTGCAATTCTCCAAGCAGACACTGACTCCATCCAAAATTCGGGCGCGGTTCAGCGCAGGTCCAGTACTTTCAGCATCCCGGAGCCTCATAGCTGGGAACCCGGTGTTCGCACAGATGAAAGCTAGAAAGCGTCAGACAAGGAAATAAGAATGAAAGCCTGGATGGTCGCTGAAAAATTCGCAATCACTACGTATGGGAAATTTTGTTATAGAATCTTCTTAGTTAGTTCATTGGCCATCTATGTGCTTGGAAATATGCGGAGAATTTCATATCGTAGAGAAAATTTTCAAAAGGTTTTAGGGAGACTCTTGGAGAGTTTACAACGCAATGCTTTTGGCAGCCTTCACGAATGCGCGAATCTTGTCCACATCCTGAACGCCGTTGGTTTCCACCCCCGAGCTAACATCGACCCCAACGACTTTCGATCCTGCCACACCTAGTTCATTGATGGCGCTGACGACATTATCGGGGTTTAGGCCGCCGGCAAGAATGACACGCAGGCCTTCGTCAGAGTTGAGAGTCTTTTGAACACCTGCTCCCTCGAGCAGCTCCCCAGAACCACCCGCCCCAGAGTCCAATAGGGGAAGAGAGTGATAAGCACGACGTGCAATCCCGAGATCTCCTGGAGCAAATTTGCGGATCACGGGGACTGGAATCAGTGTGGACCACTCCAACGGCTCACAGCCATGGAGTTGCACGACATCGAGCCCCAACTTCTGTTGTTGGGCGAGAACATACGATAGAGGTTGGTTGAGGAACACGCCCACGAGTAAAGCACGGCCTGGGTGGCGCAGGACCTTGCGTGAATGATCAAACCATTCATGTGAACAGTTCTCCTCCACAGACGTGGACATTTGGGCCCCTGGTCGTGGTGTTGACTTGACTGCCTGTGAAATACGAATAGCAACCTCGTCGGAGACCAACCTGGAGCGTCCCTTAACCAAAATGATACCAATAAGATCAGCTCCGGCCTCGATTGCAGCTTTAGCTGCCTCTTCAGACCGAGTACCACAGATCTTGACCAAGCGTGAACGCGGTGCAGACGCAGCAACTTTTTCAGATGATCCGCCAAGAAGACGAGCCACAAAGGCAGACGTGTCAGATGCTCGCATGAGTGCCTCTCCAACAAGAATAGCTTTCACACCGTCCTTCTTATAAGCTTCGACATCCTGAGGCCCAGTGATGCCACTCAAAGCACAGACAATTGTGGTCCCAGGAACCTGTTCCATCAGGCGGCTGGTGGTGCCGAGGTCGACTTCGAAGCTAGTCAAATCGCGGTTGTTGACGCCAATCACCTCAGAGCCAAGATTCACTGCAATTTTCATCTCGTCAGGGGTGTTTACTTCAACGAGCGGCTCCATGCCGAGGCTTCGGGAATAGTTGAATAGTCTAGTGAGGAGCTCAAGGCTGAGCATCTTCACAATGAGCAGGACTGTGTCAGCACCAGCCAGGCGTGCTTCCAAGATCTGATACTCATCAAAGATGAATTCCTTCCGTAAGAGAGCAGGTCGATTTGTGAGTCCTTCAAGGCTCTGACGGACCGCCCGCAGATCATCAATTGTGCCCTTGAACCATTCAGGTTCCGTGAGGACAGAAATCACACTGGCGCCAGCCTTGGCGTATTCACGTGCTTGAGCAGGTGCACAAACATTGGCTGAAATGATGCCTTTGGAAGGAGATGCGCGCTTGATCTCTGCCATCAGAGACAGTGGGTATACAGACTGTCTCAATCGAGCCGGGAAAGAAATTTGCGGTGGTGCGATGTTAAGATCGTAGGCAGCCTGGAGAGACTCTGGACTCAAAGCAGGAATTTTTTTCTGTTCTTCGACAGCATTCTTTCGATGGGCGTAAATCTTGTCTAGTATAGACAGCTTCTTATCCATGGAAGGGACTGTTTGAGGCACGGAGCCGCCTTTGTTTCCAGCCCAGGTACCTGCAGTCAGCTTTAGGAAGTTTCTGAACATCGTGCGCCCATATTCGGTAAGAATGCTCTCAGGGTGAAACTGCACGCCTTCGACAGCGAGTTCCTTGTGTCGCACTCCCATGATCACGTTGTTACCGCTCCCGTCTTCGAGCTCAGCCCAGGATGTCACCTCCATGCAATCAGGAACAGTCGAATGTGTACCAGCCAGGGAGTGATACCGAGTGACTGACAGAACCTTGGGCAGCCCCTCGTAAACACCTTTGGCGTCATGCTTCAAGACTGATGTCTTCCCATGCAGAATCTCCCCAGTCACGTCAACCTTTCCTCCGAAGCTGGTGATCATGCACTGCTGACCCATGCAAACGCCGAAGATCGGAATCTTTCCGCTGAAGTATTTAATAGCTTCGTTGCTGATTCCCGCATCGGTTTCAGGATGACCAGGCCCAGGGCTTATGACAAGTTGTGTTGGTTTCTTCGCAACAAGGTCCTCCACGGTGACTTCATCATTCCGGAATACGGTGACAGTAGCACCCTCGAGAACGAGGTATTGATAAACATTCCAGGTAAATGAATCATAGTTGTCAATCAATATAACGTTCGAGGCGCTGCTGAGTTTGGCAGCTATCGTGGGGTGGCGGGGAGAGTGGTCCACAAGGTCCGCCATTTTGGCTGTAGAGGGCAAAAAGACAGCTCAGATGCCTACTGTCTTCAAAATTGGGCGAATCTGGGGTGCGTAAGTCACTTGACGAGAAATCTCACCGGGAGATTGTATCGTCAAACACTCAAATCTTCAACTAACATAACGCTGACTCAAAAGGTACACTCCCGCCCCTCGGCGGCGGCGGGACACCGACACCGTCTCTTACCGCCCGGCAGTAATAGCGCACTAGACCAAGATAGGAAATTGGGATTGTTGACCGCAGACGCGCAGAAAGAGAGCTCAAGTTTTGTCCAGAGCTAGGTGCTTCCGACAGTTCACGATATCATACAAGCTGCCAGAACTTGCGTACCTCGCCGGCACGCTTTATTCATACAAGCTTGGAAATTCTATGATGATCTGATTGTCTCGCCAAATGGCTCCCGTCCCGGAGGCCTATTTCCCGTCCCTGGACAAATGCTTTTCTGGGGACACTCATCTTTTGTATGGGTTTGTCCAAACACCCTGGCTCTCTTTCAAACACTAACAAAAGCCAGGTCGTGGAGGAGAGCATTCATTCATTCGAATGCTACCGAAATATCTGCTTTCGACGGAGGCATCGTTACAGCTTTCTTGTCACATCCCGAAAGCATCAAGCTACTATCCCGCAGTGTGAAATCATTCCCCGAACCTTCCTCCCAATCAAAGACCGAGTTCAGTTCGAAGACGGCGGCGATCCACTCGGAAACCAATTCAAGCTCTGCGCCCAACCTTCAGCAAGTCAAAACCGACGCGCAATGGCTGAGCGAAAAGGCCAAGATCGACGAAATGTCAGCTCTGCGCATCGTTGTTCTCGAATGGCAAAACCGATCCTCCTCGCGTCTGACAAGCACATACTCTGTTGAAGAAGCTGCAAGTTTGGAAAGCGCGACAGGTTCAGATCACCTGCGGTTGTCAGTGGCTGGGCCTCACCTCACAAACATCTTGAAGGAAGCTGCCGGGACCGCAGAGTGGAATACTTTTGATGATGAAGCTAGCAGGCGATCACGTTTGCGAACTTTGTATCTGTCAGAGAGAAGCCATCTTCTCAAAACATCGCGAAGGCTTCTTGCACTTTCACATCACAGCCACCCCGACCAGTCTTCTCTCGTTGACGCAGGCAAGGATGGACTGTCGCAGATCGGTTCCACTCTCTTCGGCGAGAAATCAACAGGCGAGAGTCTTCATCAATTTCTTGTGGACTGCATTTCAGCGGTTCGAAGCCGTTTGCAAGAATTAGATTCAAATGGCTCCTGGCTGGGGACGGCAGAAAGTGACCAGGAGACAGAGGGTTTGTGGAGAACCACTCTTGTCGAAGAGATTGTTCATATTCTCCAGATGATGTTCCATCAACTTCGCGCCTCAAAAGCCATTGCAAGTGGGGATCTGCTTCTTTCATGGCTTGACCTCATGCAGGATTATGATTTTTTAGAGAAGCTTGAAGTGGTAAGCTGCGGAATGTCCTCCTGTTCGCCGACGGATTTCTAACACTTCATTCTAGCCCTGCGATGAGCCGGTCGAGCTCCTCCTGCCCCTCCAGAGCTTCGTGTCACTGACCACGTTAGCATTTCTGGGACTTCCTGAATCCTTCGATGCCATTTTGAAAAGAAAGAGACCGGAGTCGATCCCTTCTGGTCGCGCTGTCTATTTTTTATCTAAAGACACCATTTCCAAGACGACGGAGGTCTTGGTCAATGCCTCACTTCAAGTCAATACGGTACGCCTTGCAGGCTTTGCCTGGGGCTTGTTACTAAACACGATGAATGAGATGGCCACTGAAGAGAAGGATGCTCGAGAGCTCGAGCAGTGTAATAGTGCCGTGGATTCTTTCAACGCCAACCGACGTTACTCTGGCCCTTCTCAGGGGTCAGAGAGTTCCCTTTACGAGCAGCTGCTTGAAAGGGTCCGAACGCCCTACTTCGGTCTCGATGAAGCAATCAAGGCTGTTACATCCAGTATCGTCACAGACTCAGTGTTTAATCAGATTGCCACCTTGTCTGTTAAGGTGGGCTCGATGTCAGCTGTAGATGACGAGCTGACATCTCGGTGCGTCCGGCTGCAGCTTCTTTCTCTAATTGAATTCGCGACTTACTACCTCGACTACTCTCCAGAGCTCATGCAGTCCGTTTTGGCAGCCCTGGGCGGTACACCTGAGGAGCTGCGGCAGACTTCAACGGGAAACCTTGGGCCAGAGCAAGATCCCAAAACGTTCTTTGTCAATAGCTCCATTTTGATGGAGAGAATATTTCACATTGCTAGGTCAAGGTTCCCTTACGAAACCGTGCCCTTCCTTAGACTCTGTCGTGTCCTAGCCAACGGCGGAGACTCCAAACACGATGGCTTGACACGGGTCATGGACGAACTTGAGAATCTGGATACTTTCACTCAGCTTGTGCCCATCTCGTTCCATGGTTACGAAACTATTCGCGAGGACGAGAACGCAAACTTCGTATCGCTTACCCGATCACTTCCAATGATAGATGGACCTTCGCAGCCTTCCTATCTTCGCGATGTGGATCCGAACAACGCTTTGGTGGTCAGTAGTTCTTCCGAATTGCCGATGTCAACGATTGGCCAAGTCATATCAGAGTCGAAGCCGGCAGTTATCATGTGGCAGCATCAATATTCGTGCCTAAGCTACCTGGGAAGCTGGCTTGAAGAGTGGGGTGAAAGCGGCGTGAATTCTCCTGACTGGGATGCAGAATCGGGCTCAGAAATGATCGGACTTCTTGCAGATCTGGTTGCAAGTGCGCAAGGAAATCATCTGGAAGCATCGAACGGCGCAACTGCCAGACGGCTCCTAGAGACGGCGAGTGACGGTCTGTCTCGACAGGGTGATATTGTTTCAGTGGTGTTGGATATCTTCGAACGTCACTTACAAAGCATTGGAAACCAAGGAAACGCCGCGCAATCGTTGGAGCTGATTATAGTGTGTGTGCGGTTTGTCAAGGAGGTTTTGAAAGTCCTTCCTGGCCGAGTTTGGCCCTTTTTCAGCCGGAGTAGTCTGATTGGGGCTGATGGAAAGGGAGGGGTGATGTCTGGTATTATATCAGCAATCGAGATCCCTTCTGGGGAGTACCCGTTCCTCTCAAGCTGTATCAATCTGTTTGTGGCAACAATCGACGACGTCGCGACTCGTGCCGTGCTACGAAAAAGCCCCGGCAGCGATGCCGCCAAGTCGACTGTCGTTTCGGACTGGAGTGCGAGTATTCCATCACACGTCATGAGGACTATTATGCTCAACTTCACGAAAACAATGGTCGACATTTACAACAGCAACGCCAATTGGAGATTCAATCTGCCGGAGCAGCGTTTGAGAATGAATCAAACGCTAGCCGCCTCTTTTAGCCGCATGCTTTATTACACCTTTGGAATCAGTGATGACGCGAAATACGAGAGCAAACTTACGGGCGTCTTTTCCTCATCAGCAACATACCTACTCGATATTCTCCGCCCTCGATCAACTGCCGACCTGCCCTTCAACCCCCTCCTTCGCTTGATCACAGACGGCCTCCAGACCCCGGCTTCTTTGTACCTGCGATTCCAAACGTTAATCGAAGGCCAGGTAAGTTCAACCTTGGGCCTTTGCACTAGCCTAATACAAGCAGCGCGCCTAGCTGGTCAATCTGCGACATTATTGGAAGAGCAACTGTTCAAAGCCACTCCTGTCTTAGTGAAGCTGTACGCATTGCATGATGCTTATCGACTCCCGGTCGTCGAGCTATTGGAACAGCTTGTAGCAGGAGCCGCTTCGAATCTCGATAATGAGCCACCGTCGCTTGTCGGTCATCTTGGTGCCAAGTCATGTTGTCTCTTCCTCGACGTTCTCTCGCAGTTAGACAAGCCGCTTGCAGACGATAGGCTGTTGCTTTCAGTCTGGCGTCTACTGGCAACCTTCGTCAGCAAGCGTCAGCAGTGGCTCGCTGTATTCATTCTTACTGGCGCATCGCCTCGGCAGACATTGAGAAAGGCCAGTAAAGATGCCGGTCCAGCTATGCGAGGCACCCCATTCTTGCAGTTGGCGCTCGATAAGCTTGCGAACATTGATAAAGAGGATCCACAAGTCGCACTCGCCCTTCTAGAGTTTGTTTCCCGTGCACAGGAGAATTGGCCATGGGCCACCCCGCACCTGAAAAATCATCCTCGGTTTTTCAATAGCATCGTCAGCTATGTTTCAAAGCTGGACATTGCGTCTACGGCCGTGAGAGACCAAATCTACGTCACCAGAATTGCTGCAGTTGTCGCCGACATCTGCGCGGTCTATCTGCATTCGGCTAAAGAATCAAGAGATCGCAGCTTCATCAAAACACTCATACCACTTGTGCAGTGGTACTGTAAGGATGCCGTGGACGTTTCGGCTTACAATCACTCGTTGCATGCGAACCTGAAAAAGAACTTCGAAAGTCGATATGCTGGGTGTAAAGTCAGTGATTTCAAGAGGACGACCATGACAAGTCCCGTTTTGGGAAGTGAATACTACTACGACCTGGGAATGGGTCATAAGTTGCTAGCATTCGACTTTGCCTGGAATGGTGGTCGCCGAAACCAGGGATTCTCTGAGGAGTTCGCACGCGCCAACATCAATCTGTCTCTGGTCGAGGCACAAGTTGTACGTTTCCTCCTCTATGCGTGTTCTATGACTGTCTCTAACATTCATCAGTCTCTTCTGCACAGCTGGAAGTTCTTTGCAATTGAACATTGCGCCGACTTTATGCCTGATCGTCAGATTCAGCGATCTATGGCGAAGGTGGTGCAGGATTGTCTTGAAGCCAACACCCGCAATGCGCCTCCCGAGGCAATATTTGAGCGCATCCAGCAAGCTCGTGTCAGCTTCGCCCAAGCCCTCCTTCAGCGCCTCGTAGAAGTTGAATCCCACGGGGCGGAAGTTTTTGGTCTTTTAGAGACTGTCTTCAAGACTCTACGAGCCTGTCACCGGACTTATGAAGAAGCCTTGATCAGCGAAGATACTGAGTACTATCGATCTCTATTGAATGTGCTCTTCCTCAGCCTTCAGTTCCACTTACCCGGCCCCAACCGGGCCAATCCCGAGGCCCTCAGCAAGCAGACAAGCGTCTCAGGCGACTTGAGTGTGGTTGTTGAAATTGTGAAGACTGTTGTTGCACAGGGTTTCAAGTCACTCACTACCTATCTGCACGACCAGCCGGAAAAGTGTGCCCCGAAGGATTTCGCCATAATCATCGCCATCCTTCAAAGTTGTCTCCAGGTCAAGAACGCAGACCGCTTATACGAGCATATTGCGTTTCACCTCGCTGGCAATGATGTCGCACGCCATGCTACTACTCTATTTTCGTGGGCAGATCAGCTGACAGTGGCGGGCGATCCCATTTATGGAGAACTTAGCATTTCCATCCTCGTCAAGATGTCCACTCTCCCTTTGCTAGCTGAGCATCTTGCTGCGGAGGGTGCTTTCATGAAACTTTCAACATGTCGACTGACCAATGTTCTGCGACAGCCGAAAGGCTTCGGACCTTTTGATCCAACGCCTCGACTCTACACTATTTGGACCAGTGGCATTCTCCCTCTGTGCTTGAATCTGCTTCATAACGTCGTACGGTTTGCGCCGGAGATTGCTGCCTTCATCAATCAATTTGAAGGCCAGCTGACTCGCGCATCCGAGTCTTTCTCCACCCCTCACGCAACTATTGTGTCTCCCGGCCCTGCTGCGCAATGGATCAGCCTAAGCATGACCTCAGAAGCATACTCGCTTGCGCTGATTTCATTCATTCTCTCTCGTTTCCGTGAAGCCGGTGCCAGCGCTGGCTTGGATGCACAAGCCATCCAGGAACTGAAGTGGGACAAGATGCAAGTGAAGGAAGACATTGAAGAACTGCTTGGTCGGCGCGCTGCTCTGCGAACCCGCATCGTTGCGACCACCGAGAAAGAAGTCGAATGGTCCCGACAAAAGCCCCTGGACACTACTTCCGGTGCAGAGACCCGACTTGAAGAGAAGGTTGTGGCAGGGTTGAAGACGACGTTGGCTTGTTTGGGCGGCGAGGACGATGCGTAAATCTATTCTTTAGGTGGTTGAGCTGGCGAATCCTGGAAAAATATGTTTCTTTTTTATTTGGCCTACAGTCTTGTCTATGGAGGCTGAAGTTGGGGGTGTCTCTGGAATTGACTCTTTGTGTTCTTCTTTCCTACTTTACCTCGGTGGAAATATCATGCATAAGCTCATATAGGTCTTTCGATCTTTCGTGTCCAGTGATCTACTCTATTTGATGCGTATCAATGTAAGCACCTAATGTACCAGGCGAGATCATCAATGTATTGAATGTCGAATTTGTCAACCACATTCGACCCGATAAAAGGGTTCATACGATGAAGTTCTCATGCCTCTACAGCGTAACGTACTCGAGGCTTGAAACTTGCAGAACCGAAGAGCCATATCCATAGGTTTCAAATACCAGGTACGACGGGACCTCGCAAGGTTCCAGGAACTGCTAGTCAGGTAACGGAGCTTCTCGATACATACCTGACTAGTTCCCAGCACGAAGCAAGTCTTCCACTCCAACCATGCCAGGTGGACATACCATCCAACGTACTGGATATCAAATACCTGAGTAAGCTAGTACGTACCTGCGTATCTTTGTCAAGGATTCAATCGCTGCAGATCGCGGTTTCAGCGCGCGGATCCATTCACACACGTCATGCGCACATCTCCTGCCTATTACCTACTCGATCGATAACTGTACATGAACCTGCCCCGGAAAAGCCATTAGGGCAGAACTACGAGCTCAGTAAGGTAGTACAAGGTAATATTGATAACCGGAATTACGCATCATCAATATGTTGTACGGGCATTGGAGCTACTGACATCAATCTTCAGACCCAAATCCCTAAACACATTCCGAACAGAATTTCATTCATCATGATAAAATTTCGTCATTCTCCTTTTCGACGTGACTTTGAAAGATCGGACATTTCCCTCCTTTCTAGAGAGAAAGGCCAGTGAAAAACTATGAAATAAATTTTGAACTGGAGAACATTAGGGGAAACATCTCCCTTCATTAAATTCAAGCAACCACGACCTTGAGTGAGGCGTTGAATTTATGCCAGAGCCTTGCGGGCAAAGTTGGGCAGGACGAAGCTGGCGCGGTGGATATCGGCGTTGTAGTAGCGGCAGAGCTTCTCCTCCTCCTCGCGGGTCCAGGAGCGGACGGGCTCACGGACGTTACGGGTGGCGTCCTTGCAGCAGACCATGAAACCGATCTGGCCGGAGGGGTAGGTGGGGATAGTGGTGTAGGCGTACTCGGCAACGGGGAAGACCTCACCGCAGGCCTTCTTGAGGTCGGCGATGAGAGGAAGATGGAGCCATTGGTTCTCGGCTGTGGACAGAAAGGCACAGTTCCGCGAAACCGAGCCCGTAATAGCGGGTTTGGTTGCGGGGTGGTGCGATATTGTTAGCCTGGTTCTTTATCAAACGCAAAGGAGTGGAAACATGGAGAGTTCCGAAGCCAAAAAAAAGAAAACCAAAGCAAATGAGCACGATGCCAAGATGAGTTGAGTAAAACAGAGTTGCAAAGAAACAAACAGTCGACAAGATGCAAGGACGTAATCAAGGCAGATAGAGATTGGAGTACATGACGACGAGAATGACGCAACGAGAACATCATAGACAGACGGAGAGAGACAGGGGAGTGACAGAAAGGGTGAATAGGGTCAAAGAAAGGTAACGAACAACCTTGGGTAGTAATGACACCGCCGTCGCGGAGGGCTTCATTGAGAAGCTCAAAGTAGGGCTTCTGGAAAAGGGTCTCGGCGGGACCTTCAGGGTCGGAAGAGTCGGTGATGATAACATCGAACTCGTTCTTGTGGTTCTTGAGGAACTCGAAGCCGTCTCCGACGTACTCGCGGGACTTGGGGTGCTTGAAGCCGACGCTCATGCCGGGCAGGTACTTCTTGGAGACGCGGATGACGGCCTCGTCGATGTCGCAGAGGATGGCCTCCTCGACGGACTCGTGCTTGACGACCTCACGGAGCACACCACCGTCACCACCACCGATGACCAGAACCTTCTTGGGGTTGGGGTGAGAGTTCATGGCAAGGTGGGTGATCATCTCCTGGTAGGAGAACTCATCACGCTCGGTGCACTGGATGACGTTGTCCAGAACCAGCACGGTACCATAGTCGCTGCTCTCGAAGACGAGCACATCCTGGTACTTGGACTTCTCGTGGTGAAGGACCTGGTTCACCTTGAGGTTCATGGCCTGACCGGGCCACATGCCGGACTGCTCGGAGAACCAGCCATCTGCGAAAAGAAGTGAAGTTAGTACATCAGAGCTTCGCCAGATGCGCGCCAGGGACCCTTTGGCCACGCTTCGCCTGTGATTTCATTTTCGAGAAATTGCGCTATAGGCAACTATTGCAAATAGAGGTAATTTCCGCCAGCAGCAAGCGAGCAGAATGGAGATCGATTTCATGTCTTCAAAAAAAGAAAGAAAAAAAAAGTGGGCTGTCTCAAATGGCGGGGTCGACGGAATCTTCTGCCCAACGTTGTCGCATACTCGTCATAGACCAAAGGAGGAAGGAATTGACACTTACCCTTGATAGTGGGGTGAGTAATCTCGCTCATGGTGACGGTGGAAGTTAAAGTGAATGTACGGCGACAAGTAGGGCGCACAGAGAGACGTAAGGAAGAGGGAAAGAGAGCGCGCAACATGCGAGACGAGAAAGAGGGAAGCGGAAAAAGGGCGGCGGCGGTAATTTTGCTGTTTTTGGGGTGGGCTGTTTTTCCCTAACGTGGATCCCAGTGGGGACCATCAGATCAGGTATGAGGTTCCTCTTGACAGCCACAGAAAGATCCGAATTCAAAACAGGGTGAACATTTTGACTTGCTCAAGAGGCTTCACTCGTCCAACGTCAAAGTTGGGTGTATCGGGCAAGTGGGGGCAAAATTTATGTTGAAGATATCATGCTTCAATGTGATACAACTTTCTGTAGATGGATGCATCTATCGTAAAGTGTCCAAAAACCCTCACAACTGTAGGATTTAAGTCATTAAAGCGCTACGGGACAGGATATAGCAAAGAGTAACCAATTGCGGGACTCCAATTGTAAAACTTGAATTGATGGTGACTGCTAGTATCAAGAACGAGTCCAGTTGAAGTTAGAGAGCTGTCCGTTGTGTCGTCCGACGAACGCGAAAGCTGACCTGAATAGATCAACTATCTGCCCAAGCTATCGCAGCCGCCCTGTCCGGCATAAGTAAATAGAGTACAAAGGTGGAAACGATCAATTGCTTTCTAGGTTACTGTACAGTGGATACAGCTGCAAGGCGCACATCACAACAGCGGCACCGGGCCTGGTATACTTCTCGACTCGGCCCTTCTTCTCATCCATGGATTCAAAGATCGGAAAGAAACATTTACTCATCACCACCGCCCTCAAGCATGCGGCCAGGCTTGGAGTTGAGGAACTCGTTGCTATACACACCAAAACATTCCAGTATCAGCATCGGCGCTTATGTATACCCTCTTTCCTGATGGCGAGAGGAGTCGAGTTGGGGGACGCGAAACTTACCGCTCGACAGCCCAGTTCATGGTCACGTAGGCGACAATGAAGGGAGGCACGACGTAGAGAACCTGGTGGCGGAAACGGCGGAAGGAGTTGAAGACCGCAGCGTGGGCAGCACCGGCGAAGGGGCGCTGACGGTTGGAAGAGAGCGCATAGGTGGCAATGCGCTGGGGGTCGGGCAGCCTGAAAAGAACAAGAGCATTCAATGTGTCAGTGACTGAATCATCGTCTGTGAGTAGTTCACGGTCAAGCGTCGAGCCCATGGGGACATTTCGTGCATCCTCGATCGCCGAGAGGAGATGGCCTCGCTCATGCCCTGGAGTGGCGCAACGCAGTGCATCTCGAGAGATTTGGTCGTCACGTACCGAGCTCGCCCCAGTTGCCAATGAAACTAGGTATTAGTGCGATGTTAGCAGCAATTCCAGCTCTCATATACCATCAGCCTTCCAATGGAGACTCTATGCGATCTGCCTGCTGGTCCGAGCGGGTGCAACCGGACAGCGACACACATCTCTCGATCCGCGGCAGGGACTTGAACCCCCCGCCGGAACGGGCACAAAGCTCAGCAAAGAAGGAGAAGAAGAGAAGATTTCAACTCACTGGCCGTTCTTGTAGTCAGCAGCACCACCCATTATGACGGATTCAAGGTCGCTTGGAGAAACGGAGAAGCGTAAAGCGCAGATGAGGTTGGCAGATGAATCGTTCCAGGGCGGGAAAGGAAAAGAAGACGAGGTCGGGCGAAGTTGGTACCCGGTGCCACTAAACCCGATTTGGTATCTGATCTCTCTCCCCCAAAAAGCCCGCCATCATCGAGACCATCCGACGGTAGCTGTCTTTTGCCGTCTGTCCCTGTCTGCGAAAAAGCGACACCCTCCCATCTACAGCCGAACCTCCCCGCCCCCTTCCTTTACCACTCAGAGTGATCTTCCGACTGATAGACTCAGTAAACTGGCATCATGGCCAACGCCCTATACAACATCTACCGGTTGGCCGGTCCCGTGGCCGCAGGTGCCATCCTCTTCAACGCCTCCATCTACGATGTTCGCGGCGGTACTCGCGCAGTCATCTTCGACAGAATCTCCGGTGTTCAAGAGACGGTGGTGAATGAAGGTACACACTTTCTTATTCCGTGGTTGCAACGGGCGATCGTGTATGACGTGCGCACGAAGCCTCGCAATATCTCGACAACCACTGGAAGTAAGGATCTTCAGATGGTGAGCTTGACACTGCGTGTCTTGCATCGTCCGGACGTGCCGAAGCTGCCCCAAATCTACCAGGTAAGCAAAGAGATCTCAATGCCCTGAGAGCGGTCGACTCCGGCCGCTGTCATGACTGTTACGAAGCTCGGTAGAAAGCTCAGAACTAACCGTCTTGGGGTGTGTAGTCGTACGGTACCGATTACGATGAGCGTGTTCTCCCTTCCATCGGTAACGAAGTCCTCAAGGCGATCGTCGCGCAATTCGATGCCGCCGAACTCATCACCCAGCGTGAAGCCGTCTCGAACCGCATCCGCAATGACCTCTTGAAGCGTGCTTCGCAGTTCAACATCGCTCTGGAAGATGTTTCCATCACCCACATGACCTTCGGCAAGGAGTTCACCCGTGCTGTTGAACAGAAACAGATCGCCCAGCAAGATGCCGAGCGGGCCCGTTTCATCGTCGAACGCGCTGAGCAGGAGCGTCAAGCCAACGTCATCCGTGCCGAGGGTGAAGCCGAGAGTGCCGAGATTATCAGCAAGGCTGTCGCCAAGGCCGGAAGCGGTTTGATCGAGATTCGTAAGATCGATGCTAGCAAGGAGATTGCTCACACATTGGCTACCAACCCTAATGTGACATATTTGCCGGGTGGGGAGGGTAAGGATGGTGGAAAGAGCACGAGCCTCCTGTTGGGTCTGCGTTCTTAGAAGAGAACGAGACGAACACGGGTGGGAGAACCAGTCCGTTGACAATGAATTGGGGGAGAGAGAAAGCTTTTGCGACTCGACAAGTCGCGCGCTTTCCTTCCTCTCAGCGTTCACCGCAACGAATGTACCAATTAATGTTTGAGCGAGGACTGCGGGATCTTTGGGCAAACCCTCGCATGGTGGACTTGACGTGCTTATCCGCCGACTTTTTTTTCAATCTGTAGCAATACCAATACCTCTACTCCGCATTGATCTTCACCGTGAGTGTAATTCGTAACCGGACGTTCGGACGGCAACCAACAGGACCTATGACCTACACAATGTACATGTTCAAGTATATCGCAAACGTTGCTTTTGTCAAATGTAAAAATGCGTACTGTTGGAGTAGAAACTGTCACTTTAGATGGGGTATCAAGTATATACATCATACATGCAAGGCCTCGGGTTAGCAGAGCCAGCAGTCCATATCGACCTTGTCTTTTTGTCCATGTCCATGTCCACTTCCTCGGGTCGATAACGTGCTCACAATTTCCGGTACACATGAATCTGATAGCGCATATCCTCCAGTCCAGCACCCTCGCCAACCTCATAGCTCAATCTTGCCGCATTTCGTCTCCACCATCGCGAATCCTGGGTTAACACCCGCTCCCACTTGCCCTTGGCCACAGAGAGCAAAGTGTGATCGAGCAAGAATTTCATAGGATATTGTCTCTCCTGCACTTCGCCATCTTTGGCCTTGCCCAGCTTCAAGGTTGAATAGCTACCGGGACTGTCGACGACGAGGAGAACAGCCCCAGCAGGAAGGATCTCTGTAATCTTGAGGAGCAGACCGGTTGTTTTAGGCATGCTGGTGGAGAATAGTTCGTTGAGAGTGAACATGAGGGTGACGAGGAGCGAGGAGGTAGAGAGAGGAGGAGAGGAAGAAGAAGAAGAACAAGAAGTGGGCGATGAGAGTACAGCGTTCTGATCTCCAGTGCCCAGAATAAGATCCTTCAGTTCTGATTCAGGAAGAACAAGAACGTCTCTCCGGTGGAAAGATACTGCAATTTCGGTGTCTGCTGAGACTCCAGTACTCAATAGAGGCGGTTGATACTTGGATGTCTTTTGCGCCGGCACATCCGGGGAGATGATTGTCTTGGACAGGCGATCCATGACGACGGTCCAATCTGCGATATCGACGGCTTCCACTGACAATTTCGTACTTGATTGCCCGGTTACGCTTTGGGTCTTTTCTTGCCCAAAATTGTTGTCCTCAATAACGTCCTCGTCCTTTTTGGCATCACTTTCTGCCAATGACGTCTTCTTCACTCCATGTTCAAGTGCTGCCATGCTGTTCTTGCCCTCGGCATCAAGTCCGTCCTGTAGATCCCTCCACGCCGCCGCCAATGCGACAATTTCTGCGCCTGCGCCTCCACCGAGACAGACAACCCTCGTTGCAGAGCCGGCTGCTGATCGAAGGGCATCGGAGGGTGAGGGGGAGGAAGACTTAATCCTCGCCCTGGAGTTTGCATCGACCTCAGTCTTCATCCACGCCAGAACCGCCTTGAATATTCCCGCATACCCCAGCGACCGTGCTGCGCTCCACCGAAGCGCATACGCGCGAAGCAGTTCCTCGCCCGCCTCGGCGAATGCAGAATCAAAATCCCGCTGATAGAGATGAGACTTGATCGTTTGAATCAAAGTCTTCGTATCCAGCTGACTCGGTGTGGCTTCCGTAGCACCCTCTCCTTCTTGGGTCTTGCCAGAAGGATTTACTTCCACGGCATTGGGGAGGAGCGCCGTTTTGAAGACATCTAGCAGGAGCTGTTGCAGGGGTATCGGGACAGTGGTAGACAGGTCGATGGGTCCTGTCTCCGATTGCTCATCCTTTGGCTGAGGCTTCGGTCTATTGCCGGCTGCGTTGCGCTCGATTTGCTGCTTCTCTCTCTCGGGTTGCCGGCCAGGTTGACGAGTTTTTTTTTCGAGGGGTCTGGAATCGAAGGAATCCTTGTCTCTTCGCCGATTCCCTTGTCGCACACTTCCGGGCATGATGTCAATGGAGTGTTATGTGTGCGGTTACTTTGTGACCAAATTTGGTAGGAATTGACTGTGAGTAAATTCAAGAATAGGATATATCAAATTCACCAATTCACATGGATGATTGGTGAACGCCTCTGCTGATGAAAAGATGCCCGGGAGAAATCCGAACGGCAACTTTTTTTGTGAGCGGGGTGGATTCATGGATTTATCTTATCGCCGAGTATAAAATCTCACAGTTCCGAAATTGTGAAAGTAGCGGGACAGACTCCAGAATGGCCCTAATGGATCCTCGGAACAACTTGGATAACAATGGATATTCGAGTACAACATGGATTAATATAAGAGAAAGAAAGCTGTTTTGCGGGGGAAATGTTTAATTTACTGTCTATTCCTATTTGTCTTCGAAAATTGAATTGCCGAATTGCCCCGTGATGCCTCTCCGTGTCTCCGCTGTCGCTTTAGGTCCTGCCAGAGTGGACACTGGATGCTGTATCAGCTAGGTATCAACGGACAACGGGAGAGCAATACTTGCTCAAAACATGGGTACATCATGAGTTCCATCTGTTCTACTAGTCGATCAGAAAGTTGGTAGCAAAAAATGTTCGGTAAAGACTGATTGGAAGTAAAGACCCATTGCATGTCGATTCATCGACAAAATCATATCCAGAGAAGCCGCCATGACAGAAAGAAAATAGGGAAGCCACGAGGCCTTTTCTGGAGTAAAGAAAAAAGGCATCAGAAAAAGAACTTCCATGCGAAAGAGGTAAAATGGGTGCAAATTTACATGATCAGTCGACGCGTGACTCACACATGTGTATGAATGATTGACGAGAATAAAAAGGAAGTTTGAGCAGATCATACTCGGGTGCCTTCGATAGCAGCCTCAAGAAAGAAGGAAAATTTCATGAAAAAATGGTCCGTGATCAGACAACAGACACATGGTGTAAAAGCTGTCAGTGTAGGAGACAGATGAGAAAGAAAAAAAAATCCACAAGGGAAGTAAAGAAGAAAGAGAAGACCCGCGTGGCCCCGGCCAGATATGTACAAAGCCTGCCACTGGTGGAAGAGAAAACGGATCAGACAGCCCAAATATGCGATTGGGTCTCGTGAATAGGATGAGATGTAAGAGGGATATAAGAGCAAAAGGGGAAGAAGAAGACGAGATGACCCTTGTCTGAGAAAAAAAAATCGCTATGCCAGAGATATTGCGCCGTGAAAAGAGATACGTTAATGCAGAACCTCCGAACCTTCAAGAAAGTAGCCAGATCTACTCTCGGATGGGTTGATCAGACACGGTAGGCGAGACCTGCTTCTCTCGCTCCTTGACTTTCCAGAAATGCATCAAGCGGCTGATGCGGTGCTTCTTTTTTGTCTTTTCAGGGGCGTCGCCGGGAGGTTTCTCTTCCTGAGACAATTTACTGCGCTCAGAGTGAGATCCACCCACCAATTTAGAAATACTAACCAAGCTTGAGCGTTTGGAGCTGTTGGCTTGGCTGCCCCGACGATTGACCGCGGCCGAGAAAGATGCAGCACGATCAGTAGACAGACGGACCCGTGGAAAGAAAGTGTCAGAGAACCGATGCACGGTTCCGGTCATTGTCGAGGCACTGCTTGTCAAAGAAGGCACATCGTCGACGGAAGCGTATGGATACTCCGACGGGAGATGATGGTAGGAGTGCGAGGAGAATGTGCGATCATTGAATCGTGCGACATCCGGGGAAGGGAACGAGCACTCCGATGGTGAGACACCAGCCGACAGCGACAAGGGCGGTACTCCCTGTAACATTTCCTGAGGAGAGGTGGCCGGCCGCTTATCGATTGAGAGGAATCGCGGAGACATGTCCGGGCTAGGTGGGCCAGTTGCTTTGACCGCGCATGCCTCTAACTTGTGAACGACCTCGGGAGTTCGTGACTGCAAGGAGAAGGGATTGGGAGCAGCATGCATGGCGCTCACTGCGACCTCTTCCTCGGTAGGACCCGGCATGTCTAGCTCGAAGTCGGTAGACGGCTCCCCGGATGCCTGGATACCCAAACCGGTCGGGCCCAACGACTTGGTCTCAGAAGATCGGGACGTAGTATCTTCAGTGTCCTCACCCTTGGCGGACTTTTGATCCTCACCTTGGAGGGAGGATGTCTTGTCGAGCGCCTCAGAAATGGCGCTGGGAACAGGAGCCGACGAGGCTGTTTCAGATTTGGGGGATTGGTTGGCAGCCAGGAAGGCGTCCTCGTCCTCCTCGTAGAAGACATCGGGAGTATCCATGGCAGGGGGCCCGGTGAGACGAACCGCACCGAGCGCGCTCCGATCAAAGGGGGCATGACTGGAGCGCTCTCGGTACGCCGATGATAGCGCATCTCAGGTCCCACAAACTCGCCTCGTCGACCACCACTGTACATTCGCTGAGTGGCCAGATGAAATTTGCTTGGTGTGCCGTGTGATGGGCGACTGTCCCCGGGGGTATTGAACGGACCTAGCGCGGCATCCAGATCGATAACTGGACTGGTCAGGATGTCGTCGAGAGGCTCGACATTCTGTTCATAAAAGCTGCGAGGTTTCCAAGCGGTCTCCAAGGAAGGCATCGGAATAGGCGATTCATCCTTAGCCCGCTCGATCGACGAAACGGGGGCCTCGGTGTTGGTAGGGGTTCGAAGTACAACAACGTCGTCATTATCAAAGTCAACTTCCAGCATGGAGCCAACTTCCGAGTTGGTACGGGTCAGGGTGGGCGGAGTCAGCGCTGGAGGTTTTCCCTTCTTTTCTCGTTTGAGAGCTGGGTCATTCTTGGTGTGCCGCTTCGGCTTACGGGCTAAAATGCCACCAGCCCAGGATCGGATACGCTTTTGCTTCTTCTTGGACTTGGAGCTGGACTTCTTGGCCGACGGAGAAGCGCCTTCGTCATCGGTGTCGCTCATTTCGGAGCCATCAGTTGAATATGAAGGCCGAGATGTACAGGCCGAATGTGTGTCGCCGGGCTCTTGCGTTGCAAGCGTTGCGTCGAGGTTGCCCACGGACCGATCTTTCTTGAAGCGGGAGTGACCGGTTGATTTGGAGCGCTTCACCAAGGGGGGCTCCGGGATATTCTTGCCCTGAGAGGTGTTGAAAGCCATGAAAGCATCGGCTGTTTTCGGCCGTTGCTTGGACCCCCGATTGAGTGGCTGAGGCGTGGGAGTCGGAGGCTCAGGTTGCTGCTCGAATTTGACCGATTGCGCACTGGGCGAAGCTTGGTGGGACACGGCAGAAACCGGGCGACCGCCGTCTTCGACGAAGATGGATTGGGCGTGTTCAAGACGGATTGCAGCTGGAATCGGAGGCACCGGGGGCACTGCCGACACGGCGGGGAATCTTGGCGAAGCCGGAGGTGTCGGACGGCCGAGAGTGGTTGTCGATTGTGAGAATGGTCGAGAGGATGATGAATTATCATCCAAGGAGGAGTCGCTGGGAAGGGTTGGAGCGCTTGCAGCCGGGTTAGTATTGAGAGCCTTGTGGATGGCCAACAGATCCACCCCAGAGATTGCCGCTGAACGACGATGGGCATGGTGCCGTCGACCTGGTCCACGGGCCGGCGACGGGCCCGATGAAGTTGTGACAGGGGGAGCGGTGGCGACTTCTTCTCGGCTCTCAGTAGTCTCTCCATTTCCAGGAATCACTAACTGATCACCTCCGACGAATTCACTCGGTCGGCGTCTGTGACCGGCTGGTCGACCCGCTGGGACTGAGACCGGTGGAGGCTGTAGCGTCGTAGTGCTGGCACCCGGGTTGAAAGAAAAGGTTGGCAGAGCAGATGGTGCCCGACGCTGTTTGGGCTTCGATTGGGGGGGAGACTGGTCGGAGTCGCGCGCAGGAAAAACAAATGGGGGATTAGGTAGAGGAGCTGGCATGGTCAGGCGGCGAGAGTGGTCGGAGTTTGATGGAGAAGAGGGGAAGGGCGAATGTGGTGAGAAGCCTGGCTGATGCTGCGGAGGAAGAGAGATAGAGGCCATTGTCGCTAAGCAAAGAAAGAGGAATCAAGAGACGCAGGCAAGATAATGAGATATAAACGAGTTGACCACGCAATGAGGATCGACGGAGTTGAGACGGTCGAAGGGAATTTCTCAATGAAATGGCACACAGGACCTCCAGAGGAAGTTTTTGTTTTTTTTTTTTTTTTTTTTGATTTCGGGCTGTGCGTATTCCAAAAGCGTAGAGAAGCTGGAGGCCGATCTAGTGGACTCGAAGGTGAACCATTGGCATCTTCCGCGCCGGGCAGAGGGTAACAAATGATATCGGAAGATAGGTGGAATAGACGGTCACAAGTCGAGATGGGCGAGCACAAAAGCAGAACGGACAATGAAGAAGGCGAGTTAAGGAACGGACGGCCACGACGACGGCCAAAGAGGTGGGTTGAGGGTGGTGAGGGCGAAAAAGGGAAGTCGTGAAGGGTGGACAAGGTTGAAGAGGGTCGAAGGGAGAAGGGAAAAGAACGGATGGGATTTGGGAGGGAGGCGGGTCACAGGGTTGACCGGGGGGTGGTCGCAGGAGAGACTGAGGAGAGGGGTGGACCTGTGGGTGGACTCATCACTGAGGACAAGGCTACAGCCTGAGTGACTGAGTTGCCATCGGCTTAGCACAGTGGTAGGCGTACTGGATGGGAGGGTAGTTTACTAGTTTGTAACTTTGTGTCAATTGACAATGGCTGATAGCCTGATACGGTATATTTACAGATACCGAGGGTCCGGTAAAGATACAGTATGGGCCCGCTCTCCTTTCGCGCGCGCACGTCAAATCGAGAAGAGTGGAGTACCAAAATGGACTTGGGAAATTAGCACCACCACGCCAAACCTCTTTGGATTGTACGAGGCAATTATACGCGGGCAATACGACCAGATGCAGACCACGCTGAGCTAATTATGTACGGTCGGTCCACATTATTTTGGCAAAGAAATTGGAGAATATCAATAGTGAAGAGACCGGGGTTGGACACGACTACACGCCAGTGACGCCACATATTCACCAAGCAGTAAGCACTCTAGGACTAGGTCTACTACTCTATCTACTATATCTAGTAATCTACTGTTCATAGAGTCTATCCAGTTCTTGAATGCAGTTTATAGGATGAAACAGCAGGAGACTATCTTATTCGAGTCTCCCAGCTCTACTGCAAGTATACGCGGAGCATTTTAAAGACAGTCCCGACTCGGGACTCGGGACTCCCGAGACGAAATATCCAACTCTACGTTGATACACTCTGCTGGAAAAAGTTTCCTTCCTCGGAGTTGCCTGCATACGAATGATAGATCATACATACCTACATCTTCACACAGTGCCTCATGGGTCTCTTTCTATCCCCACACGTTCAACTTGATTTGGCAATGGCAAAAGAAGCTCCTAAGAAAGTTGCGCCCATCCATCTTAATAATAAGAGTATGGTGCATTACCCAAACAGGCATCTTGTCTCTCGGAAACCCGCCCTCCCGATCCATTATATACGTGTTTCGGCAGCCAGCCGGATTTCTCTTGCTGCACTAGAAAAAGAGATGCTCTAGACTACACTCTCGGTGCTGAGTTGAGATAGTACATACATCATCACACCCGGATGTGTGTCACTTTTTCGGTGTGTGAAGTCTGTGGCAGCAGATAATGTACAGGGCCACGTGACAATCCCTTTTATCATGTGCAGGTACCTTGTGGTACGTCCTACCTAACGTGCCTAGTCATGTACTTTACGTGGTAATCAGTAGGCAACCACATACAGAGCCAGCCAGCATATAGGTACTCGATCAGACAGACCTTTTTGCGATGATGTAGGTAGTCCATAGCGCTAGAGATGGAGAAGACGGCGGCGGATTCCAGGTTCATCTCCATTTGACCCAGGTTTGGGGCAAGAAAAGTCCATCATCAAAGAGCTTGGCACACCAACCCACGACGTGGAATGGGGTTGACCTCCACCAGACATTGCAATGTCGTGCCTGGTAAGTGACTACATAAGGTAACTTAGTTTAAGGACTGAGTAACTTACTGACTTACCAACTTGTAGTATTCAGCCAGTCCTCATACTAGATCCGGTGGCTCAGTCAAGTTCCGATCCCTGTGAAGACCGGCAGACTCCCCTCGGGTGAACGAGTTCTAGGAAACACCCGAGCCGGAGACCCGAATCTGGGACCTGCAGTTGTACGTCCCGTGGACTTGGAAAGTCTGACGAGTACGATCATTGTTCTGTCTCGTTGGCCAGTGGTTCAAACTTTCGGAGCGAACGGCAAGAATTGAAAGGCTGGGGAGATCAACCCGGGAGACGTGGAAAGGCCGAGGGCCCATACGGCTCCTTTCCAGGGTAATGTATGATAATGATGATCATTATCAACATCTACTTCTCTGGAAGCCTAGACCTCGACCATCTAGAAAACGTCATGACTACGTTGTCGAGCAAGACGATTGTGGAAGATGGAGCAATCAGCGTTGGAAATTTGGAAAGTCCAATACCATACATACCCGGAGAGCTCAGAGGCGTAAAGTTTTTCACCACAGCAGTTAAACAGTATTCTTATTTTGAGATTGGATGATAAGATTACCTGTGTAACATATGTATGACCGCGCCCTCGCAGCATGCCATGACAATCCGAGTCTCACGGTGTAATTTGGTACCGCGCTAACCCAAGAAGGCTCGCCAAGGTGCTCACTTGGCGCGGGGGCCCGCCAACCTTCGACGCCATTTGCAAGTAGTTCGCTGGGTCGCTCACTTGGCTGACAAGCCCCCGTCCCGATGGGACCCGGAGTGACGAACAGGGGGCTAAGGCTATCTGCCGTTCAGGAACCAACCCAACCACGAACTCGTCACCAGCAGATCAACCAGTCACCGGCTGGTCGAGCAGGCACCGACTCCGCCCGAGACTCGCTTCAACTGGCGCAACCCCCCTTTCGGTATAGCCTGGAGACTGAATCGTGGAGTCTTGAAGGGCCATTGCCAACTTTGCCAAATCAGTAGGCCCCACCTCTCCGGAGAAAGACAACCAAGCGTCAAGACTCAAGACTGCAGAGCAGACTCACTCATAGTCAGGACTCAGTGAGTACACTACTCGAAAAGACTCACTAGTCACTGGTCACTACTACACTGAAGCACTAGAGTGACTCTGGCAGAGTCCCTACTAGTCCTCCGTAGAGTCAGTACTCAGTAGAGTCAGTACACTCCAAAACAGTGGGGTTGGCAAGTGGACAACAGTATCAATGGCGTCCGAATCTGGCGAACTGGTCCCCCGGTGGATCCAATCAACGGAGACCATTTCGCTTGTCGGCGGGGATGGGCAGACGCAATTACTTCGGGTCCTTTGCCACGCTGGGGGCTCGACGAGGGTTCGACGAGGATTCGACTTGTCTCAGGTAACTTTGACCCGGTCTGCTTGACAACGAGTTTCCCGGGTTTCATTCTGGATGATGCGATGGAATCTACCGAGGGCACTAGGCAGATTTGGGCCTCACGGGCTTGGTGTACTAGCTGTCGGTCCAGCAGCATGAACGCTGATCCACGGATGGCCATGACCATGCTGACCTAGACTCTAGGGTCAAGCCACTGGAAGTGTCTGACCAGGACATGAATGGATCCAAGGACAAAATTAGCACCAACTATGTAATCACGTGATACATTTCAAGAACTTGCTGAATAGTGTATATACTACTATATAGGACTAGGACTAGGACTATAGTGCACGCTGTGGATTACTACCTGGTAGACAGTACCACTGACTAAAGTTAGCGGGTAGCAGACTGCTATCAGTATCTAGGTGAGGGGTGTAGGAAGTTGCAAAGTCACCCAGCTGTTTCCTGTACAGAACCCGCTGAAAAAGCATGTAACTTACAGCACCTCGCATCACATATGCACATGTCGGTCGGGGACTTTTACCTCGAACCGCCACGCAGTCCGGTCTCTGCATTTCGGGAGAGCGAGTCCCCTCCAGTCCCATGACTATGATTGGGGTGTTGGCGCGCCCGATCGTCTGCAAGTGATAATCACGCCAAGGTTCAGGTGAGACTAGTGCCGTCCAAAAGGCAACGTCCATGCAAAGCATGGCCTGGTGAAGTAGACGCGATCTCCTGCGCCTGTCCAACTGTACTCAGTGTACTGTAGTTGAATGTGATGGCAGATGGAATCACCTATCTGACATACCGTACTGTAACTGGTTGACTCAGCTAGTCTTGGGTATTGACTATTGAGTGATGGAGAAAGGAACTTTTATGACAGCAGGACTTGAAATGAATAGATGAAATTGTGAACACAGCAGGACTTGAAATGAACAGATGAAATTGATGAACAAGGCACCTCTGGGTAAATTAAATATACAATACCTACCGTGCGTACCTAATACCTAAAGCATGTAGTATGTACTATGTACATATCTGCTGGAGCTTCCTTGACTACATACTTTTTTTTTTGACCAGCCTCCTTGGTAGCGACTGCAAGTTATTAATAATTCAATGGAACTGCCCTTCAGTCGAAACTCGAAAGTACTTGACATGTTTCACATGTACCGTAGGCCAGAAAAAGGAAAAACTTGGAGAGGGGGCGCAGGCCGGGGCGGGTAAGATTCATTATCGCTGGGGGGGGGGGTTGACTTTGCACTGCCTGACAGGTGTATTTCTATTGAGGAGTAGTAATAGTACATCGGATTACTGCTATTTGTACTATTTTATGCCATACCCGCTACTGCTACCAGTATGAGTATATGATCCATGATCTATGAGCAGACTTGATCAGTCATCACTGCGTCCATCATGTTCATCGGATAAAAATAGCGGGAGACTGGGGTACTTTGCTCAATAGTCAACTTTTACCGTTGGTGTCCACTCAATGTAATTCATTATCGTCTTGGACTACTATGTACGACATTGAATAATTGAAGGCTCCACGCGGGTCTCCAATCTTGAACTCCATTAGACCTGTACCTAAATACAGGAACTGACTCACCGAGTCACCGTAATGTGATGATACTATACATTCACCATTGAACTGTCACAGGTCGGCGGCGACAAGAACCGAACCCAGATCAAGATCATCCAAGAGTCAAGACAACACCCTCCTCCTCGAACCCCCTCCCATCAATACTGACACAGCTCCAACACCCAGATCTGAACAGAGATCCCTCTGAGACCTGTTGTACTTTAAAGTTCAAGCTGCCGAGTCAGTAGGACTGGCCCCAAGAGCAAAGGCCAGTTGAAACTAGAGATCCCGTTTTTTTTTTTTTTTTCCCCTCCCCTGCGTCCGCTACAATAGTTCCACTCGTCGGGCGAAGGAACAAGCCAATAACGGGGGAGGAGGAAGGAGGAAGGACGGGGGGTTCGCCTCATAAAGGGCAGCCTTTATTCCCTTGTCTTTGGGCCAAGATTGTGCTTGACAAGCCCTGCCACAACGCGACCGGTTGCCTGGTAGCGGAGCGATCGACTCGTCAACTGACCACGTGAAGAGACTCTCGGAGAGGAGTGATTCCGGAACAACCCCACGAAAGGGGGAAGGTCAAGCGGGGCCGGATCGGCAGGGACTCCAAGAGTTGGTAGCCGTCTCGAGGGGTCAATCATGCAAGTCCATTAGCACTCAGCACTCAGCACTCAGCAGTCAGCAGTCAGCAGTCAGCAGTCAGCACAGAGTCACTGGTACTCGGTATCCATGAACTGACGAGACCGGGTCTCGAGTCAGAGCTTCTCGATCGAGGACGCACACAAAAGACAAGTCTGCAAGCACCGAACCCGAGTAACGGACATCGCCGTTGAGAATACACCAGAAGAAAATCGGCAGATCAGACCAGCACAGCCGCAGAATCTCGCATCGCCCAACAAAAAGAGGTCCGGCCAGATCGAACGAGGATTCCCATGCAGCCAACCAGCCAGCCACATAACAGCCGGCTCGCTATCGTTCGGGGAAGTCCACCGTATGAGGTGCACTTGCAGGAGCGGCCCACTCCTCGTCCTAACCGAGCTACTGTAACGTGCCAGCGTTCGTTTGCAAGATAGTCAAAGATGCAATCTTGCAAAGTGATTGGCAAGACCATTTCAATCTTGCCTTATGTACATCAACCGAGTCGGACCATTCATCCTCTCGACCCTGCGTGTTTTGGCTGCGTCAGACATTAGTATGTAACTATGTATTGCGTCGTGCCCGTGCAGTAGGTACGAGATAGAATTGACAGGGGATACCAGGAGATACCAGGAGATACCAGGGGACACCAGGGGCAGGGAGTCTGCACGACAAGGGTATGATGTTCCATATCATCTGGGCTTCTTTCCAGATCCATCGGGCTTCAAGACGAAGCACCCGTGATCTACTTGAGTCCAGCCGCCGTGGTTGCCTCGTCCGCTTGGAAAGACCGATTCCGAATCCCCCAGACCACATGACCGATTTACATAGTGCATCACTGTATACGGTATAGTCATACTGCAGACGGCATAGAGCGCCGCTACAGCCAGGAACAAAGAATAGGAATCCCAGCCAGCATACAGTCCAAATCTCCGACTCGATCGGAACAATCGGAAGACTACCCAGCCGCACGGGATCGTTCACAATCTCCACGTTTTCCCGATCTCAGATGGAGATCACGCCGCAAGATTGGCCAGCCACACAATGTTACAGAGGCCCGCGCCGCGTCAAGATGGCTTGAACCAACCAGCATGAACCACGGTCCCAAGTGAACTCATCTCATCATCCATTTCCTCTGATCCACGCTGTCCATTTACGGTGGCAGCTTACATGGGGCTGACTGACCTTTGTAACGGATGTATCGACCAAGGCTCTTGTGCTGGACAAGGTTCCTTCGGGGCCGCCGATGGCTTTCCTGTGTCTTTGGAACGTCGCTCGTACGTGGTTCGGGTGGAACCCGTTGGGCCATCTCGACCGGACCATTGTCTAAATTTGGTGTCTGAGTAGTATCGTGGGCTCAAAAAATTTGACTCATGGTATATCCGCAATTATAATGCGCCTTCCAGACTGGGTCAGTCATTCGAGGGAAAAGAGTGTGCGCTTGAACAAGAGGAAACCCCCAATTCTAGAGTGGCACCTTCCACCAAGATGTTGAGAGCCCACGACGGGAAACTCTAATCGGAGCCACATGCAGTTGATGACAGCGAAGAAATAGATGACAGATTGAAACATACAACATGAATCACCCGCCACAGAAAAAAAACCCCCAAAAACAGAGAAAGTTGGCCAAAAGGACACAAATCGTATGTTCGATCATCAACAAGGGGCCGTAAGATGGTGAATAAGAAGGACAGAGAGACGAGGACACGCCTACCCAAACCTCTAGAAAATAAGAACAACCGTCAACCCGAACTCGGTCCCCGGCTCTAGTCATCACTCTCAGACTCCACCTGGTCATTCTCCAGTTGCTTTCGGCGCTCTTCTTGTAGCTCCCGATAGGTACTCCAGCTGAGCAAAAAGAATGCAGCCATGATCAGGATGCCACCCACGATCGATGAGACCGACAGAGCCTGGCCGGTTCGAATCCAGTCGACAATCGCCACGAGGAAGATGGTCAGCAGTGCTGCTACAGAGGACAGCACGGGGGACGTGAGTGAAATCAGTACCAGGAATGATCCCGAGAATGCTGTGTAGTGAAGACAGTTAGCCTTCGATCTACGCTCAATCATATCCAAGATTGCACGTGTGAAATTGATCGGGACTTACTCGCATTGGCAAGCACAGAGATCACGAGCATCCACGCCGCTTCACCGGTGGGAAGCCGGAAGGTCTCCCAACCCAACATGTGCAGGATCGGAATGGGAATCCACAAGACACAGAGAGTGAAGCATCCAATCATGCTACCAAATGTGTTGGCGAAAATCGTGCCTCGTCCGGGGCTGGTTCCCTCTGGCGGACAAGCAAATCGCTTGTAGAGGACTTCATAAAGACCATACAGCACACTGCCGATACCAATGATGATATTTCCAAGTAATCGATTTTGTGCCTCCGTGTCGCCAGCCTTGGCTGTTCCATCCGGGGCAGCCTTGTTGGGTCGGTCACCGTAAGCGACAATCAGCACACCGATGATGGCTACGCACACCGACAGGATCTTGTCAAGGCGCAGCTTATCATTCAACAGAGGAATCGAAAAAGCGTAGGCGAAGAATGCAGAGCAGTTGTAGATGGCCGTGAGGTCACTTGCCGTGGTCAAGTTGACGGCCAAGTACCATGAGCCTCCGGCGATGGTCAAGGCGGTCGTCACAAAGGCAGTTGTTTTGACCATGTAGGGAACAGGCGAGCGGTGGGAGTCGCGTGAGGTGAGATGAACGTCCTGGCTCTGAACCATTTGGGCCGTCGTCTTCACCAGGTATACATGTCGACGCCAGAAAGCCTCCCAGGAGAGCTTCCGTTTTTGGATCCGAAGAATAAGGAGTTGAAATGGCCACAGCAATGACCAGGAGCTGTGGGTGATGTAACTAATTGGTAGGAAAGCAAGGGACGGTAAGTGAGTGAGCTGGCCAAGGGCAGAAGCATCACCAGTGAGAGGTATACCGAGGTAGGGTGACCATTGGATGGGCTGGATCGAAACTTACAGCATACAATAAGGTTTATCCCAGTGAAGCTCATGCTGAATGTATACAGCCGTCTCGGTCTGGACGACAAAGCTGGCCAAACTTAACAGTAGAAAGCCCGCTGCAATGATATATTTTTTCCGGGTTGCTTGAGCAGCGTCGTACTCGGAGTTCCTGGATTGTATAGTGGGACGACGGGTGTGGTGCAACATGGGTCGATGTTCTGTGTCATGGCTGAAGCTTGATCTATCAAGTCGTGGAGAATGATCGTCTTTGAGTAACGGTTGCTGCGATCGGCCGTCATTGGGCCGATGCATTGGGGGTCGGTTCAGAGCCATTTCGTCGTCCGAGTCCAGGGAAGTGCGAGCTAGGTCCGGCCTTGCCTCCCGCGATTCCTCGAGCTTGATGTTGTCCGAAGCCACAATGTCGCCGAGCCACGAGGTGCTTTATCAGTTATCCTTAGTTGCTGGCAGTGGTCCCTTTTGCGATTGGAACCTAGGACCGCCCTCACGATATATTCGAAAGGTAGCGTGCGGCTTAAAATAGAGCACAGTAGTCGCGGTGGAGCTTCAGAATTGACGTTGTTGATCTTGGGGGGTTTGGTTTCATTTGTAGCAGTTGGTCCGATAGATGCCTTTCGATCGCAACTCTTCTCTTCCTTTCGTCGGCGTTATCGTGTCAAGTCGTCACAGGGCCAGAGGGGTTGGAGGGGATGATTATTTGGGGTTGCTTCGCCTGCGATCATCGCATTGTTCAGTGGTTAACCAGTGCTCTTCGGAGTGACAGTTGGCCGTAATTCTGACAAGAGCTACCGCGGAGGGTTCGAGAACTTGGAGCGATCTCGCCAGCAATCACAACTAGAGTGATTTGATTGACAACAAATCGGCTGAAATCGTGAGGAGAAGACGATTCCAGAAGGGTGCCTGCCACCTAATAACAATGTACTGTACAGCGGGACTTCATCAGGGATTAGACACCGTCGTCATCCAGGGCTCTATGCCGCTTTGGGGATGGTGGACACACGTGATGGAGCCGGGCGGGGGGCCGCTCAGGGCATTGAGGGCAGTGGGTCAACGCCAAGTCAGCCATTTCGCCCACTCATTCTTCAGACAATGTGTCCGGCAGTCTTGGACGATACCTTTTCTGGTTTGCATTCGCAAACAATCTCTGCCGAGTGACTAGATCAAGCAAGTCTCATATCCACACGTGTCCCGGGCATGCAGACCTCACGTACGAGCGCTGGATCTGGAGCGTGACTCTTCAAAACCACAACTGCTCCGATTCGGCCAGTCTAACGCTTGGCTGCTCCGCACACTCGGCGCGCACTCATACGATGATCTGACTGAGTAAAGTAGGTACTGCAAGTGGGTTTAACCCACAATAGCATGCTCTCTTCTACACAGTAGTGAGTCAGTGACTAGTGAGAGTACTCATGCATCTGGGTCTTATCATTTGAAAGTGCGATTCGTCTGAAGAACTGGACACGACCTGTTTCGTATGTTTAATCTCGTGTGAATTATGTTCAACGCCACGATCTCCTGCCCATACTTTTTGTATCGAAATCCCTACACTTTGGGCTTCGGCTTGAAAAGCGCCTCTTGAGTGTCGTAGGTGTACTTGAGATCTAAGTGCCAGTAATTGGCAGAGTAGGGCTTGGCGACCATCCAGGCCTCATCCAATGCCTTGACGACCTCATCTGGCAGAGGCCCCTTCTGCAAGTCCTTGAGATTGCTCTCGAGTTGACCGAAGCTACTCACGCCAACAATGACACCGTCGCGACCCTCACCGTCCATCTTCAGGGCAGAGTGATGACGAACCCACCTCAAGGCCGTCTCAATCAAAGTCAGTCCGTGCTTCTCTACGACGGGCTCGATCAAACTCAGCGCCTCAAAGTTGGCGTCACGGAAGTAGCGGTTGCGATAATTGTTCCCAGTTCCATGTTTGTCGCTGTATCGACCCTCGGCAGGAACGTCCTTGGTCTTATACTTTCCCGAGAACAACCCGCCGGCGAGAGGATTGTAAATGACGATATCAATCCCGTAGCGCCGGCACACAGGTACCAGCTCGGTCTCGATGTTGCGGGCTTCAATCACAAGTGTTAGTTGTGATGGACCTCCAAGATCAAGGAGTGCGTGGCTTTCAGTAGGCACTTACTAATAGCATTGTACATGGCCTGGAAAATTGTAGGCCGCACCCAGCCCCTCTCCGCACACGTGGTAACGATCTCAGCGACCTCGAAGGCAGTGTAGTTGCTCAGACCGAGCTGAACAAATTTACCCTCCTTGTGCAACTTGTTGACTTCTTCTAGCGTCTCGGCAAATGGAACGGAACGGTCCGGGGCATGAAGGTAGAAGATGTCGACTTGATCAGTGTTCAACTCCTTCAGAGACTGCTCCAGCTTCTCGCGCACCACTGCTGGCTTGTGAGCACCTGCTTCCAGAGGGTACCACTTGGTAGCGAGGGTAAGACCACGCTCCTTCCATTGTGCCTTGGCCGTGAACGCCTCCTGCTCACCCCCCACATAGATTCGGGCCGTGTCAATCTCGTTGAACCCTTGCTGCTGGAAGTAGTCGAGACATTTCTTGTACTCGTCCAGGGATGTGATGCGGGCACCTTTCGACTCGTCCGGGCCAAAGGTCATCAAACCGAGGATGACTCGAGGTTGAGGATTCTGGGCAATCAGCGGCATCGTGAAAGGATTTGGTGATTGAGCTAGAGGCTTGCAAATGAATCACAGAGAGTGAAAAGGTTGGAAGCGAGATCCAAAAGCGTGGCGCTTGGAGACGACGTGCGGGGGAGGGGCTACGGACATTACCGCTTTGACAACTTGCTCGACGAGGACTCCACCGACGTCGGTTCCGAGTGGATTGTTTGAAGGAAGACTATACTTTGATGGAGGCAGACACTTGATTTCGGTCACTGCTCGAAATCATTCGCAGCGCATCAGTTGACACCCTGTTACACTCATCCTCTTGGACTACACAGCTGTGTCTACTCTCGAGCTCTGAACGATTCATCAGAGCCATCACAGTCCTCAAGATGTCGCCAGAAAGAGGAGACGTTCCCTTTCGCATCATGGTCGTCAATCCGAATATATCTGTGGAAATGACCGACGCCCTGAGACCCATTATTGATGGACTCAAATTTGGCGATGTCGAGTGGACCTTCTATACCTCTCATCGGGAAGACTCAGAAGAGCCGATCGAGAGCATCAATGGCCCCGAGGACTCGGCCAAGACAGCTTGGGCGTGCAGAAATGTCACTCAACACATCCCTCAACATGATGCATTCCTCGTGGCCTGTTACTCTGCCCATCCTCTAGTAGGGATGTTGCGCAAAGCGATTGCTGAATACGAGGCAGAACACTCGGGTCAACGCCATCGCTTTGTCACGGGGATTTTTGAAGCCAGTGTCATGACATCTCTATCCTTGATTAGTGCGTTCAGTCTTACATCCGTCAGGTACGCGCGCGAGCAGGTCGAGGATTCCTTCGGCATTGTGACTACTGGGAGTGCCTGGAAGCCGGACCTCACCTGCGCGGTCGCCGAAATGCTCGTCGGTAAGGATGCAGATCCTCCTGCTTGCTTCGCAGGAGTTGCAACGACGGGCCTGTCTGCTATCGAGCTGCATCATACAGATCCTCAAGAAGTCCGACGTCGGATCTCCAAAGCAACAGCAGATCTCCTCAGAAACTCCAAAACGTTTGTGGCGGCAGTCTGTCTGGGATGTGCGGGTATGGTGGGCATGGACGAAGCTGTCAGAGAAGGCTGTATCACGGCATATGGGAAGCAGAAGGGGATGCGAGTCCGTATTATCGACGGTGTGCTCGCAGGAGCTCGTCAACTGGCAGATCACTGTCGATCTGGATACTAGTAGTGCCCCAGGTGAGAGCTATCTCCGTACAGTAAAGTGCAGCTTGATTTGGACGTCGTCTGTGTGCATTGAATTAGCGATTTTTTTGCATACCCCTCATTGATCAAAGTCTCATTCAAAATGATCTCTATGAAGGCCATCTCTATTCTAAGTCAAAGTGGTGGATGACCAATATATTATTATACTGCTGTGCCTGTTGTCTCCTATGACGCCAGCCCAGTTTCTAGAATTATGGTGCCTGAGGCCTTAACACTGAGCCTAAAATGTTCCCCGCGTCAACACGCGATGCGCGTATACAGACAATCACTCCAAGGGGACAACTTTGCTCAATATGCCTAGGTATGTATTCTGAATCGCCCGAGGGTCAACCAACCGGTCGACTGTCAGAATTTAAACTGATCCCATGGCCAGAGAAATCATCACGATCCAAGCCGGCCAATGCGGCAACAACGGTATGTTTTGCTCCTCCGCGGACTTTCACTCGATTCGATGCCGCACTTCAGCTCAGTACGAGGATTGAATTCGCACAAGTTTCCCCTCCAGCGACGGGAACATATTAGGTGCGCAAAGCAGTGGACTGTGGCTCACCAAATCGCGCTTTGCAGTCGGCAGTCAATTCTGGCAACAACTCTGTCTTGAGCACGGAATCAGTCAAGACGGAAATCTAGAGGAGTTTGCGACCGAGGGCGGTGATCGCAAAGATGTCTTTTTCTATCAGGTGTGTGGATGTCTTCACGGAAACTTGGTCGGGGGGGGGGGGGGGGCAAAGTCATTGTAGGGTCTGCTGGCTGACTCAATTTTGGCACAGAGTGACGACACACGATACATCCCTCGAGCGATCCTGCTGGATCTAGAACCACGAGTACGAACACTCTCTGTCCCTCTTGGGAGGCCCACAAAGCTGGAACTTATAAGAAAGATGAGAAGAAACGCGAAGTATGTGGGGACTGAGTTGCTAATGCTGTGCAGGTTCTCCATGCAATCCAATCCGGCCCCTACCGCAACATCTACAACCCCGAGAACTTCTTCATCGGACAAAATGGTGTTGGTGCAGGAAACAACTGGGGTGCAGGATATGCTGCTGGAGAGGGAGTTCAAGAGGAAATCTTTGACATGATTGATCGAGAGGCAGACGGCAGTGACTCCCTTGAGGTATGAATCCTGTCGAAGAAGACACTGGTGTGCATTTCCTTATTTCGAGAAACCTGCTCTAATATTCAATACAGGGCTTCATGCTATTACACTCGATCGCCGGTGGCACAGGGTCTGGTCTGGGAAGTTATCTCCTGGAACGGATGAACGACCGATTTCCGAAGAAGCTCATCCAGACATACTCTGTGTTCCCCGACATGCAAACGACAGACGTCGTTGTCAATCCATACAATAGTCTGCTCTCCATGCGGCGCCTGACCCAAGACGCGGACTCGGTGGTAAGTCACCCAAAGTAAGTTGAGAGGCTGGATCCGTGAAACTGAATCCCATGTCGCAGGTTGTGCTCGATAACGGTGCCCTATCACGCATTGTTGCAGATCGACTTCATATGAGACCAGGCTCAGTTGACGATACGACGAATTTCGACCAGACCAACCAGCTGGTAAGTCACGCTTTACATTGGCTGTTCCATTGGAACGGTTGATTCACGCAAATACTCACCGTCGCAGGTCTCGACGGTAATGTCAGCATCCACGGCCACACTACGATACCCCGGTTACATGCATAACGATCTCGCGGGAATTATCGCCTCTCTGATCCCCACGCCCCGCTGTCATTTCTTGCTCACTTCATACACCCCATTCACTGGTGACAGCATTGAACAAGCCAAGACCGTCCGCAAGACCACTGTGCTTGATGTCATGCGTCGCCTTCTCCAACCAAAGAACCGCATGGTCTCCATGATTCCCAGCAAATCCAGCTGTTACATTAGCATTCTCAACATGATTCAGGGCGAGGCAGATCCAACCGACGTACACAAGTCATTGTTGCGTATTCGCGAGCGTCGTCTTGCCTCCTTCATCCCTTGGGGTCCAGCTAGCATTCAAGTCGCATTGACCAAGAAATCACCCTACTTGCAACATTCACACCGAGTCAGCGGACTGATGCTTGCCAATCATACCTCTGTGGCTACACTTTTCAAGCGTATCATTCAACAGTATGATCGTCTGCGCAAGCGAAACGCTTTCTTGGAGCCTTACAGGAAGGAAGCTCCATTTGCCGAAGGATTCGGTGAATTCGACGAGGCCCGGGCGGTGGTGATGGATCTCGTGGCCGAGTATGAGGCGGCTGAGCGTGAGGATTATTTGGATCCTGGCGCCGGTGCAGAAAAGGAGATGTGAGATTCGCACGGGACATGATCCGGTCTCATTGATGATAATTAGGCATTGTCTTTACGTCGCATTCATGAACACGCTCTTGGTGTTCTTCGTCCTTTTTTTTGTTCTTTCGATGTTGTTTTGTTATCATCCTTTTCCGCAGTGCATTTAATATGAAGGCGCATCGACAAGGCGCGAGTGCAATAAGGGGGTTTGGCGTTTTACCATTATCATTCGGAGCTCAACAATACCAATTTTGACATTTACTATCGAAAACAAGTCAACCGATGCAGAAAGCAAGAACAGACTCGGTCTATATTGCCCACAATTTCCCCAGGATTTTCATGGCACCTTGGACTTTCCATCAAGTATATCAGCAGCACACCAAATGAGCAGCTTCATACCTATAGAATCGGGAATGCAACGTGATTTGGCACTGATGGTCAAGACTACCTAGGCAGGTCCCCGAATGGGATGTTCTCACCAATTGATATCTCGGTCTGTATGGCTGACATGGATCCGTCAACTGCCATAGGCTGAATGAAGGACGGCAAGAAGTCCTCTCGCTTCCTCGGTCTTGGCTACTGTTCTTACTGGATCCTGGGTCCTGCCTTGCTGTGTCGTGATGACTCTTCGTTGAGTACCAGACACGTAGGGAATCCTCGAAGTGCTGCTCGTCTCCGAGATAGGTCGTTGGTTACTTTGCTCAATACTGCATGCGTGCCTATTAACCCTGTTGAGATAGCTTGGTGGTTTGGCGCGTCTCACCAGCGTGGTGCGCGCCCACGTACACTACCTTCGTAGCTTAGATAGGTACCTCTCACCAGATGTAATCTCACCATTCCTTTCTCCCCTCTTTTGGGTCTGCTACGTTTCATAGTAGCCTCCAATAGGTTATGAGCCCTGCTTAGCGCACAAAAAGTAAGGTTATTCACATTTCCTCACTGCCTAGGCATAACTTGTATAATAACCTCTTTTTCCATCGTTTTTCGGCGCGTTTTGCGCCTTCTATAGAGTGCAGACTTCGTACCTCTTTACGACTTGACGATCCCTACGTATCGAATACGGCTACCGAAGCCATCGTATCGAATCGTCGCTAAAGTCCCTCCTTCCGGCTTCTACGCTATTTTCAGAGCTCTAACGCTCTTTATCTACGTAGCGGTATACCGCTATAGTAGGCACGCCTACGTAGCGGTACTTTGTGACTCCTAGGTAGTATAGCTACGATAACCTATGTATAGAAGAAGGAAGGTGAAGTAACTATATCCTATATAACGAAGAAAACTAAGACGAAGGGGAAAAAGGAAAGGAAGAAATAAGGAAGGTAAAGTACTACCTCAAATACCTATCGTAGATAGGGCTATAGTAAGGCGGTAGAATCTTTATAGAAAGTCCCGGATAGAAGGTTCCTCTATAGAAGTAAACCGAAAGGTAAATAATCCTTAGGCTCTAGCGTATATATATACGTAAGACTTCTATTAATAACGCGTAGGTAAATATCTAATCTTATAAACGTAAATATCGATTATATAATCTCCTCCTTAACTCCCTAAGTCTATATCTATTAACTAGCTAACTAACCTACTAGTTAATACTAACTCGCTAGTCGGCTAACTATGACTCCTAGGTAGTATAGCTACGATAACCTACGTATAGAAGAAGGAAGGTGAAGTAACTGTGTCCTATATAACGAAGAAAACCAAGACGAAGGGGAAAAAGGAAAGGAAGAAATAAGGAAGGTAAAGTACTATCTTAAATACCTATCGTAGGCGGGGCTATAGTAAGGTAGCAGAATCCTTATAGAAAGTCCCGGATAGAAGGTTCCTCTATAGAAGTAAACCGAAAGGTAAATAATCCTTAGGCTCTAGTATATATATACGCGTAAGGCTTCTATTAATAACGCGTAGGTAAATATCTGATCTTATAAACGTAAATATCGATTATATAATCTCTTTCTTAACTCCCTAAGTCTATATCTATTAACTAGCTAACCAATCTACTAGTTAATACTAACTTACTAGTCGGCTAACTAACTAGTTAGTAAACTTACTAGTTAATACTAACTCGCTAGTCGGCTAACTAACTAGTTAGTAAACTTACTAGTTTACGGTAACTAACTAGTTAACTTATCTAACTAACTCTATACTCTAAGTCTATTCACGAACTAGTTAACCGACTAGCTAGTTAACTATTAACTTATTACCTATACGTTATATTACCCCCTATTTAGACTCGCGACTATCCTTAGGCGCGGTAATATTACGGTATATTATCGTCTAGGTATACTAGTAGCTCCTTATTAAGAGCCTCGTACTCTAACTAACGGTTAAGGTTTACCGGAGGTCTAGGGCGGAACGGGTAGATTTTATAATATTCCCGGAGTTTCGAAGCTGTAGTCCGGAAATTACTAGTATTATACTATATTATATTATTCTCGAATCCTATCTACTTTACTCGATACTAAAGCTTCGACCGGTTAATTCGCGAAGTAAGGATTATCTCTATATTATACTCCGGCTCTAGTATAACCTATATCGCTGGTTTAGGGATAGGCTATCCTAGAAGTAGATCTATACTTATCGTATAGCGTAACTTCTCCGGGTTAAAGATATTATATCGTAACGACCCTTCTAGTAGTTATAGTCGAAAAGCGTATCCTATCTTCTCGATAATCCGGAAAGACCCCTCTACTTTCGGACGGAGTTTACCTAATAGCCCTTCTACGATCTACCGATTATCCTTTATCGTGATTATAATAAGGTCCCTAATATCAAAGTTTAGCTCCCTACGATATTAATTCGCCTAGATATACTAATATTCCTATACTTTAGCTATATTATCCCGTACGAACTTATAAACTTAGCGAATTTTATCTATCTAGTCTCGAGCTATCTCCCGGTCTAGCCTATAGAGATCCTATCTACTACTACTAAGTTACTAATTAACTATTATTCTTAGCTTATACCTATATTTAGTATAGTATAGTAAGACCCTAGTCGACTTATAAGGCAAAATCGCCTAAGTAAAGTCTATTATTAATAGTAGACTAGACTAGTTATCGGCGAACTTATCTACGAAGACGCGTAGTCGTTAAGATAGTAACTAGATCGTATTTTCCGACTACCTATCCGTTTAAGGGTAATATAGAGTAGATAACTTCTGCTTAATCCCTATTAACTTATATAGGATCTTCTAGAATAATATAATAAACTATAGTCCTCTATCCGATATAATTAAGTCCGGAAGTCCTATCTATCTATAATAGTATATTAACTATAACTTTACTAGATCCCTAGCTATAGTATCCTTAAATAAGGATATATAAACTATCCGCTTCGTTAATCTATAGACTACTATTAAGGCGTTATTATATCCGTATCGGTCTTTTAGTAGGTATATAAAGTCTATAGAGATATACTACTAGGATCTATCCGGTACTAGTAATAGGTTTAGGAGTCCCGGAGTCTTTATTCGCTAGGTTTTAGTATACTTATATATTATATAGTTATCCGAAAACCGAATAACGTCCTAGCGGAGAGTCTCCTACTAAAAATAGCTTACTAGGAACTTCTAAAGCTTCTTAGCGCTTAGATAGGCTAAAGATAGTTAATTATAGACTTCGGAGATTAACTAGGTTTATAGCTACCTATATACTAGGACTATAAGCTTCTTATTACGGATTAGTACTTCTTCTTATAAGTTAAATCTACTTAAGAAATTCTCCTATTCGGCTTCCTAACGCTATACTTCTAGCTCTAGGTTATCCCGGTTTACTAAGAGTAACTATTTAATTAAGTCGCTACTAATATAGAGTCGGTTAATTCGAATAGTCTTATATTTATTTACGATCTAGGGGTCTAAGTAGGATTCCGGTAGTAATATCTAGCTCTCCGGTTCCCCTTATTATTTAACCTAGAAGCGGGATAATATATCCGTAAGAGTATTTTATTATCCTAGTCGGTAGTAGATAATAAAATAGTACTAGGAAAGTTTTAAACCCTAGTTAGCTTAACGAGCGTTTAGAAGTTTTAATAATATAAAGTACTCTAATACCTAGTAATCTATTAGGACCTCGAATCTTTCTTTATATTATAGTCCTGATAGCTTAGCCCGCTAATTATCTATACTCTCTATAATTACTAGTATTTCCTAGTTATAGATATTCTAATTCCGCTCTCTAGGTAATATAGTCTTAGAGAAGAACCTAATAGGATACTATAACCTATCCTACTTCTAGGATAGTACTCCCGTAATAATATCCTTCGAGGTATCTATTTCTAGTCTTATCTCCCTCTCCGGATAGTAGTATACTAAGATAGACGCCGAAGAAAGAGTAGTTTTTAGTTACTAGAAGGTATTTATATAGTCCTTACTCTATATAAATATATAGTCCTTTTTTATAAGTTAGTAGAGTAGCTTCGTAATACGACTATAGATAGTAATAAAATAACGATAGAAGTTATAGAACCTAAGAAAGGACTAAACTCCTTTAACTATTATAGGAGTTTACTACTTATAAATAGCCTTAATCTTCTTAGGATTAGTCCTTACTCTATCTACTCCTACAATAAAACCTAAGAACTTAGTCTCGGTTCGGTCGAACTCGTACTTATAGATTACTACCTAAAGTCTTATAGCTTATAATCGTTAGATTATAGCCCGAATATATTTAATATACTTCTCGGGGTCCTCGCTAAAGATTAGGATATTATCCACGAATACGATAGTAACTATATCTAAGAGATCCCTAAGTACCTAGTTAATATACCGTTAGAAGGAGATAGATCTACTATATAACCTAAACGGTATAACCTTATACTTAAAGGTCCTATATTAAGTTATAAATATCGTTAGATCCTCTAAGTCCGCCGCTATTCTAAGTCGATAGAATCTCTACTATATATCGAGTTTAGTAAAGCGTCTTACGTAGGCTAACCGGTCTATTATCTTATTAATAAGTAGTAATAGGTAGATATCTTTTTCCGTAACTATATTTAGTTATTAGTAGTCTATATAGAAGCGTA